TTTATTATAATTATTTAACATTTCAATTTCAATTCCTAATTATTTAAAATTATGAATATGAATGACAGAACAACATTTGTTTAGAAATAATTATTTCTAAACAATTTATATTATGTAAAAAAAAATATACTCGTAACTCATATTTGCTCCAGAGATAATGTGAATAAATAGGTATATATTTAGGTACATATATATCTTATATTTGCTTTTAAAAATACTCTTTTAATAAAGTTGGCTATACCTTTAGTCATAAACGTATAGTTCGCGTTCTCTTTTTAAATAAATTATGTGCTTGGATCTCGGGCTTTAGATATATTGTAAAGAATTCAAAATATTTACTTTATAACCTTTTTTCTTCTCAAAAATTATGCTATGTATTTTGATGTTTTTCGTTCATTATTTTATACATTAATTTTTAATAATATTTAATAAATTTGAATATAGAGTTAGTCAATTCCCAAAAGTAAATGCGAGCCAAGTAACTGGTTTGTTTAAAACAATTGCTTCTTACAGCACTGCAGGGTCAATAATCGTGGTTTAATTTTTTGGCCAACACACGTTTGTTGTTTGATTCTTGAGGGTCGCACGCGGCATGGCTTGGGCTGAGACGGGCCGGTATGGGTCGGGCCTGGCCGCCTCAATGTTAACATTTTGGGGCCTGCCCCCGCCAAGTGGTGCGGCATGTATGGGCTTTGACGGCAGTGCTTTAAAAGTGTCGTTTCGTTGATGTTGATGTTTATGTTTTGTTTTGTTTATTTGACAATTGATGCATTTACACGCTTACACGTTTACGTTTTGTGTTGGCGACGTTGGCGACGCCAAAGCGCACAAAATACTCAAAACGCTGCGGCTTCGAGTCATTGGACTAGTTTCATAACTGCCAAAACAACAGGCCCCCTTTGGCCGCCACCGCTCTGCCGCTCCAGCGTCACCTGTTTGATGGTTTGTCGAGCGCAGCCGCACGCGGCTGAATGCCATACGCCATGGTGACCTTCATGGATAAAAAACAGCAGAGCTGGCAGCAGCAGCAGAAGCAACAGCAACAACACCAGCGACAGCGACAGCGAACAGAGCCAACACTAAAGTATCATTTTATGGCCAACAACAGCAACAATAACGATAATCGACAAAGACGTTAAAAAGCAACAACACCAGCAGCCAATTCGACGTTTTCAGATTTGTTGATATTGTTGTTGTTGATGTTTTTGTTGCTCGTCCGTCGATTGTACAGCCAAGTGAGCTTTCAACACGTTGCTCATGCGCACATTTTATCTCTGGTCTCTCGCACTCTGTAGCCGGCGCGCTGAGGGCGAAAGCTTTGCCAACGAAATCGAAAGCTACTGCCGCAGTCATTCTGACAGTCTGACATTTTGTCAGTCAAACTGTTGCCAACACCGACTCGGACAGTCGTTGCAGAAAACGCGCTTGGAATGCGTATGCGCGCGAGCTTTGAACATTTTCGACAAGCTTTTTGTAGCATCGTAATGCACAGGTCTGCAGCTGAGGCTGAGGCTGAAGCTGAGTACCTCCTCCTAGTCCCACTCACTAGGGGCGCGCATTTCGACATCAGTTTAAATTGTTTTCGAACCAGTTTTGATATCGTCTGCAAATTAACATCAACTGCGACTTATTATAGCCGACAGATCGATCGGTCGTGCCTCCATTTTAGCCACAGTGGCAAAAATAAAACAAAAATTCAAAAGAAGCTGTCTTCGACTGCAACGAAATGTCATTCCCCTTATTGTTCTAAAATGTTGCTTTATATACAAACCATGTATTCTTCATCTTGGTTATTTCTTACGATTTCTTGCCGTTTTTCTTCATCATCCATAGTTTTTAAACAAGTTTTTAACACGTCTGTTTGAATATCATACCAATATCATCATTTACCAATGAGCTTTATTTAGATGATGTAAGTACCTTGAAATATAATTGCTTTGATTTTTTTTATGATAAAAGTTCTCTAATCTGAAAAATTAAGCAAATAGACCTTTCTGAAGATTAAATAAATTGATGAACCTAGCAAAAATATTGCCCTCTGTATTAATAGTAGATAAATTTTTGTGTATCGATCACACTTCGATCACATTTGAAATTAATCTCATTTGCCTCTTGAAAAATAACGGACGTTTGTTCCGTTCCAGCTGAACGACAAAGATATCATATTTTCGTGATCCAACTATGGCATACTAGATTAAGAGATCTAAGCATGATTCTTGCTTCATTTGTTACAAACCTTTAATACCAAATCCAATATACCCTTTCAATAAAAGCTTAGGGTACCAAATGCTGGAGCTGGGGCATTTCCAATTCTGTTGTTTTACGCATAATCTTATTATTATTATTCCACTCGAGCACAAATCTTTGCTCCCCGCAACAATCTGCATAATTATCTATGCATACTTCATACATCGACAACCACATCTTGTCGATAAGAGCAGTCTGACGTCTGTTAATTTTCCATTGTTCTGCTTTTCGGGCGATTTTAGAACACAATTTTTACAAAAGGCACAAAAAACACCGCCAGGCATAATAATAAGCGAGACTAGTCATGAGACAACGATTCCAACTGAAGCTGAGATGCGTTGGGCGCCAGTCAGGCGCGTCTCTGACGGGACTCTGGTATTTCCACGCGTAATTAACAACGGCAGTCAATCAATCCAGACGGGTTAAATATATGTACGAGTATATGCATGTACTATATGTATGTTCATATTATTAAGCATAGGAAGAGTCAAGAGAATATAAATACATAATTGGTCCTTTATTGGTGTTTACAAATTCATAGAAAGTTTGTGTCTGTATGTATACATACTTGTATATGCATAGTATGTCTATATAATAGTTACTTATCGTCGATCTCGGAAAAGAGTGGCGTTTATATAGTAAGTCTTTAGCAATGACTTAGACTTATTTTGCAGGCTTGTTCCCAATTACGTTTCATTTGAAATACATACACATCATTTTTTCGTTTAACATTTGGTTCAATTGTTTGTGTTTCGTGTAAGTCTTAAAGCAAACCAAACTAATTTGAAAACTCTTTATGCCGATCAATAGTCGGTTTATTAAACACTTTAATTTTCGAACTCCACATAACTTGATAAATAAAACGAATGAAATCCCTTGCAAAAGCTGAAAGACGGAACGTCGAATTGAAAGGAAGACTTTGGGAATGTAGTGGGGTTGTTTGTTTTTAATGAAAACATCGTAATAATTTACATCTACAATTCAAATGAATTGTTCAGGGCTGAGACTTTTCACAAATCCTAAACAACATGTACAAGTATAGTAAAAATTGGTCTTCAGAGCTCTCACAGATTTTCAGGTTTAAACGTTCGATCAAGAAGAATGAGAACAAGGGACAAACATGAATGAATTTGATTGTAACAATCTATAGATAATTTGTATTTCAAATACACTGTTTTCTTAATTTATATAATGCCTTTCCATCCGAGACTATGCACGATTTTGAATGATATATGTACTCTATATAGCAAGTTTGTTGTAAATATCTTATCAAAAAGCTCGTTGGATTGTCTTAAGGTCGCTGAAAAACAAACAACAAATTCCCAACATATATTATGGGCATGAATCTAAATCCAAATCACACACACATATGTATCTACAAACATGTACGAGTACGTAACAAAAATTCAATTTAAAAACAATTATCTTGAATCGAAGCTGCCCATTGGCAGCTAATTGAAAGTTCAATAGCAACAACAAATAATTCATGAAGTGACTTAAATTAACATCTAGCTTTTGTTAATGTTCCAATTGATATCCGAGGAATGCGATTTGAAGTGAAATGTCGCACGTGGGGTTAAAACAAATCCAAACCCAATAAATTAAAATATCTAAATGCTAATTAATAACAAAAACTCTAAACAATGAATAATGTAACTAAACTAAATGTGAATAAGCAACAGGTGCTACGGTAAAAACTAACGGTGTCACATACCCAAATGGGTAATACTTACTAGATATCGAAACGCACAAAATGGATTGTTTAGTCGCGTTTGTTGCTTCTTTGAATATTATTTAGATATATGATTTTTCATTAAGTTTATTATCACGTTACATTATCCGTTTACATATTATGTATGAATGTATAATCAATATTTATGTGTGTAAGTATGTAGGTATGCTAACTGTATCATTTTAATTATATTCTATGTTAATGAGCACAACACAATTACATAACTAAGTACGTTTAATTAATTCACGTCACCAATTTATAAATAAGAATTAATTGACAGCAGCGCCAAATTGAAATGCATGGCATCGATTCAATTTCGATTTCGACACAAAACGGCAGCAAGCCACCAGTAAGTAACAAAAATTTTCGCTATGGATTATACGAGTAAAAAAACATTTACTAACTGGAAAACTTAAACAAACAGTTAAACAATTCTAACACTACAAACAATTTGGCTAAACAATGTTAATTTTGGTACTTTGGAGGGATTACACGTACTTAAACAACTAAAATGCTACTATATTAATAATATAGGACCTATAAAAGGAAATTCTATTATAATATGTATATTCGCAGTAGAATGCATAGAGTTTAGGTTCTATGTGGTAAAAGTTATATGTAAATGTATATCATAATATCGATATGCTTAGGATAGTAGTGTATGTAGTGTCGAACTCAAGTTCAAAACAAAAATTCTACAGCTTCATGAATGAAGTGCGAAGTAACCGAACGTTTGGTCATACAGGCAAATAATTTGCACACGCATTTGTCAAATTAAACAAGCATGTCGTGAATACAATGTCCAATTACCCAAATTAAAAATAAGACACATTTGTATGCAAATTATTTGCACATCTGACCGTACCTTAAGAGTATACCAGCTACCAGCTAGAGTTTTAGTCTTGACTAAATGACATATTCGTCGTAGTAGGAATTTAAGCAATATTTCGTACTACAAATAAAGTTCTAATGCGTAGAGATTCAGATTTGAATAATAAATTCCAGCCATAATCAGGATTAATGAAGTCAACTACTTATTTTTTAGGTATACTCGTATAACGTCTATAAAAACAGTTTTCTTAAAAAAAAAAACAACAAATTATAATAATCAAAAAATAGGCGAAACTTATGTTTTAAGACTATTCATCAAAGTTATTGCACTCAATTTCCCATGTGCCGGAGTGACTAGAAAGAGCCACTCCCCAATAATGTAAATATAACTACAACTACAGCATATGTATGTATGATGAGATGATTACGTATGTTGGCTTCAACTGGAAGCCAAATATCATATGCATTAGGCTTAAATAATAGCTTTCAGTCCACTTGTAATACCATGTCTATGTCTTCTACTAGTTTTTGTTGGCAACTATTCACCATTTAGACCACTAAGTTCGTAGCTCTGATGCTCCAGACTACGTTTCAGATCCACAATAGTGCTGAGCAGAATTTGCTGCTTGCAATGGTTGCTTTGAGTCTCAGCTGTATCATTGTTAACGTCATGCATGGAGCTCTTGGCCGAAACAGATACCAACTTGGATTGTTGTTGACGATTTTCGCCCGGAAATCCACAGACGTCCGTCTTTGTTTGTTGGCTCATATCTAGTGAAATTTAATTAAATAATAAATTGATTAGATTTTGTGCTTACGTGTATAGTTATTAATCGTCAGACCGAAAATATGTGTTTGCAATTCACTGAAATCTTTCAATAAATTTATTTTCAGAACTAATCAAAATTCATATCAGAAATCTCCTCAACCTTTGTGAAGATCCTAAAGACTAAATTGCTACACAGACGGATAGAAAACAGATCAAAATTTTTAGAACTAAACGCCAGAATTTTGATTGCTATAAACCAATGGCCCAGAGCCATCTTAGTCTCTAAAAAGATCTCCAAACTAACAATTAAGGGCAGGGGTAGCTATAGAGTCGACCTACATCACATGTTACCATACGGTAAGCCATCATTTTAGATTTATCATAACATTTCAGCTCACCTAATTCCAAGTCGAATGTCTTCTTAATGCGCTCGAACGAAGAGCTGCCCTTGTAGACCTTGCGCTTCAACGGTTCACTGTGTGGGCAATAAAAACTGGCCTGGACACTACTCTCCGAAAGTGCCACATTACTATTATTGTAGTCGGCATTGTTGAATTGGAGTGCTGGCTCCTGTTGCAAATAGTTGTGATTAGCTACGTCCTCAGTGCTCTGTCGTTCCACGGTAATGCACTCCAGTTCCGAGTCGCTACCGTTTAAATTAAGCAATGCCATATTCCACAGTCCGGAACGACGCGGCGAGGGCGAGGGCGACGACTGCAAACGTCGCGAACTCCGGGGCGAGCCCAGAGGACTGCTCTGCAAACGGCGACCATTTAGCTGCAACTGAGGGGAAAGAGGCACCTTGTAGGGCTGATCAGCGGCGTTGTTCTTACGAGGTGGTAGCTCGGGAGGTGCATTCTGGTTCATAAAGTTGGTTAGGTGCGTTTTACGAGGACTACAACGTCCCATCTTGGGACTGTTTGGAGCCGAAGCAGTTTCAAATTTAAGTAGTTCGATGCGTTTATTAATAGCCGCCGCCAACTCATGATCCGATGTTGGCTCCTTTTGAGGAGCTGCTTGTTTCTTGGACTCCACTTCGCTATTTTTGAGCATTTCAACGCGCTTGTTGGCCAAGGGATTCAAACGTCTGGGACTGGCGACGGGCGTGTCACGTGGTATGCTGGAGTTCAAGTTGTTAAATTGAAAAGCAATTTGGAAAATCTAGCCCTAACTGAGCTTACCTTTGCAAGCTGTTCTTCATGGACTCGAGCAGCGACTCCGCTTCCATAATGAGTTGTCGGTACTTCATGTCGGCTTCCATGTCCGCTTTAAGCAGTGCCTTCTCGCTCTCTGCTATAGTCATAAAGTGTTTCTCTGGCACGGTGCCAAAGATAAGCGAATTGGATCGATTTGAAAGCGGCGATGTTTTATATATTCTGCAAAGGACAATATATCAGGCGTTATATTATCTATTTCCTGTAACAGTACCCACCTATCCTTTGCACCTCCCAGCTGGTGATTTCGACGCAAGCAAACGGGAGTGCCACCAACGCTTCTCGATTCACGCGGTCGTTGTAGGGGCGATTCGAGATGTTTGTCCCTATTCTCGCAGCTCTTCTTGCGTGTCTTCATAAAACGCTTGCGTCTGCGTTGTAGGGCTGCACTCGATACCACACCACCCGATTGGACATCCTGTGTATTTTTAGCAGAACGAACACTGCGCCGCGATCGCACCGATGATTTACGCTCAAAGCTCTGGCGTAAGGCAGAGCGTGTTGGGCTGGTGTTCGGATAGTAATGGCAGCTGCCTAAATTACGCTGCAGCTCCTTACGCTCCAACACCAATTCCTGCATGGATGATGTATCTATGAAGTCAATATCCAGCAACTCGTCAGTATCGCACTCGTCCCCTGCGTCCTGGCCAGTGTCCAACTCAGAAGCACAGTCTGTGGGATCCGAGTCGCTGCTGTAATGGACAAATATTAGTATATTAATGTGCGATACTTTGTTTGGGAAATTAGATTCCCTAGATGCCTCAGTAGGCATCCCAAATTCCAAATTCATCCCGAATGGGAGGTGTGACCAGCGCTCACCTTAGTATGTCTGTCTCCTTCTCATAGACATAACTCTCATCAAACTTGCCAATCATTTCGTTTAGTGTCGCTTCATCGTCGCTCACCACGAAAAGGGACTCCTGCTGCATAATTTGGCATTCCGAAAGCACCTGACGATGGATGATGTCCTTGCTGCAGGCTGCTTGCTCACTCGCAGCCACCATCGTGCCCAGTCGCTCAAAATGCTTGCGCTTGATGGTGTGTGGCGAGTAGGCGCGTGCATTTTCCACTTCAGTCGAGGACGAGGAACCCTCAGACGACTCGTATGACTTTGACAGCAAAGCAGCGTTCATGTTGGTAGGGGCTGAAGTTCCCATGCCCATGCCCAACTTGTTGCCATTTTTCCTGCAAAGAGGGGTTGACGTTATTGTTATGTTTTTCCTTTTCGTGTGATGGGGGTTGACGGCTCTTACTTGCTACGTTCCATGGCCAGCGCTTCCAGCTCATTGCTCGACTTGATGCCCGAGGAAGTTGTTGAGGTGGTGCTGGTGGCATCCACTTCCATGCGCATTATTGTTGTTGTCGCTGATGCTGTTGCTGCTCCTGCTGCGGGTGTGAGATGCATGGCAGGCGTCTCCCCAGTTGAGTACCAGGGATTGGTACGTATGCGGCAACGTTGACGTGGAGAGGGTGCTGCAGAGGAAGGGACAGTAGCAGAGTATTTTAATTGCTCAGGTTATTGCTCCACTCAACCGTACACTTACACTCGAAGAGCTTGGGGGCGGCATGACGCAAAGCCAATGGACTAGGACTGGGCTCCAGCCGCGGCTGACCAAAATTATTGGCACAAGTATTACCGAAACTGCTCTTGGGCTGGATGTAACGATATTCTAAATGTTTCATTTGTTCAAATAAGAGCCATTTGTTATCTTACCAATGGGTCTAACGGTGACATCTCCTCAATGCGGTTCAAGCCGAACTTGTAGCGTTGAGCTTCGATAGCCAGTGAATTGACACTCTTGGGAAAGTAGTGGGTACCCGTCCGCATGTTGATGTAATATTCCGGTGGATTGTAATTGCCAGCGCATGGGGAGGTCCCATCGGTAGAATAGCCAGTAGAGTACGCACTTTCTGGCGATGATAAGCTGTGTGGTGGTCCGGCCATGCCAAGGGGAGCACGACTACCAGGCATCAAGTTGCTGCGTGGCAGGCCACGACTGTTTCGCAGGCGACCCACAGAGGGGGCAGGAGGAAGCACTGGAAGTGGTGCCGCCAGACACTCACTCTTCACGGTTAAACTCTCCACTGAATCGGATACCTGTGTAGCCAGCTTGGAGGGCAAAAGACGCCCGTAACGCACATGGTTGCTATCCTCGCTACTCTTCATATCATAGCTAAGGTGCAAGCTGGTCAAATTTTCTGAATGGGGTCGTTGATAATCCGCGATGTCTTGCCGTCCCTGTGGTGGTTGAGGACGCAACAAAAGCGCACCCACTTCCTCGTACTCCACTTCCTCTTCAGCGGTTGCAACTAATTCGGGCATGGTGTCATGGTAGTCCGAATAGCTTCGCGACAAAGCCAACTCTGCCGACTCTAGCTTAAAAGTTGTGTGCTTAGCCACCGTAGAGTGCATAGAGGGTTCCTTGGAGCCCGTTGACCAGGATAGCGAGGATATGGAGGACGAGGAACAATTCACCTTGATGGGTGACTTGTCGGCACTTGAACTGTCCTTGCTGTTGGGCACATTCAGCTGTTGTGACGATTTTGGCGGTATTTGGGGCTGCCGGTGATATCGATGCGGCGCATAGAGAAGATTGTCGGACTTGGGAGAAGTTATTGTGTCCTGATCGGGTGACTGCCAACCATAACGGCTGGGTGTCTGTCGAGAACCAAATTTAACAACCCTCAATTATATACAACCTTTAAATGGAGCTGCAACATTTACTCACATGACATTGTATGGGAGAGACCTCACGCCGGCGTACCGGACTAGCGATGACGCTGTGGCTGCCGCCACTGCTCGTCAGCACTGGGCTGGTGGGTAGAGTGGTCGACTTGCTCTTGAGATTGCTGCTTTGGGGCAGAGTGCCAGCCTTCTTGCCAGCGCTGCCGCTCTCCAGCTCCTTACGCTTATTACCTTTCTTGCGGGGACGCACGATGTGCGTCTCCATCCAAGAACGCAGCTTCGAGCCGAACATTTTTAAGTAGTTTTAGCACCAAAGTTGAGTTCGCAATTAGCCTTTTAACAATAAGTGTTGCGTATAAATGGACGGATTGTTGTCGAAAAATATTAAAGACTGGAATGAAAAAGTAAAAGTTCAGTCGCTTTAAACTCTGGCTACTCAAAATGCAATGCACAGGACCTCTGAATGGCTTGACAATGTCGCCTTGCATAGGCTTTTCTTTATGGCAAAATGCAACAATAAGATACATAAACCAGCTGGCTCTGGGGGCCACTTAGTGCTGATAAGAAAATCCATTTATGACAGCACAAAAGCGCCCCAGCAGCCAGCCAGCCAACCAGCCAGTCAGGCTTAATTCAAAAACTAAGCATTGGGACTGCCATTTTCTGTGTAGTTTTCGGAATGTGTGTGGGTGTGTTGGTATTTTATGCGAAATTACCTCATTCGCAAATACTGCAGACGACGACGCTTGCCGCTTCATAATATCCTTTAGGTCTATTTTTATTGTGCGGCACAAAATCAGATGAAACAGGAGCGGCATACAATGATACACATTACGTATGCGCCAATGCAAACAAACCGTAGACAGTGCGCCGCCTACACGTACGTGTGTACATATACATATATACGTGCATATATATATGTATATATCTATATAAATATGAGTGTGTGTGTGTGTGTCGGCTTGTTGTTTGTTTTTTGTTGACGTTTTTTCGGCTACAGGACTCAAGCTTTGGGGTCGCGTTGGGGGTTGTTTGTAAGTTGAGATGCTCGCCTATATTGCCTAACGAGGCTTCAAGGACTCGCTCATGCTGTGCGTTGAAGTAACTCGCTGACGTGTGTGCCTATGCCTGTGTGTGCCGTCTGTGTTTTTCAATCCTCCCCCACGGAAATGAACGTAGCTTGGTTGTAAATCCTACGTAACTGTAAATTTTTATGTGTCTAGTAATTTTCGAGAGCGTTTCGCTTTTTACTGCTATCCTCTATCGTTTTTAGGTATTTTTTTTTGTTTGCGAAAATGTTTTATTTGATATCGTATTGGCTTCACTTTTATTCACGGCATGACACTTTTTATTATAGTTGTTATAAGAAAACTAAACCGGAAATTTCTATTATGCAAATTATTTGAAAATGGAGTGCATTGGTAACGCATATATTAAAAAGCAGTGGCAGTTGCCTACTTTTAGGAGGTGCTTTGTTTTCAGTTATGAAGGCGGCGGCTGCAGAAAATAAGACTTTCTTTTCACATTTTACATGTATATATAAATATATAGAGACTATATAATCTATGTATTGGTATGTGCGTGTGAGCTTAGTTGGCTTGGTAAAGTATGTAGCGTTGAAGCGTGCGAGATAAATTGCGTTAACTGCAGCGAGAGCAACTGTCGCCGTAGAAGTTGAAAAAGCTACTGACGGAATGCGCAGCTTCAGGACTCGTCGACCCGCGGAGCGATGCAGTGGTTCCAGTTCAATTATAACGATAAATCTACTCCAAGTGAGCTAATCTAAATTTTAAAATATTCACAATCATATTTTTCGATGTTAATACAACATTGCCTTAAAGTAAGCTATGGATTTTTAACGAATTCAAACTTGTAAGAAAAAAAAAACCGTATCGATGTGGAAATATCGATAAGTGGTACCGATAGTTTCATAGCTGCATATTTGTGACCGCAGAAATAAAGCAGCATTATTTATAATCCATTATTTTGAATATTTTAAAAATAAACTTTCTAACAAAGATTAAAAAACTTTTGGTTTATCATATCTTAGAAAACAATAATATAGTTAGAAAAATACATTTGTTCATACTGTTATTTCGCAAGCGGAAACATATGTGATAGGGTCACAGCATATTTTGCTCACCACTATTGCCAAACACGATGTTTTTGTTTGGCATTTCTAGGTTTTTGCGAAATTTCGGTGCTGCTGATCTCTGTTCATAACAACATTGCAAAAATGCGTTGCTATTACGAGGAATTAGGAGTGGCACGCGACTCAAACGAGGCAGACATCAAAGCCGCCTACAGAAAACTCGCCTTGCGCTGGCATCCCGATAAAAATTTGGATAGTTTGGAAGAAGCTAAGAAACGCTTTCTGCTCATTCAACAGGCCTACGAGGTGCTATCGGATGCCCAAGAACGTGCTTGGTACGATAATCACAGAGAGCAAATCTTGCGTGGCAAGAATTCGGAATATGAGGAGAACTGCTTGAACGTCTTCCAATATTTCACGGGATCGTGCTACAAAGGTTTCGGGGACGATGGGCAAAGCTTTTATAGCGTCTACAGTGATGTGTTTCAGAACCTGGCCGCCGAAGACGCAGAATTTATGGACAGTAATGAAGAAATAGAAGCCATTCCAGCATTTGGCAATGCGGATAGCAATTACGAGGATGTTGTGGGACCGTTCTACGCCTACTGGCAGGCGTACAGTACGAAAAAGACTTACGAGTGGCTGTGTCCCTACGATGTGAGAGAAATTAAGGATCGGTATATACTGCGGAAGGTGGAGAAGGAGATGAAGAAGATTGTGCAAAAGGCACGCAAAGAGCGAAATGAAGAGGTTAGTAGCATTTGGGTTATTTTAACTTTTACAATTTAACATTAAATTCTTTCAGATCCGAAACTTGGTGTCGTTTGTGCGAAAGCGGGATCGTCGTGTTCAGGCCTACAGACGTGTGCTGGAGGAACGAGCCGAGGCAAATCGCTTGAAACAGGAGGAGAAACGTAAGGAGCAGCTCCGAAAGCGTCAAGAGGATTTGGCGACAACGCGTCAAAGCGACGTGTACAACGAAGGCTACGAAGAACAGTTAAAGAAGCTGGAAGAGCAATATGGCAGCGACTCGGACGAATACACCGACGAAAGCGAAGACGAAGATGAGGATGAACAGAATTCAGATTTGACAGCCGACAGCGAAATCAATTTGGAAGCAGATGACGTTGAGTCTGAGCTGGAGTATGTGGATGATTTGTATTGCGTAGCCTGTAACAAGTCCTTTAAAAATGCCAAAGCTCGTGCAAACCACGAAGAGAGCAAGAAACATCGTGATAATGTGGAGCGCTTGCGCCAAGAAATGGTTGTTGAAGATGAGGCTTTTAACGACTCTAACGAGGGTGTTGAAAAAGAAGACGATATCATAATGGAGGCAGAGCAGTCCCTTAATGAACTAGAACTAGAAGACCAATTTAGCAAGGAAGAAGACGAAATCGATGCCGAAAAAGATTTGCCATCAAACAACAAACGCGGCAAGAAAAATAAGAAATCAAAGAAAGCTACAACTAGACCGTTGCAAGTCGACAGTGCCGACGAAGAGGAGCATGAATTTCAATCGTCACAAAAAATGGAAGCTCCGAGCGACTCCGATGATGATTGGAGCAAAAGCAATGTTAATAAGAAATCTAGCAAAAAAACTAAAAACAAAAAGGCTGCGAATAATCAAAAGCGTGAAGCGGAGCCCAAGTCCTCAACAGCCACAGCAGTGGCAGAACCAATCTTGAAAGCAACTCCCCCTCCCTCAACAGTTGTTAAAGGCGCAGCAGCAGATTCTGTCGATGGAGCGCTGCAACACATCTGCGTCACCTGTAAGGCTGTCTTTGAATCAAAGAACAAATTATTTGCGCATCTGAAAAAGACTAACCATGGCGTGTACATACCCAAAGCGAAGCCCATAGTTGAAGGAAAGCCCCTAAGCAAGTCGAAGTCAAAGCGGAAATAAAACTCTGCAATACAGAAGCAGGAGCAGCTGTGCCTATTTTTTTAAAATTAGTCCTGTTTGGTAGAAATGCTTAAAGTTTATTTATGTTACAATTAATGAAAAATTAAATTAAGTATGCATGCTTAAATTCAATATTTAAGTAGCTGCAATGCCTTTATTGCGCCTTCGGACGCTATGGAATGCACACAAGCATGTTACCCTCTTCAACACGGCGACGCACGCGCGTTCGCAAGTTGGACGACTCAGCCCACACACTCAGAGCAGCTGCCACAAAGGTCAGTAGAGCGCCCGCGCTGGCACAGTACATGGAGGAGCCTGCAGATGATAGTAGCGTGTAAAATAAACAGTGGCACTATTTTTTCGACTTACCTATGCTGCAGCCAGCTAGATAAAATGGCTCCACTTCCATGCCACACAAACGTTGCACCCGTTGCGCTCGCCATCCCAATGGATGCATAAAGAGGGACAACAGCACGCTTATGCCTAACACACAAACAACAGGTTGTCAACACACACCAACAAACAAACTGACTGTGCTAAGCAAACTCACCTGCCAGCACCTGCGCACATGCCGTCATGTTGTGTAAGCTTTTGCCAAATGCCGACTGACGACAACAGGTGACCAGAGTGAGGAGCACCGTTATAGAGAGCAAAATAAATCCGAGCAATAGAAAGAACATGGTGGCCTTCCATTCGTTTGGATACACGGTGCTATCTGTGGCAAAGCCATCCAGATCGAAGGCCCCACAATGGTAACCCTGATGATGCATCACAGTGCAACGTGTGTAGATGCCCACTGACGGATAGCGCACCTCAGACGCGTGCGTCTTTTCCCCCAAATCCAAAAACTCACCACCCAACGCATTATTGTCGAGTGGGCCGCTCAGCTTGGGCACGGCCATAGCATTTGGTCCAATCAACCACTTGGGTGTAACGAGAGCCGTAATTAGCAACATGCTTGCGAAAAGGGTGCAAAGAAACCAGACTAGATTGCTTGTTGTGATGATTATGTAGCACATATTAATGTTCCTCCTTTTTTTGTGCTTTGTCGTTGACTCCTCCAGTTGGTCGCCGAAGGGCGCGTCCACACTTGCCGGATACATAATAGATATAGACTCGAAATATTGCGTTTGCACCGCACCCACCACCACCACTAGCACTACCGATCAACGGCAGACACAGAAACGCAAACTTCCTTGGACGTTGTATGAATATATTGTTGTCTACATACAAGTATATGTACATATACGTATGTATGTAAGTACATATAAAGCTGGCCAGCTAGCCCAAAATGGTATTGTTTATTTTATGCTTTGGCCGTTCGTTCTGCGCCGTTGTCTGTTTTGTGTTTTTCACCCCACAAATGAATTGTCCGAATCGCTGGTTGGTAAAAAACAAATTGTGTATCTAATTTGTTGTTATTGCTGCTGCTGTTGTTGTTCCATAGCTGCGCGCAGTATGCGGCAATGACAGTGCGTCTGGATTTAATTGAAAATAAAGCCTGCCTGGGTGCGGTTACACATAAATAGCAGGCACATATGTACGTGTGTATCTATGTTTGTAAAAAGTGCCTTTTTTGACAAACAAAGGTTAATGTTACATTAGCACAACACTTTCGATGCTCATTTCATTTTTCAATTTTGCAACATTGTGCCAAACGTTGAACTTCCGTTCGCGCAAGCGTCGTCAGCGCCAACCTCATGGGCGCATTAACTTCTTGACTTGCTCACAGACAACAATCGACTGAATGAATAGAGCGGCGCATTAAAGTCAGCCAACCATCCCACATGCATGCAGATGTATGAATGTATGTGCACTACCACCAAAAACAACAACACCAACAACAGACCAATTGAGTCGAACAAGCCGGCAGGCAGCAGGGGGAGCGGCAAATCCAGACATTCCAGAATTGCACTCATTCTCTTGCGCTCTCTTCTCCACTCACAAACAGACACACACACGCTGGAGTTGGATCTAGCTTTGCCACCCAATTCCGTTGAGAAACGAGTCGAATGCTAGCCTCGCACGCTCAAGTCTTATTCACTCTGTACTTAGTCCTGTGAAACTTTGTTAATTTAACATTGAAGTCTTCTAAAATAAATATGTTTTTAATGTTCGTAATTTAAAAATGGGCGCATAGTTATATTAAAAAGTAAATCTATAACACAAAGCTCATTTCCCTTGCATAAATGCAATGCGTATATTTGCAGCACGCACTTAAACTACAACAACAACCGCTGCTGACAGAGCATGCGTAGAGATTACATTTCCGGCTCAGCCGTGCTCTTAAGATAAATCTTGACACATGTGTACATATACACATATGTATGTGTATACATAAATAGGTAAATAAGCTTTAAAAAAATGTGATTGCCAAATTTAAGATTCCACATGAATTACAAAATATACATAGTAGTTAAATGTATGTATACACTTTGTGGGTTCTGGTACGCTTTCTTGTGGTTGTTCAAAAACTAAAAGATACAGAGTATAACAAACAAAAACAACAGCATCTGCTGCTGCTGTGAGCTCCAATCGAAATATTTTAATGTGTGTCTGGATTTTGGGGCTAGGGCGATGAGTAATGCATTTAAAATCAAGCAAATGCGTTTTTATAATTCAACTGATCTCTGGCGTCCGTTATCAGCGACAGCGGCTGTGGCTCTAACACTGACTCAGTTGTCATCCATTAGATTGTTGTATTGCATAATATTCATATACGAGTACATACATACATATGTATGTACCAGTATGTATATACGTACATACGCGTACTTGCGTACACAAATGGTCAAAATTATAAGTACACTATCATATTTGCCTTTTACTTGTTTTAATTTTTCAGTGTAGGAATAGAAATGCATACATATATGAATGTACCTTCAAAAGCGAGCAAGATTTTTAATAGGTGTCCTATTTATTCTATTTATAAAAAGCGAAATGAAAACAAATAAAACTTTACTTATTGTACATTCGAGAACAGTTTATTCAGGTATTGAGCAGGATATTGATCCTTATGTATTTTAGTATAATTAAAATGAATATAACGGAATTAAAATAAAAATAGTATAAAGACAACTTATAGCAGTGCGCTTATTATTTTGAATATGTGTACATAACATAATCCATGATGATTACTCTTGAGCTGTATTTGTAGAAGCGATCGTGATCGCGGTCGTGGTCGTGGTCGCCAGTAATGTCAATGAGTTGGGCAAACAAATTACATATGCAGATTACTTTCACTCTCGACTAGCCCGGCTTGTTATCAATGTGCAATTGAAAATCGGCTCGCCAGTCAGTTAGCTACAAGTATATACGACGGAGACGACGACGACGATGCTGCTGTCTAGCCCCTTATTGTTGTTGTTTCTGTTGTTGCAGCTGCGTCACAGTTCTAGCTATGAATTAAATAAGCCGCCGCCGTTCTGCTCCCCATACGAGATGTTGATTGTGAATACCCATCAGTGTGTGCGTCGTTGTCACATTTTGTGCGTGGATGGCGTTTGCTTTGAGGATGGGCCCTGTCCCTGTGCCGAGCAATATATGACGTCATTCATGAAGGGTCTGGTCTGTGCTGCTGACTGTTTGCCAGGTTGCAAAGAGGCCGGTGGATACTGTGCAGCGCCCGATCTGTGCGTGTGCCGTAAAAATAAACGATACTATTTCGATCCGGTGACCCGTCTTTGTCGCCGGCGTGGACCACATTTGTTGGATCGTTGTCGCGGGTGAGTCGGTATTTACTGCTTTATGTGAATAACCAAATCAAAAACTATCTACCTAATTGCACCGCTATTCCAAATTTGGAATGTTATATGGAACTTTGAAGCAAGAATGAATCATAAAGCTCTGATAGAAATTATGGTCTTGTGAAGATCAGTTACTTTTAAAAAGATTCGTGGTAGATAACGGATCCAATTTGTCTACCCCAAGCACTTCGTCATTAATCTGCCATGACAATAATTTTAAAAGGAATCATAGTATAAACCATTTGCATTACTGATATAAGCCGACTGGACAATATAAGTACTTAGCTTTCATAAAGTGGTTAACGGTTTAAACAAGTTACATATGTATTGATTGTAAATTTTCTACTTTATATCGCATCAAAAAGAATTAAAAAGATTATTCCTTTTTGTTTCCTGCTTTTGAAGCTATCAGATGCAAGAGTCCTGTTTACGTACATAGCCTATTAGTTGGGCTGTTAATTTCATTTCGGGCATTTTGCAATTTTGTAATTATATGATTGCTATAATATAACGATCTCTACGTATCTACATACAGGCGCTGCATTAACGGTCGTTGCTCATATAACGGTGAATGCATCTGTGCACAAGGCTACGAGCTGCGGACCACGCTTCGAGGGATAGTGTGTATGCCAATATGTACATTGTAAGTTAAATGGACTCTTATCTATTTATTGATATAAACGGCTATCGATCATTATATTTGCAGCGACTGTGGACGGAAGGCATTTTGTTTTGCACCCAATATGTGCGCCTGCAGACACAAACACCATCATTATGGATGGGACGGGAAATGTACGAAGGATTACTGAGTTTGACAATATTATGGCATTGTTGGGCAACTTGAACTATTGGGACTGTTATAGGCCCCACCACCCTACCTAATATAACAAACATTTAGCAGCTGTGCAAATTACAAACCACAAGCCACAACAGTAATTATTCGGCACCAGCTGCATTGTTAAATGACTTTTGCGAGGTCATTAAAAATAATGAAGCTCCAAAGCTAGAGCTAAATTGAATAATTTCAACTACTTTTTCCGTTCCATTTTTTTAATGTGTACAATTTTAAGTTTTTTATACTCTTTTTATATGTATTCGGATAAATTTAATAAAGATATTGTGGCCCCGCCCGGCCTCCTCTGCGATTCTCATACCATGTACCTAACCGCTGGCAAATCTAGAATTAAATTGCGAAATTTCTAATAAATTAAATAATAAATTTGTGCATTTAAATTGTGAAATTTCTGATCATTTAAATCAATATATTGTGGCATCCCTCCTCTGCGATTCTCACATCAAGTACCTAAGCGAGGACAAATCGAGAATTAAATTGTGCATTTTCTAAAAAATTAAATAAAAAATTTGTGCATTTAAATTGTGAAATTTCTCATAAATTAAATCATAATATTGTGGCAGCCCTCCTCTGCGATTCTCATACCATGTACCTAAGCGCTGGCAAATCTAGAATTAAAATGCGAAATTTCTAATAAATTAAAAAATGAATTTGTGCATTTAAATTGTGAAATTTCTGATAAATTAAAATAAAATAATGTGGCCTCCCTTCTCTGCGATTCTCATACCATTTACCTAAGAGTTGGCAAATCTAGAATTAAATTCAACATTTTCTAAAAAAATAAATAATAAAAATATCGATTCTCAGACCAAGTACCTAAGCGCTGTCAAACCGAGAATCAAATTGTGAGATTTCTAAAAAATGTAATAATAAATTTGTGCATTTAAATTGTGAATGAAATCAACATTATGTGACAGCCCTTCTCTGCGATTCTCATACGAAGTACATGAGCGATGACAAATCGAGAAATAAATTGTGCATTTTCTAAAAAATTAAATAATAAATTTCTGCATTTAAATTGTGAAATTTCTCAAAAATTAAATAATAATATTGTGACAGCCCTCCTGTGTGATTCTCATACCATGTACCTAAGTGCTGGCAAATCTAGAATTAAATTGCGAAATTTATAATAAATTAAAAAATGAATTTGTGCATTTAAATTGTGAAATTTCTGATAAATTAAAATAAAAATGTGGCCGCCCTTCTCTGCGATTCTCATACCATTTACCTAAGAGTTGGCAAATCTAGAATTAAATTGTACATTTTCTAAAAAAATAAATAATAAAAATATCGATTCTCAGACCAAGTACCTAAGCGCTGTCAAACCAAGAATCAAATCGTGAGATTTCTAAAAAATGTAATAATAAATTTGTTCATTTAAATTGTGAATGAAATCAACATTATGTGACAGCCCTCCTCTGCGATTCTCATACGAAGTACATGAGCGATGACAAATCGAGAATTAAATTGTGCATTTTCTAAACAATTAAAAAATAAATTTGTGCATTTAAATTGTGAAATTTCTGATGAATTAAAATAAAATAATTTCTCATGCCATTTACCTAAGAGTTGGAAAATCGAGAATTAAATTGTGCATTTTCTAAACAATTAAATAATATAAATATGCATTTAAATTGTGATATTTCTGATAATTAAATTAAAATATTGTTGTCGCCGTCATCTGCGATTCTCAGACCAAGTACCTAAACGCTGTCAAACCGAAAATCAAATTGTGAGATTTCTAAAAAATTTAATAATAAATTTGTGCATTTAAATTGTGATATTTCTGATAAATTAAATTAAAATATTGTGGCCGCCGTCCTTTGCGATTCTCAGACCAAGTACCTAAGCGCTGTCAAACCGAGAATTAAATTGTGCATTTTCTAAACAATTTAATAATAAATTTGTGCATTTAAATTGTGAAATTTCTGATAAATTAAATCAACATTATGTGACAGCCCTCCTCTGCGATTCTCATACGAAGTACATGAGCGATGACAAATCGAGAATTAAATTGTGCATTTTCTAAACAATTAAATAATAAATTTCTGCATTTAAATTGTGAAATTTCTGATAAATTAAATCAATATATTGTGGCCACCATCCTCTGCCATTCTCATACCAAGAACCTAAGTGCTGGCAAATAAAGAATGAATTTTCTAAAAAATTAAATGATAATATTGTGGATTTAAATTAAAATATTGTGGTCGCCCTCCTCTGCGATTCTCATACCAAGTACCTAAGCGCTGGCAAATCGTGAATTAAATTGTGAAAGTTCTGTGTAATTCCATTATTTTTATTGAAAACAAGCGATCCTCTATTGTAATGACATTATAAAGAAATTCTGTTAGTACTTCAAATAATTTTTTTTTTTTTTTTTTGTAAGCTAGTGATACATATTGGTGGTACTTTGTGAAGATTATTAAACAATGTAAATAGTACTTTTTAAATTGTATTTTATTTATATCTATTTTTCCGGATATATATAAAAAATTGCTAAACGTAGATATCTACCAATTAAGTTATAAAGGGAATAATATGATCAAATTTGTTAAATTCATGTTATTCATTTCGCGTAAACACATAATATAAGATAAATTAATTAAACCATTATAGAGTATACAAGCAATTATCAATTATTGAGTTTCCGCACTTTTTCCACATTTAAAATTTGTTGATTGTTTACTTCTTATTGCTAGTGCAAAACGAGCGCGCGCGACGAATGTCTCGTGTTGTGTAGAGTATAGTATATTGTGCGCCCAAATGAGAGCTGTAGTTTTGCGGCAAGAGAGCGCAACAAGAGCGCACAAGGAGAAAAAGAACTGGTTTTTGTGCTCAGAGAATTTTCCAACAAGTCGCGTGCATAAATAAATATCAAAAACAAAATGAAATTGTTGTTGTTATTGGTTTATCTATTTATGTAGATTGCGAGGGCTTGCCGCTAAGACGTTGAATTAATTTTGTTAACGCTGCCAAAAACTTGCCTCCATTTTCATTTCCTACGACAGCGGCTATGCACAGCAAGTAAAAAGTGTGTACGTGTGGTCCAGTGACGGTGTGAAGCGGGGTTTCTGACCATTTGGATGGGGGTATATGCTTGCATGCATCTTGTGTATGATTTATAAAATCGCTGCCCAAATTCATAAATTTTCGACGCCACTGTTTTTAAAATCAAACCGCTCGCAGCTGACAAACTACGACGACGACGCCCTCTCTGTCGTCGTACGGTGACATTGATAAGGCGCGTTAATTATATTAATTATTGTTTGAGTTGCCGAACTGCTCCTATCTAAGTGTAAAAATGTTTGCAGGAATGATAGAACGAAAAATAGCAAAAACAAACACACGCTCCCACCCAAATATTGTAGCTCGCGGGCGGCGCTAAAAGTGGCGCGTGTGGCGTGTTTTCATTTTTTAAGGCTGTAGTAGTCGACGTCATCGACGCCAGCGCTTACAGCAGCAGCGACCACGCGCGTTCTGTTCGCCTTGTTCTCCAAAACGGCGCGTCAGCTCAGTTGGAGTTTTGCTCTCGATTGGAACGGTTGGGTTTTCTACTGCTGGAGCTGGTAATCCTGCAATTTGAATTATTTACTTTCGTCGAGTAGCGCTCACCTGCTCAAAAATTTCAATAAAGTAGTAATTTCCACAAAAAAAATTACAGTTTTACAGTAGTGTTGTATTTTATTGGACTGAATAAAATGTGCCAGATAAAGGTAAGTAATTGTTATATAAAGATGTGTGTGTAATGTGTACAGGTGTGTGTGTGTGTGCGTGTGTATGTACATCTGTCCTTACAAAACCAGTTGACAGCACTGCAGGATACAAAGGCAGAAGTGAAAGTCGCAAAAGGCCGTGGGAAAACGCATAGCGTTGTTCTTATCGCAAAACGCGTTTGTAAATTGTCTGGTCGTGTTTTATGTACATGTATGTATGTTTCTACGTTATGTAAGCACCTAGAATTGATGTGTGGCCAGGCCCCGCGTGTCAAATGCAACGGATATTTATGTATTTATTTTTTTTATTGCTAAACCTATTCCAGTAACGGGGCCTGATTGCATGTCTGCCTTGCAATTGCAATTTATTAAGTGTCGTTCTGTGTATTTATTTATAAGTCATACATACATATGTATGTACATGTATGTATGTACACACATATGTACATATGTTTATCGTATATGCATGTTAGGTAGGCGCAACTGCTGCGCAGTTTCTGAAACACGCACGTCAGCCGAAAAGACTAAAAACCGTTTTACTTGGTGTACCAACAACAACAAATTAAGAAGCAGTTAGGAAAACGAGCGCTAATGCAAAAAACCGGTTGATAAATTAGCACGCTTATCTTGCTTTAACAAAGCACGAAATTTTATAAATAAATACCGACACAATAAGGGATATTCGAATGGATGTAAATATTATATGTATGTATGTGTAAGTGGCGCGTGGTGTTCTTTTGGTGCCGCCTTATCGATGTCCCACTCATTCATCTGCCCTGGGGCCTGTACTTAAGTAGCATACAATAATTCCGAACACCTGATAAGAACGTAGAAATTTCGATTCGATTTAATAATTGCATACCTCAACAAAACACACATATATGTAAAAACACCTGTGTAAATTACATACATACTTGTATACTGTATTTACATATATTTCTGGAAGAATTCGGCAACCCAACTCTGAAAGTTTTCTGTACCCTGTACTACTTGTAATTTGTATTTGCCACACCCACATTAAACTGTGTATATTAATTTGGTTGCAGAAAGCATCGTCTGTTCTACAAAAACTTTTTGTGTACGGAGCTCTCAAATACGGACAACCCAGTAATTCGATTTTGGCCAGCTCTGGCAATGGATACGCCAAGTTCTGGTGCCGTGCGACGACCACGGAGAAGCTGCCGCTGGTCATTGCCACGCGCTATAACATTCCATTCTTGTTAAATAAGCCTGGAATCGGCTATTATGTGACCGGCGAGATCTATGAAGTGGACGATCGTATGCTTAACTCTCTGGATAACCTTGAGGACTGTCAGGATATATATACTCGCGAGAAGCTTGATATGAACATTGGTGTGGGCGAGGGGTGAGCACGAATACTCATTGACGTCAATGGCTAGTGGCATAAGTTGATTTATTAATAATTTTTGTTTTTTTAGAACCGTACCCTGTTGGGTATATTTGCTGCAGAAGTATCCGGAGAAGCTGCTCTCCTTGCCCTATTTGTCAGGCTATGAGAACAGCACCACACATCCCTATATTATGAGACACCGTCGCACGCACAAGCATCCTGCCCAGGATGATCTTACTTATACCGCCCAGAACTAAATGACCAAATACGTGGACGTGAATGTGCTCTGAAGGCAGTGTTGGCAATTAATATTTTTACCGGTTATTGCATTTGTAGAACGTATGAGGATATATGTATGTACCTATACACACATACAATCAATCATACGTAGTAGGTACACGTTTTCCAGATGTGATTGGAATAGCACACTGATATATATACTATATACAGATATCTATAGATATTGATTTACAGCTCTATGCATATGGTAGCTTTTAGTGATTTGTCTGAACTTAGCTCATAACTATATACGTACAATATGTAATCTTTTCGAGATGGAAATAAAATTCAAGCAATTTGGAAGTAAACGAACGTGAATCTTTTGATAAAAGTCGTTATGTAAATTGCTCAGAAATTTCTCGCTGTGTGCTAATAGCGGCCAGTTATGTGGGAATGGCAAAAAGCTCTGATAAACTATAACAATTCACAGTAAACTGCAATCTTGACACATACAAAAACAAAAAGGGATGTGTATACACTTTTCCTAATAACTGATAGGCCCTAACACCATCCACTTCTCATTATGCAGCTTAATCTTGATAGATAACAACAGATTACTGGAAATAAACAGGCCAGACTAGCATGCGTCAGCAAAACCTATCCAAAATGTCCAAGCAGCTGATCAAAGTCTTCGTGTATGGTACGTTGAAGCAAGGTGAACCGAACCACCATTGGATTTCAAGTCCCAAGAACGGCCTTGCCCGTTTTGTCAACAATGGAACGACGTCAGTCAAGTTTCCATTAGTGATTGGCACTCGCTACAATATTCCGTTCTTGTTGAACAAACCCGGTGAGGGTCACAATGTGCAGGGAGAGATATACGAGATTGATGAGCAGATGTTGGGAAATCTAGATATACTGGAGGACTATCCCCGGTATTATGATCGGGAAATTCAGGCTATAATAACGGATCAAAATGAGTGAGTGAAAGAATGTTTGATACTTGTATCAGCTAAAATATATTCTGGCATTTTAGTACCGTGGAGTGCTGGTTATACTTGATACGAAATTATCCGGAAAAATTATTAAGTAAGCCGCATCTCAATTCATACCACAATACGCCTAAGCAGCCGTACAGCGAGAGGTCAGCACGTGATCCAAATATCATAGCCCGCGACGATTTATCTTACTGAATCATTTATTTTCGCAGCTATGCAGATAGTACTGCAGCGGATTTGTTTACATACGACTGACGGAGCTAGAGACGATGAAGCAAGTGTCTTTAGGCAAATAAAATTCCACGGAAATTACAACGGATTTCAACGCATGGCTATTATTCATAATGTAGTACATTGATTCCATAATTAAAAAAATGCAAACCTAGATGTGAACAATATCTGTTGGGGGGTATATACGTAAATCGAAAGCGTAGATAAATTTAACATAGTATGCATACAGAAAGAACCCATATGAAGTGATCGCTGAGTGTCGCACCAGAGACTCGCAACGAGTCAGTATGCCAGACGCGTATAGCAGTGGCAACTGTAGTACATAATAGAGTAGAAACGCTTTTGTGGTAGCAACAACAGCGGGCGTAGTGATATCAGCTTAGATGACCTAGCTGTCCGCTTCGTCGTCAAGCGATTGGAATCGATTGGTGGCTGCAACCGGTGCAGCTGTCTGCTCCTGCACACGCTGAAAGCGACCGCCATGTCGTACTTCTTCGAAGGCGGGTTCGTTTTTCTTCTTGCGCTGTTCCTCCGGACGCGCTGCATTGAGCGTGGGGAAAAACTCCGTATTGGTGATGTCAGGTGCAGCACGCCTTGAACGTAAGCCGCTGCCAGTGCCGCCACCGACTTGCTGTTGCTATATACAGACATAAATAATGAAAAAATACTCGGACGCAAAGTGGCACACGCCTTTTTATGTACTTACGCTATAACGTAACGCGGGGGAAATGTAAACTTTCGAGGGCTTTTCAATCTCCACCGGGATTTGCGTTACCTCTTCAGCAGGTATCAGTTTTTTCCAGGGACCGAACCCGCTGCGTTTCGCGTTAACGTCAGTGGTTGCGTTACCCTCGCTATCGTCGTCGTCCTCATCGTAGACATCCGCAGATGGCAGCTGGGTTGGTTGCTGCTCGTTGATGTTCAGCTGACCAATCTTGAGACCGCTGTAGTCCTTGCGCTGCTCCTCCTCAAACTCTTTCCATTCCTCCTCCACAACCTGCACATTCAATATATAACCATTTAAGCTTAAAAACTGCTGTTCAAGGTTCACTCACCACCACAGGCTCGGCGGGCTTAACATTGTTCTCAATATCGCTCACTGCCACGCTGCCAGCAACTGGGGCTTCAGGTTTTTTTGTCTTTGCTGCCGCCGCCTCACGCTTGGTGACGTCCTCCAAGTTTTTCACCAGTTCGTCGGCTGTAATGAACTTGGTTTTGGTCTTCGACTTCTTCTTGTCCTTTTTCGCAAAAAAATCGTCCAATTCAGCCATGATTTTCCAGCCACAATTTTCGCCAAAAACGTGAAGAGAACGTGAGAGAGAGCTGCAGCAGTAAGCGGGCTGTCAAGTTGGTTGGACCGACTGCTTTATACGAAGACTTTTGGATGATTTTGTATGTTTATTAAAAATTTGATAGGTTGGCAGCTACGTGCCCGATTGCTATTATCGATATTTGCCAGACGATGTTCCCACACGTGGTCACTGAATGGAACACATCGATAAGCATTTGAGGCACAACCCGCATAATTTTGTATATGGCGGTTCTTTTTTTGAAATACGTTAATTTGAAAGTTCGCTGAATTGTTTGGTAAATTAAATTTGATATACGGCTATTTTGTTACGTATTTTATTGGTTGCTTTGTTGTCATTAATGCTTTTGCTGTCTTCGTGCTTTCGCGCATAAAATTTGCAATGTTTTTGCCAATTCGATTTCGAAATTTGCATAAACTAGTTGATAAAAAGCAGGTGAATACAATTAGTCCGGTGTTGGCGCGTTTGCGCAATAGCGAATAGAAAGAAAGAGTAAATGTCAAAGGTTTGCGAAAATTTCACGACATATTTTAAGTTATTTACCATTCATAATAGTCTTAAAAATGAATAATGCATAAACATTAAAATTTATCTAACGCCCCAGCCACTAGCTGCAAAAATAATTTTAAAATACATAAAAGTTGGCTTCAAAAGCTCGTCTAATTGTCCGACAAATATATTGTCAGCACTTATACATGTATATATGTACATGTGAACTATTTTTACTACTTCGCAGTGAAGTACAAAAAGAAAACACAATTACCTTAAGAGCTGCATAAATAGCAATAAAAACGCAGCAGGCCGTTGCCTCCTTGCGGCACAGCCCAGAGAAAATCGCATTAGCCGGAGCCAACAATTAAAGTTCCGCCAAATTTGCTAAGTAAATGTGTGCAAGATATTGAACAAGCTAATAGATATTTTTTTCAGCACTAGGTTACCAGGCGTCCAAGCGTACAACAACACAAACGTAAGGCACAGGCTTGCCACATCCATATCCAGAGCGAATGCTTAACCAGTTAATAGACCGGCTCACAAGACTCACTTTCGGTATGGAGACGCCGACAATGCTAAAGACACTGAAGACGACGGCGCTCAGCCAATAGAAATGGATCCACTTACTTAAAGCCGTTTCCATTCATATTGACAAGCCCGCGCCAGACCGCGCTCAGTCTTCTTTTGCACGTCGCAGTGCACACATCATCGTTGCCGGCAGCTCCAGCATCATCAGTAACATCAGTGTTCAGTTTTCTCTCAGTTTGATAAGCAACAATTGTTGAATTCGTGGCAATTTGTTATTAAATGATTGCTATTCGAATCAAAAAGTGACGTGCGGCCGCCGTTTAATCGATATCGTGTGTTAACGTGCTTTTAAAAAACAAAAAAAACACACTTTTTTCAATTGAATATATATTTGCAAAAAGGTAATTAAAACGCTTGCACGCACATCGAACTTTTTTGGCGTATTTAGCACCTCAGAAGCTACCGAAATTTTTTAGACATGTTTGGGTATAGCCATTACATGCAATTCACACACATTTTTCAATGACCTCAACTTAAATCTTGAAGTTTTATATTTTAAGTAAAAATGTTAAATGTTGTTTTGTTTTGTTTTCTACTTGGCAATTATAAATGAAACCATTTTGACTATAATTAGCTGCGCAACGAAGCATTTAATGGAAACCTTTGCTATGTACAATTAAATTGGCAAGCAGGCGAAACAAAATTCATTCACTTTTGCATAATCGAAGAGCTATCCACGCCATCTCATACCTAAGTATATTCATAGGTATGTGGTCCACATTTGCACCACCAGTAGCTCCGACCACCCTGCGACTCTGCTACGCTTACGGGGGGGCCCAGTCAGGGTCATCGTATGAACTTGATCTGGCCCTTGTCAATGCAAAACTCATTTGTGGATTTAATTGCCACTGTTCGTTGGAGAAACGCTTTGGGGTAACTGTGCACATCGATTTTTTCTGGTTTTTAGTTTTTCCACCTAAGCTTCCGGTATATAAAAGTTTGTCCATAAATTTTCTGTAAAGTATGTTCGGTCGTTTTTGAATAATTTTGGCCGCTTACAGACGAATTGTGTGCATATAATCGCATGTGTGTGTGCGTGTACTGTTGGCTGATGTTGTGGCTTTTTAACTTGTTTCATTTTTGTAGCTTTTGTTTAAGGCCCAGCTTCTTCACTTGGCTGCTCTGTGTGTCAATGGCAATCGATACAAAGTCATTTACATATTGGAAATGATTTGTTGTTGTTTAGTTTTTTAAACATGTATGTACATATTTTTTGGCTCATGGTTACTCAAAAGTTTGTAACCAAGGGGTAGAAGCATGGCTGAGGTTTAAGACTTAAAATCTGTCCAATTTCATGCTTTAATGCCTTCAAAGTCATTTTATGAATGACCTCACAACTCGTCGTTTCATTACAACATAGCCCACAGAAAAGAGGTCAAATATATTTAAATTTACGACTGCCATACCTCAGTATTGCCAATTGGCAAATATATTGACATATGGCCGATGATAAAAAATGCACTTTGTTCTAAGCCCAATAAACTGCCACCGTAGACTATTAAAGCTCGACTCACAACTGTTAATTTCTTATTGCTAAGCAAAAAGGAAGACTCACACACACATATTTATATATATATATATGAATATAGTTACAAGCATGCATACATATGTATACATTTAACTTCATATTGTACTACTATAATGATTACAAGCTTTTTAATTAATAATTCAAAATGTTTCAACAAATGGAACCGGTTTCAAATTACTATATACAGTCCTATATAGATATACACACTCATATCAAATATATGTATACGTGTGTATGTGTGTGTCCGTCTCTATGCACGGCATAAAAATATGAGACAAAAACAAAATCAAATTGTTGTCTTTATAGTTCCAGTTGCTGCCCAAAGAGCGCCACTTTATATCAAGTGCCACAGAAAGTGTGTCAGTATTTTCGTATGTGGGGTGCGCGTGCACGCTTTACCTACTTATTTGCATAACTGAATATGCATGCGTAATATATTAATCGATACTGAAAATTAGACTTCTATCCATTCGCCAAATCTTTCGCTTCCTTTAACCGCATTTTAATGTGATTTTTTTGCATCCAACTAGCAGGCGAGTTCGTTGCCTAAGTTTTTTGTTTTACTGACACTTCACAGTGGGACTTTTATATTATTTTCTGTTGGCCAACACGACTGCCAATCTACAGGAGAACCTAAAAAAGTAAAATAATAGCATTAAGAAGTAGAGATGTTTGCAAGATACAACAGCAAAGAATTAATATAAAATGAGAGAATAATAAATAAAAATAACAGAACGACATATTGTAAAAAATAAACCAAATATACAATTGTACAGGTAACAATTTTTAAAAATAATAATAAAACAATATTAATAAAAATTAAATTACCCTAAATAATCAATAAAAAAAAAATAATTATAAAAATAAATAGTTATATAGGTAAAACTAATTAAAATATATATAATATAATATATTTTATTTTTTTACTTTTTATATTTTATTCACATGAGTTGAGGTATAAGAAAATCTGAGTTTATGGATAGGTATGGATATATATTGTTAATAAAGAAAAATATAAATCTCCCACTGTTCGCTAGCAGTTTCACTTTTAATTTTCGGTTTCAATTTCCGTCAGCAATCCGCATGTGCTTTATGCCGGTGATTTCAGTCGAAGTCGGTTCAATGAATTGCTTCGCTTGCATAAGCATGCGAGTTTTTCCTTTAATAATTTTCATATTGGCTTTTCTGTGTTGGCGCGTCTGTTCATGGTTTACACAAAAGAAGTGCTTTAATTGGCTCTAAACATGAAAATAAGACAATTTGAAGCTATAAAAGCAACAACAACGGCAATTAAGATCCAGGCGTCAATGAGGCATCTCCGCAAAGCGCGTGAAATATTCATGTAAACAAAAGTGCATATATGGGTACAGTAGTAATCAGTTTATGCGATTTTATTATCATTTTGCACTTAAAAGTATTCATATATGAAATTATTATTAAATTTCAAATTAATAAAATGTATACTTGAAAATTAATTTAACCTAAGAAGCATTAGTTAGATATAGGTTTAACAAATTCTATACAATAAGATCAAGTAAATTTGCAAGTTGTATCCTACATTATTTAAAAATATGACCACAATATTTGAAAGCAATTGAAATAGTCCAAATTTGGAGAGTAAAGTGATGTGTGACAAAGCGCTAAACATAGATCGACCTTTCTTGGCATTAACAAAGAAACGCCTTTTAAAAATGCAAGCATATTTTTAATTCCGCACATGTATAGAAATACAAGTTATCAATTTAAATTATTTCTCTTTGTATAGTTATTAAACAGCTCTGTATGGAAGATCAGGTGTCGTTGTTGTCTAACAAGTTCAACAACAAACCTTCTTAACATAGCGATCCATTCCAAGCTCGGAGTCTTATGACTTTATTGGGATTTTAATTAAGTTTGCGCTTTTCCCAAGTTGATCTAAATTGACTCTTTGTGGCCTTGGTGGGCAGATATAGTAATGGCATTTACTGTCTATCTATGACAATGACCATTTTTTAATTATTAATTTTTAATTTTTTAAATATAAATTGTCTATAATTCAAACCCAAGACATTTTACCTTATTAGATCCCATCTTTTCAGTAAACAATTAACTCGTATTTTTTATTTAGTGTTCAAATTTCTTTTAAAGGTCAAATAAGACATTGATTAATGCTTTATAGTTTAATTACTCTTTAGCAATTATCTTTTGGGCAGTTATGTATGTCTAGACGTGCGCTCCAAACGAGATACAGAGATTAACTAAACTGCAGCTTTATTATCGAAACGAATTTTGTGTTATATGTAAGTATATTAAAGTTTTTTTTTATGCATTTTACGTGATATTGCGTTTTGCTAAAGTCGCATCAAAAGCTTAGAAACCACATCTGTTTAATTTTATTTAACATTTAATTCGTTTTAACCTAGATAATTTCTATATTATTATAGTAAGGCAAATAGGTTTCAACTCGAATTGTAATTTGAAAAGTGAAGTGATAGTACGTTTTATTATATACTTGTATAGTAATATTTATTTTGTTCATAAATGTTTCTGCTTTCCATTAAAATACCATAAGTCGAGGAAATAATTAGATGACAATCGATTTCATTTAATGTAAATTAAATACTTTAGTTCTTCTAAAGGCATAGAGTAATGTTGAAATTAAATCAATTATATCAAGTAATATTTTAAGCTCGGAGGTATCACTGTACTTGTGTGTGTTGCATTTGTGCGGTATTTGTTAATTAAATACAACTGCTCTGCTAACCATTGACAGAATGTAGGTTAGATACGAGATGGAAGGCAAAGCAAAAAGAGTTGGGACTGACCTCTGCAGTATTTGCTTTTTAGTTAACCCCATCAGTTTGGAGTTCAAGGTGATCCATCCATTCAGTCAATGAGACGATTTCTTCAGATTTGCATCGTCACGCTCCAAATGCAAGCTGCTGAAGTACGCCTGCCACTTGTTGTCTTAATGCGCATGCTCCGAGTGAGCATTTAACTAGCGTAGCTAAGCAAACCTCCATCACAAGTACATACTCGGACCAGTACAGACATTCGGGTATGTCTGCAGGTCTCTATAAATGTGTATGAATGTATTTAGATATGGTGACAAACTAAAAACTCGTTCAGTGTTGCATGAAAACAACAATTTCGTTGTGGACATGAACCGCAGCTTACAAAACCATAGAAACGTGGATTGTAATCCAAGCAAAAAAGCGAGGCAATAGGCCGAAGATGCGAGAAACCCACTAAAGAGGCCGACTAATACTGCCCACAAATGTCATATACAAGTATGTACAAGTATGTATGCATATAGTATAGTATACGAGTATTAAAGCCAGGCAATGGTCACGACTGCGGCCAAAGTGCAAGGCGCGCACAAGGCACTAGCGGGATGGTGGAACAGTGTTTGGCTTTGTATTTGGCCAACTGTAACGCGATAATGCTAAAGCAAACCGAATTGTGCAATTGGCATTTGCTATTCGGCTATAAAGTAGCTAGCTAGCTAGCTGCAGCATGCGTGTTGCTTTGCATCTTACAGGTTGCAGCAGCGTGGCGGGTTCGATTAGCCAAAGTTGTGGAACGACTCCTGCCACGCTCACGTTTATGATTTGTGCAACTTCTTGTGCAAAATGATTGTTGCTGCTGTCATTTGGTTTCTATTGGTTTCTATTAAACCAATCAGCCATCCGTTCACGTACCCCTCTCACATTGCATAATTCTCATAACACAAACTCAAAGAAATGTGAGTCTTTGCTGTTGTCGACATCCATGCCTGCGTCATCGGCACCGTCGGCATCGGCATCGGCCACCAAACTCGTTTACATTTCACTTTCTGGCCAGCTTTGGTCGCGCTCTGGATCGCTGCACGCGCCACTTGCAACTCGTTGCAATTGGCAACAATTCCTACCGCAACGCCACTCAGAATTAGCCCCGTTTTTTCTTAATTTTTCATTTTCCAGCTTGTTTCAACACACGTTTTGAGTTTCGCATTTGCCCACGTTTGCCACAAGCGGCGCAGCGGGGAATGTTTCGTATATTTTTGACTGGTTTTGCTCATTTCTGGAATGTTTGCACAATCCCCAAACATGTAGAAAACAATTGCCAACTAACGCTGTCTATTTATTTATTAATTGCATCTCTTGTAGCCACAATATGGCGGAAGATCTGTCACCTGTGCAGGAATACTACAAGGATAAGACAGTGTTCATTACTGGAGCCTCGGGCTTTATGGGCAAGGTGTTGCTGGAGAAACTGCTCTATTCATGTCACTCCCTCAAGGAGGTGATCATTATTGTGAGACCAAAGCGCGGCAAGGCTCCGGAAACTCGTCTCGAGGAGATGTTCAAGCTGCCCATCTTCCAGCGCATCAAGGACGAACGACCTCATGTACTGAAGAAGGTGTCCATCTACCAGGGTGACGTGACCTATGATTGTAAGTTAAGCATTAAATCTCGATTATTGAAATGTTGCTTGATTGTGGGTGGAGAAGAGAATAGAAAAAGTTAAATACTAAATCATAAGCCGGTTTGTTTATTTCATTTTCTGATTTACTATTTTTGGGTTTCATCTGAATTGAAATCAATTTTTTAGTTTTTGGCTCCCACTCGTATTTGCCAAAAAAAATATCTTCAATTCTTCATCTTCTTTTCATGTATTTTACCTTTTCTTTAATAAACTCGCGAACAAATTTTAAATGCGATGATGTAATTGCAAAATGACACATTTTGTGATTTTACTTAACAATTTGGAACTTGAAAGATTATTCGTAGCATTTTCCATGACAAATCAATTTATTTCAAAGTATTACAAAGAATGGAGCTACTTACGCAAAATTCCTGCAATCATTTTTTTGTTGATCTAAGAATGCATCGGTATATGCTCCAAAGCTTTCATTTTATTTTCTTATTCAATACAAGTTATTTTTTAAGAGGAATATGATTATATAAATTTCTTTAATTGACTTTAAGTTGGTCGAATACTTACGCAATCAAATCGAAATTAGTAATTTCCTTTGACTACTCGCAATGAATTAATTTTGAGAGACTTCAACCTCAATTAAAATGTAATTGTTTTAATCCTCCATTAATTTGCAGCTCTCGGATTGAGCGGCGAAAGCCTCAAGCATGTGGTGGATAATACCAATATTGTCTTTCACATGGCCGCTACACTGAAATTGGAGGGCAATTTGCGAGATGCCATCGATATGAATCTAATGGGCACTAAGCGAGCTCTGGACGTGGCAAAACAAATGAAGCAGCTGGAGGCCTTTGTGCACCTGTCCACTGCCTTCTGCAATTGCGACCAGGAGGTGATGTACGAGAAGGTGTACGAGTTTCCGCACAAGCCCGAGGATCTCATGCGCCTGGCCGAATGGATGGATGTGAAGACACTGGACGCCATTACGCCCGATCTGTTGAAGCCACATCCCAACACCTACACCTATTCGAAGCGTCTGGCCGAGCTGCTGGTGCGCGATCATTACGAAACCATGCCCGTCATCATCGCTCGTCCAAGTATTGGTAAGTGTCTGGAAGTGTTTGGCTGGCAGCTGTCCAGCTGTCCAGCCAAATCCAAATGCTTTGCGTGCTTTTTTGTCTATCTGTGTGTGTGTGTGTTTTTGGCAAATGAGCCGCAAGGCTTGTTTTTTTGGTTGCTTGCTTTTGCTCCGGCTTGTTTCTTTTTTTTATATTAATGTCATTAACTTTTACTATGTTTATCAATTTTCGCTTTTGGTTTCCGTGCAAAAGTCGCTTGACTTCTTGAGCTCTTGTGCCACATAAATACGAAACTACAATCGTGTAAACTAATCTATCGCCTTTGCCTGGTCAAGAGGCTATGCAATTAATTTCTCGTATTTTTGGTTTTACAGTATTTTTCATTTCTTTTATTTATATAAAAAAAAATCCACAAAGCTTGTTTTGTCTATTGCGCCATTTCCAATCGTCGCAGGTGTCTTAAGTTGCCAATAAATATTGTTTGAGGGGGGCAGACAGGAAAAAAATGTGTTGAGTCGAAGTTACGACGTACGATAATTGACTGTAAAGCCATGGAACTAGTTTCTTTTTATGTTTTTATACAGAATACACAATGGCATGCACTGGATATAGTCAAGTCATTGAACTCCCGATTTATATATGTAATATATATACAGCTAGAAATATCTCAGCACATCTTCTTTTATATTTAAACTTTTACCATTCGCCCTTTGTCTGACATATTTGGATATTAGGAATTGCAATATTTCATTTGTTTTTTTACTTCTTGTAGTATCAATAATAAATTACCAAAAATCGTATTATTTCTTGTAATAACAGTTAGTTATCTTAGTGGAACCTAATAATAATCGAATAATAATAAATCGAAATGAAGTATGATGATATCCCGAAAACTTTACCTATAAATCTGTCGCATTATTAATCTGGTATATACAAGTATTAAGACATTTCTCTTTCTAAAACACAAAAACAGTAATTAAATGGCTGCAATACGATTCGAAATAGGAACTGGTTTAATATATGTACATAATTATTTTCGAGAGCAGCGAATGTGATTCTTGACATTTATCCTACAGTATTAGATAATCATTCCATTTTTGTTTTTTTTATAGACGTGAGCTCAATAATATTTTAATGTAGTATGTGCATTTTTTAATAGGGTAAATGCTTAAAGTCTGGCGGTCCCCATTTACTCAATCGACTAAAAAAATTGTTTTAGGATCACAATAACAAATTCCCCCCAACAAGGGTTACGCTCCATAGACGTAGAATAGGGGATGTGTCAGTCCCTAAACAAAATCTATTTCAAAAATATTAGGCGATAATTTCATGGCATTTATTAGAAGAGACGGTTGCTCAATTGTCAAAAAAATCAACGCCACCCCCTACCAGGTGAGCTCTTGACTAAGCCCCTGTAACGATTAGAAGAGCAGCTTTTTAATTGGTTGTTTTTATTATTGCTGGCAATAACTTGCTCATTAAATACTAAGACTGTTGCATTTTAAAATTATACTTGTATGCTAAGAAAATAGGTAATAAAAGTGCAAGTATATAAGTAGTTTTATTAGGAGTGGGAAATTACTGGGGTAGGCCAATTGTAGAGCCTATTTGTAACTAGTTTACCCAATATTGCGCAGTAGAGAAGCAATAAAATTAATTAAATATTTGCCATCAAGCCAGCATATTAGCCATCTATGACTATAGCTTCATAGCTTAACCCCACCAGAAGCACCTGGGCGGGCAGCGAACGGTAACTAGCGTAAACAAGTTGGTGGAGACGGCGCTCGTTGAGGTTGTCTAATTGAAACCAATGCCGTTCAGGCTGTGTAGGAGTGGCTTGTGCTACATACATACATACACCAACTGGAAACTGACAAAGTGATTTAGCAATAAGTGCTTTGCGCCTGCTAATTGTGAGTTTTATGCTTTTCTGTTTTATGATTTTCTGCGCCAATGACTGACGTCTGCATATACATACTTGTACATACATATGTACTATGAATGTAGTCATCTGTGTGTGAGGACGGGTCGGCGATTGCCTTTTTTGCGTTTGAATGTGAAGTAAAAGTCATCATCCCGACGCGCTTTATGCCTTTACCTTTGCCGCCGCCCCCGCCTGCACCTTCTCCTTCGCAATTTGTGACTTACACAGCCATAAACAACAAAGATAAATAAAAAATAGTGCTTTCAAACAATGTGCCGGTCTAATATGCACAAACATGTAACAACAGCAACAGCAACAGCAAAAGCCACAACAACTATTACAACAAGAACAAACAGCTTTATAAATACACAAAGTACACACCCCATCTTGCAAAAGTGCAATGATTGTGAGAAGAAGAACGAAAGATCTTTGTCATTGATTGAAGAGTTCAATGACAAGCAAACAAAAACGCAAGCAACGACAGATTCCCTCCTCCCGCTTCCAACACACACTTGCCTGCTTGACCGTCCACCTACATATAATTATTTGCTTGTCCACCTGCCTGCAAATAAAACGAGTGAACGTCATTGCCACTGCCATAGCCAAAGCCACCCGCCTCTGCCCGCCTCAGCCAGCCTCTGCCCGCCAATCCAGCGCAATCCAAACACACTCGAGGCTTACACACACCCAACGCCACATGCCACATGCACACATTCGCTTGCCAACGAGAGGTGGCCCGCTTGTGTCTTGGAGTTTTGCCGAGTACCCTGCATTTTCCCCGCTAATGCTTCGACGATGCGCTGCTGCTGCCAGGACAGCTGTCCCTGTTCGCTTTGTAATGTACCACAATCTCTCAGTTTCGCCGTCGGCCTATGAACCGGTGCCCGGTTGGGTGGACAACCTAAATGGCCCCACTGGCCTGATGGTGGGGGCGGGAAAAGGTGTCATTAGGTCGATGCTGATCGATATGCGACACAAATCTGAGGTCATACCGGTGGATTATGCCATCAATGGGCTCTGCGTTATACCCTATCAGTTTGCCAATCAGCCCAAGCCTGTCGATGTGCCAGTCTATAACATAACCTGTGCGGATCATCGGAAAATGCAATGGGGCGAGGTAATTGAGATGAGCAAAAAGATCGGCTATAAGTATCCAATGGAGGCGGGGCTCTGGTATCCCGATGGCTGCATTACAACCAACAAGTTTCATCACAAAATCAACGTCTTGCTCTTTCACTGGGTCCCCGCCTATATCATCGATTTCATACTCTTCCTATTGGGACAGAAGCGATTGTAAGTTCTCAAATCACCTAAATGGGAAGTGCCCGCTGGTAGAATGTAGAGCTTTTCTCGCCTAGCATGATACGCGTACAAAATCGCGTACAGATCGGTCTCGAAGTGCTGCAGTTCTTCACAATGCGTGCCTGGTACTTCAAGTCTGATGCCTATGCCTCGTTATGGGACATATTGAACGATGAGGATAAGAAAAAGTAGGTATTGCAACACGCAAGCACTTCAGACCTAAACCAGCTGCCTCAATATACAGTTTTAACATGGACATGGATCCCGAGGAGACAGTACCCATGTATATAGAGTCCTGTGTACAGGGTGGACGGCAGTACTTGATGAAGGAGTCGCCTGACTCATTGCCACGCGCCCGTCGGCAGCTTTGGCTGTAAGCGGCAGTTGCCAAAATACAGACCTCATATAATACTTGCCTAATGGTTTCCTACCCCCCCGTTTCAGCATGTTTATTCTGGATCGTGTGTGCAAGGCAATCATAGTCGGCTTCCTTAGCTATTGGACTTATGGAGTTGTAGCTCGATTTACGGGCGTTGGAGTCTGAGATTACTTGCGCCTTCTTCGCTTCACTAAATTCTGCTTAGATTCGCTTTTGGGTACAAAGTTGGAGGCAGCTTTGCCTCTTATGCGGGTTTTCTTTAATATTTTAAGTGAAATTATTCATCATCTAATAAATAAAAGAAACGGTTCGAAAAGTAATTTACGTGTTCGAGTGTTGAGTGTTGAAGAGAAGCTGCACAATCCCTACACACTCTCACATACCACTCTGATACACACAATTCTAATACACTTACACGCACATGCACACTCACATACTGACAACATCGTACACGCATCCAAACACACATACACACTCTCGCTCCTAACCGGCGTCGGTACCCATCGTTCTGTTCTGTTCCCATGGGTTTCATGGTATGTAAAGCCTAATTCATTCTGAAGAAGGCAACTAGAATCTGGATTCTAATGGATTATACTCCTCCTTTAGTCTCGCCTGCCGCCTATGAACCACTTCAGGGCTGGGTGGATAACCTGAATGGACCGACTGGCCTCATGATTGGATGCGGAAAAGGCGTCATACGCTCCGTTCTTGTCGATATGAAGAACAAGACCGAAGTCATACCGGTCGACTATGCCATCAATGGGCTCATTGTGATACCCTACGAATTTAATAAGCAAGCCCACCGACCCAACACCGTTCCAGTCTACAACATTACCAACGCCGATCATAGAAAGAAGCCCCTGGGCGAGGTCGTGGAGATAAGCAAACGCAACAACAACGATATACCATTAAATGCAGGCCTCTGGTATCCCGATCCCTGCGTCACCACCAATGAACTATATCACAAATTCAATGTGGCATTGTTCCACTGGCTGCCCGCCTATCTCCTAGACTTCCTCATGCTCATTCTGGGTCAAAAGCGCTTGTAAGTTCTGGGAATTTTTGCGAGTTATGGATTATTTTATGCAAGCAATTTTCTCTATATATGACAGCATGCTGCGCGTGCAAGAAAAGATTTCAATAGGTCTGGGTGTACTGCAATTCTTCACACTCAATGCTTGGACTTTCCGTTCCGAAAACTATGGAGCACTATGGAAGAATCTCAATGAACAGGATAAAGCCATGTGAGTAGCCAAAATTTGGCAATATAGAAGTTTTCCGCTAATGCCACGCCTATATACAGTTTCAATATGAATATGGATGTGAAGGAAACCGAAGAGGAGTACATGATTGTCTGTGCTCTGGGTGCCCGCAGATATATATTGAAGGAGAAGGACGAGGACTTGCCGAAGGCTCGTCTGCATATGAGAATGTATTTATTATTATTTCCACCGACTGCTATCAGATTGACCGCATACTATTCATTTACAGCCAATATGTAGCCGATCGCGTCTGCAAGACGTTAATCGTTGGACTCTTCTTCTACTATCTGCTGAAATGGACGGGCGTTCTTGCAATGTTCTAAGTCTTCAACTGATTTTTAAAAAAACAGTGCACAACTGGGCGATGGCATTTATTTAGTCATTTAATTAGCTGTAGTTCAATGTCGTAAAGGTTCCCAATAAATATATAATTGTAGGTTTTTTATACAATTTTCTACACTGTAGTTTGTTTCTCGACTTCCATTACTTTCAAATATTCGTGAACATTCGTGTAATCCTAACATCTTTTATGCATGCTCAGTCACGCCTGCTGTAGCCGAACCGCTTCCCGGCTGGGTCGACAACATGAATGGGCCTGTGGGTGTATTGATTGGTGCCGGTAAGGGCGTCATAAGGTCCATGATGTGCAAGGGCGAACTAAAGTCGGAGGTCATACCAGTAGACATTGCGGTTAATGGATTGATTCTAATCCCTTACCACAACAGTTTGGCGGAGCACAGGTGATAAACGAACATAGGAATGATTAGAATTTAAATAGAATTGCATGCCTGATATTTCGTATACAGACCAGCGCTGATACCTGTCTACAATCTGACTATATCGGATGCCAAGAAGCGCACTTGGAGATGGATTATGGATGTGGGACGTGATCTAGGCATGAAGTACCCCTTCGAGATGGGCTTGTGGTACCCGGACGGCAATATTACCGAGAGCAAGATCTACCATATATTCTGCACAATTATGTTTATGTGGCTGCCTGCTTACCTTATTGACTTTCTGCTGGCTATCTGTGGACAAAGACGATTGTTCGTGATGTCACATTCCTTATTTTTATAACGAATATTATATAGAATAACTTGCCATTTATGTTTTAGTATGGTTCGCGTACAAACAAAAGTGTCCGTCGGTCTAGAGGTTCTGCAATTCTTTACTACACGCAACTGGGACTTCAAGTCTACTCATTTCCATCAGATCTTTAATGAAATATCTCCCAACGATCGTAAAATGTGAGTTAGCTCTTAAATCAAATCAATGTGATGTTAGGAATTCTGAGTGTATCTATACATAGATTCAAGATCAACACTGACGATGTCGATGATCACCAATATATGCATACCAGCATACTTGGCGGCCGTCAATACGTGATGAGGGAGCCCTTAACCTCGTTACCAAAAGCTCGTATGCAGTTGAGATTGTAAGTCCTGCACTCGCCAAGCAACTATTTTTTTCCAATTTCATTAATCTATATCTATTACAGTATGTATGTGTTGGACCGCACCTGCAAGATAATCATTTTGGGTTGGCTAGCTTATTGGGCATCTCAAAAACTGGGTCTGATTGAATTATTTCGACATGCCATGGACGTCGCAAAAATTGAACTGACGAATCCCTGGGCACAGAAGTGATGGAATTATAAATATTTTACATAAAGAACATACATTACATATTATGGTTTATGCAATCTCGTCAATGCACATTAAAAATTTTGTATAAAGTTGGAACTTATGTGTATCAAAAGCACCTAGATTTTGTAGAAATCAATGTTTTCAGTACAAATAAAGAGTTGATATTAATATTCAATACCTGTTAAAGAATATAATATAATAATGTGGAATTTGAATCGCTCTCTTTATATAATTTCAAATTGCATATAAATATTTATTGTTTATTGAAAAAAAACAAACGATTTTTGAAGAAAATGTTTGATACCAATATTTCATTGTTAAATCACATGATATTTGAAATGTGGCGAATGGAACCTATCATATTTCGTATTGACTACATTATTTGTGTTTCAAGGACAGCTTTCATGATGTTTTCTTATCGAAAATATTACCAAATTTTAGTTTTCTAATGTATCCATTAAAACAACAAGTAGAGATATACTTGCATACGCTGAGTGAATAAATAGGCAGATTGATCGATAGACTGACTATATTGTCTCTCAATATCTATCGACCAAAAAAAAGAACTAAGGCCAATTCTCCCAAAATTAATGGAAATTGTTATATTTGAACATAAATCTTTAAGCCATATACTATTTTTATAGGGTTTAACACCTAAAGTATTTTTAAAGATAAGATAGTAACAAAATAATCGGTCCTATTTTATTATTATAATTCAATTACATATTTCAACAATCGGAATGAAGAAACCTGTGCAAGAACACATCATTTCTTATTATAGACAACATTTTGAAATTGTTCCATTTGCCAGAATGAGAAATGAAATTTAAAAGAAATTTAAAATTATTTTTTTTTTATTTTATTATTTATTACAATAAACACTCTTTCAAACAAGTAAATAGAAAATAAATATTTATTTTGTGATTCGGTAAGCACATATTTATATAATTTTTATTTAATTACAAATTAATTATATTCAATTAGCTTTAGTTGCCAAATTGGTAGCCGAATTCTGGTTTGATAAATTGTACAAAAATGAAAAAACAAAAACAAATTTACTGTCGACTGGGTAGCACTGCGGCTCCTAAAAGTCTGCAACAGTTTTGTTTGAAAAATTTAACTACATTGAAGAAATGTTTCAGCCGAAGTATATTTTAGGAAATACATTTTTGTATATTATATCCAGCTTAGTATATTTATTTAATTGAGTAAACAAAAACACGGTGAAGTGCAAATATTCTGAGAAATCTTAGATGTTTATGATGACGATAATAGAATTAATGTTAAGGCAAATGCTATTGCTGATATCATAAACAAATTTGACTTGATGACGTATTCCCAACGTTGTCAACACGTGCTACTTGATGGGTCTGGGCAATCAGAAGGCGGTGTAACGCCTTCCATTAGCTCCTCTCAAAAGAGAAGTGCACTTGTCTTCACACACCAAGCCTACAGAACACTCAGGAGTTTGCAACTGACAATTACTTTGAAGCGTTTAGGAAGCTGGACTTGTTGACGGCTCGAGGACTTTCTTATAAGTGTGGAAGTCTATAGCCACCGGTTTGGCAAAATATGCGCACATGCTTGACGAGCACATGGTTCTGTGAAAGCCGTAAAAGAAAAACGTATAGACAAATAATTGATGGAACCCTTACTTAGACAATTTCATTTAACATTACTTCTAGCTACTTAGCACTTCAAGTGCCGGCTAGTAGGCCCCTTTGTTGGCTCTCATAATTAGCTGCACTTTCGGGCACACGAATCGAACACTGCGTAAGATACTGAGACTGGCAGAGGCTGCTCCAACATCTCACGTACGCGTGCGCTCGCCATTGAAAGTGTTTTTCGTTTTTTCGTGCTTAACGAAAAATCGGACATTTCGGTTATAAATAGACGCCGACCTGCCAACGATATACCATTTGAAATTCAGCATTTGGCGGGTGAGAATTGAGCCGCGGCGTTCAAAAACTTGTGAATAGTGCGAGTGTGGAGTGTGTTCAAGTGACTCGAATCTTTAAGGACATTCGTGCAAAATCAAATTTAATGTGTTGAGTGTGACTTTATTGTTCTTGAGCCAACGTGCAAGTGCAGGGCTCATACAATTAAACCTAATTATTGGAGAAAACAAACAATTTTTGCAAAATGGTTATTGAAAAAATGGTGAGTATTTGCAAAATTTTGAAAATTGCTATAATATTTCCGAGCTTAAACAAAACTATTCATGTAACATATTCATATACATAGAATGTATATAGGAACTGAAATTGAACAACAATGATTTTGAATATTGAAAATTACGCTCATTGCATAAACAACAACGTTGGGCCTGCCTCTGTGCAAGAAGACGATTATGATCATTTCAGAAATTGGTGAGAAATATAATCATGTATATTTATTAGTAAGCAAGTGTCAATTGAAGTGTAAACACGAGTGTAGCCACAAATTCTGCACATTGAGATACTACATCGGATTATTATGTACTTATGATGGCAAGTGCCTACCTATGCCGAACAACCTGAAACTGATTTTTTTTTTTTTTGTAAGAGAGCTGGGCGGAAGCTGGTAGGTAGACAGTGGGGAGGACGTTTCACTGATTGCGCATTTTTTGTGGGCAAACATTGGGCAAATTAACCAAATATATAAATACTAAGTATATACGAGCGTGATTGTATATAGAAACATACTACTTGTACATAAGTACGGTCTTTTATTTGTCGGGTTGTTGGACCTTGTTGTTTTCCCCTTGAAAGTTCCTAATTGTCTGCGCTTAGAACGAGGAAGTTTTCTGTTTTGGTTCGTAGTAGGCGGCAAAATAATTGAGAATCACATGAATCAGATACAGTTTGGAATATCATTCAAATTTGTGCCAGTACCCAATAACTGGCATACATTTTTAGTGTATTAAAGTTACAAGCAAACAAATTCCAAAAAATTAGTATTATGTCGCAATTTTGGAAGCGCATTGTGCGTCCGGGCGTGGGATCAACGTCTTTGGTACCCAAGCGTGGCATTGTTTTTGGCGCAAAAACCGACCAGGGTCAGGGCCAGGGCCAGGCCAAGGGATCGGACATATGGAAGCGTTTGACCTTCCTAGTGGCTGCACCAGCCATATGCCTTTGCATGGTGAACGTGTTCGCCTTCCGCAACGGGGAACAGAAGCGTCAGCCCTTCGTCAAGTACGAGCATTTGCGGCGCCGCACCAAGCGCTTTCCATGGGGCGATGGCGAGAAGAGCTTCTTCCACAACCGGGAGACTAATGCGTTGCCAGATGGCTATGAGAATTAGACTAGTACATTGTTTATAGCCGCTTGCTGCTCCATTTGCTGCTGGAGGATATATATTTTCTGTTTTTCTTTTGTAAGTCCAACATTAAAGCTGCATAGTCCCGTAGGATCAATATACTTACATAACTCTTTGCAGACAGTTGCTGCTGAACTGGACTTACAACTAATACCTAATACCTACCAAGTGTTACGGAAAACACGTAAGAGCGGAACACAAAGTACAAGCCCTCTAGGGGTGACACAATAGACCTGCATAAGATTTACTCAGTGCTGATGCTGGGTGGATAGATAATACACTTACATAGCTTTCGGAAAATACTAAGCAAGTCATAAAATAAAAAAACAAGTAATTAAGCGAGCGTAAATATTTTGTTTTTTTTTTTGGTGTGTTTTAAATTTCAAATTACCCCACCCCTTTTATAGCTAAGCGGCAATTTGTTTTATTTGACAAGTGTTTAGGTGAAATTTTTACGATCTTTTCCTCCCCTCCTATTAACAATGTGTTTGATAATATAATTTGCAATGTTGCGCTTGACTTCAATTCGGAACCGTTATATGTATATATACTTGTACATATTAATTTCATTATGCAAAAATTCGTTAGATGTGCGTGTAGATTTTGTACGAGTTTATGTACAATTAACCCTGAATTTTGTACGCAGCCCCAAACGTGGTGGCAACAACAAAAATCCGCTGTAAGCTGAAACTCGTTTGTTTTAAACAGTTTTTATTTTGTAGGTTTTTAGGTTTTTGTTTTTGGTTGACACTTTGGCACAAATTGCTTGACGAATTTCATTGTTTACACTTTTACTTTGCCCAGAACCGAACAAAGCGCATAATGCGGCACAAACCGCTCCGAAGATGTTCATAATTTATCATCATTTGCGGATGAATGTGACGCAGTATTTGTAGTTTTATTGTCATTGCTTATGCCATTCTTGTCAAAAGTTTCAAAAACAACAGACATAGCCGTTAACCAGTTGCATTGCTACAAAAAATAAAAATAAAAAAAAATAAAGTGCACGTACACCCACGCTATGTAGTTTGTGTTTGTCCTTCCTCTGTTGTCGGCTTTATAAAAGTTGTGTTGTTGCTGTTACAGAATGCGAGTCAGAGGCTTTTTCCTATGAACTTAAAATTGATGAATTGGTAGTGCTTTGCGCAGACCATAAGACCATAATCGCGCATACGACCTGTTGGCTTAAGCAATTCACACTGCATGCTCACACTGCCGGGTGCGATGTTACCAAAGTGACGACGAATATTTACAGAAAATTACGCCACTAAATGCGGGCCCAGTGCTGTTTATTTAATACTCACACTTGCTGGAATGGATGGAATACGCGCGCGTTCCCAGTTAATTAGATTCGAAAATATCTCGACAAGCTCAGTAGCTAGCGGGCTAGCTTACAAGACGTTCAGCCGAGCTGAGCTATGCCATTGGCAAACAAAGCTGGCTCTTACACCTTATTGGAGTGCATTCAAGGGCCAAATGCATGGGGTTAAGCAAATATTTTTGTGCAAAAAAGCAAAAGTGCTAAATCTGGCAAGTGCAGGCAGCAGGCTGGCCTGCTAGTTCAAATGCGCTGAGCTACACACAGGGAACTACTACTGGCTATTTCGCCAAAAACAAGTGGCAAACAAATAAATTAGTTATGCACTTCAAATTTTAAATTCAATTAGATGGGAATGTGCCCTTTATCTCTAGTCATGGGGGCCCACCACAGCTGGCTAAGTCACTAACCCAGGTACCCCATTTTAGAAGTAAATAGGGGTGTGTAAATAAATAAGGGCATATTGGGAGACATCCACTTTAATAGTAGAGCAGGGTAACCCGCTGAAGGGTATTCAGCACATTAGTCGACCGAGTGATAAGAGTGTTTTCAATCACGAAGTGCTATACTCTGTACGAGTACTCCTTCAGTCTTTTATAAAATAACAAAACCGATTTGGACATGCTTAAAGATTTGAAAATAATTTGCTCTGTTTAGGATTGTTATCAAGATGGGGATGGGATGTTATTGTTCTAATGATATTTTACAGAATCACTTTAATTTTTAATAAAAAATATTACTTTCATAAATTATGAGAAACAATTTTTGGAATTACTGAGATATGCCACTTCAGATTTTTAAAACAATAATTAAAGGAATTTCATTCTCATTGCCAGCTCATTTGGATTAAATAGAATTTTCATTAACTACTTATGATGTTTATTTATGTTTTAAGAATACAGTTTTTTGAAGATGATGACGCAATATTTAATAAATTAAAAAAATAAAATAAACAAACAAAAAGACAGAAAAATCATCTACAATTGAGAAAATAATTTCAAAGTTAATAATTAATTTCGGGATGGAACTCTATTTTGCCGTCTCTTTTATTTTGCAGCTAGAGCGAGCCACGAACTCGCAATTATTGAGTGTTTTTGCGCTGGCAGTGATAACACTAAGCATTTATACATTTTGGGGCGGCAGCTATATTAAGTCGGTTCTGCTATCGCTAAGACTTTCGGGTCCACCATCATTGCCCTTTCTGGGCAACTGCCTGCTGATAAAAGAGAAGGATTGTAAGTAATGCTTAGCCTTGCTTTGTATGATTTGCAATTCAAAGCCATAACTTAAACTTTTTAGTGATGCGAAATCGTGCAGCCAATGCATTTGATCTTTATGGCTCATTGGTTCGCATTTGGGTGCTGCTGTTTCCGTTTTTTGTGGTGCTACAGCCGGAGGATCTACAAGTCATACTCTCCTCGAAGAAGCACACGAGCAAAGTATTCTTTTATAGGCTCATGCACAATTTTCTAGGCGATGGGCTCATAACTAGTAGCGGACCCAAATGGGACTCACATCGCAAACTCATACAACCCGCTTTTCATTTGAATCTACTGGAGAAGTTTATTGGCACATTTGTAGATGCTTCCCAATCGCTCTATGAGAACCTAGACGCATCCTCCGATGGCAATGAGATCAATATTGCGAAATATGTGAACAACTGTGTTGTGGACATACTCAATGGTGAGTTAAAAACAATAAATATTTATTATTTGGCCATGTGTAAAAATGTAATATCTAACATTACAAAACTATAAATCCGAATTCTGGGACTTTTCTATTATTAATATTCGAATAAGAATACTTTTCTCTTGGTTATTTATCCTAGACAAACAAAAAGTGAAATATTTAGAAGGGATTTTTGATTGGCTATTAATGATTCAAGCTTACGATTGGAATACTTTTTTTGGAACTATAGAAAATATTGCTACACATTTTCGGGTAGATGATATGTCCTAGATAACCTTAGGCAATCCCTTCCAGTGACAAATGTATTACTTTGTAGTTAATGTCTAATAACACACTAGTTTATGAATAACAAACGAATGAAAAATCATTCGAAAAAATTAATTCGGACTTTAATAATTGATTGAAAAATATTACCATTAAAAGTCTTGCTTCTTAGAAGACGGACGTAGATAGTCATTGTTAAATAAACCTCTTTTCAGAAGCCGTATTGGGAGTGCCCATCAAGAAGAAGGACCTCATCAACATGATGGACTCACCATTCCGTCAGGGAAAATTAATAATGCCACAGCGTTTTCTACAGCCATGGCTTTTACTGGATGGCATCTACCACTGGACTAAGATGGCCACGGACGAATTGACTCAGAAGAAGCGTCTCAATGACTTTACACGCCAGATGATCAAACGAAGACGCGAGATTATGGCAAACGGTGGCAATGGCTTAAACAACAATAATGAACGCAAATGCTTGCTGGACTACATGATCGAAATATCCGACAATCCAGACACCGATTTCACCGAAGAGGATATTGTCAACGAGGCCTGCACATTTATGCTGGCAGGCCAGGACTCTGTGGGAGCTGCAGTGGCCTTCACCATTTTCCTGCTTGCTCAAAATTCAGAGTGCCAAGAGAAATGCCACGAGGAGATCGTCCGCATATTCGAGTACAGCAATCGTGCGCCAACGATGAGCGACTTACGTGAAATGCGTTACATGGAAATGTGCATTAAGGAAGCGCTGCGCCTTTACCCCAGCGTTCCACTCATTGCCCGAAAGCTGGGCGAGGAGGTGCGCCTGGGAGCGCACACGCTGCCGGCCGGTAGCAATATTTTTATATGTCCATATGCCACTCATCGATTGGCCCACATTTTTCCGGAACCGGAAAAATTCAAACCCGAGCGTTTTTCTCCCGAAAACTCAGAGAACCGCCATCCGTACGCCTTTCTGCCCTTCAGTGCCGGGCCACGCTACTGTATTGGCAACCGTTTCGCCATCATGGAGATCAAGACCATCGTATCGCGTCTGCTGCGCAGCTATCAGTTGCAGCCGGTGCCGGGAAAGACCACCTTCGAAGCCATCTATCGCATAACACTGCGCGCCTCCGGTGGCCTCTGGGTGCGACTGAAGCCGCGTGAGCACCAAATAACAGATACGGAGTATGCATCGTAGTCTGTAACCTTGGTTAGTCCTTGGTCTAGCCCTAGGCTCTATTAAAAAGTCTCCCTATGGGGCAATTCAGCGTGGTAGACGTTACATTTTACATTAACTTTAGCCTTTAATTAGTATGGTAAATATGTATGTATGTATGTATGTATGTATATGTATAAATTGATCAATTAAATAGGTTCGCCTAGCCTAAGTGCAGCGTGCGTTTTTGTTGGTGCGCTTGCAGATTTCTGTGTACTCGCATTTGTTGTTGCCTCTCTGTAATGTGTATGCTACTATTCGAGTGTTCGGGTTTTTGTGTAAACAAACAAACAAACAAACAAAAAAGAAGATATTGCAATAAAGTTAATCATCTTTTAAGTCACATTAAAACTACGACGTGATATGTTTCGTTTCGTTGAATCTACTGATGATGCTTGCCGTATTGTTGCCACGTACTCGTGACTCTTGCCTCTGCGCACTGGCAACCGTGTGCTGTTGGGCAAGTCGAGCTGTTGTCTCACGGACACGATTGCTCAGCCTCGTCGGCGTTGCGGAGCGCTGGGGCAACGGGGAGCTGGGCATGGATTTAGTTTGGTTTGGTTTCGTTTTAGTGGTGCTGCTGGTGGTTGCTGTCGTTGCTGCTGTTGCTGGCACTGTAACTTCTGTGGAAGGAAGTATATATATGTACATATTAGGTGAGATTGTCAATTCCTCTGAGGTAGGTATTTTAATACTTTTACTAATGCGCTCCATGCTTGCTAATGAGGCGTTTTTTGTGAGCTCGTAGGCGCTGCGATTAGCGTTAGGCTTTGGTTTGTTAACAGCGAATGACTTAGGGCTTGACTGCTGGAATTTGCTCTTCAGCTGCGACACTTTACCCCGGGTCTCGCAGAGGGGTTTGGGATGCGTCTTCACTTTGTCCCGCGAGAAGCTGTTCTCCAACGACTTTTTGCGCATCTTAATGGTATTGGTGAAGTCCGAAGGCATTATGGTTTCACCTTTTATTGTTGTACAGGCGGGCGGACTAGTTTCTAGCTCGAGCACAGCAACACTGTGCTCATTGGTTCCATTAACCTGCAACTGCAATTGCACCAATTCGTCCTCCATCTGATTCAAACAGGCAGCTGTACTTTCAGTCTGAACTTCGGTTGCATTATGCTTGGCAATTTCCTCTAGCTTCGACTTCAGCAAGGTGTGTGGAACTGCTACAGAGAGCAATTGCGTGTCCTGTACACACGCTGACGATGTTGATGCTGTGGCATGAGTCGCCCCCAGGCTGCAATTGGAGCACTCACTATAGCCCGAGTCGCTGCGTTCGCTGCACTGCGACTTGTCGCGCAGCTTCAGAGTGCGTTGCAATCTCTTCTGCTGCTCCACATTGGGAATCTCGACACTAAAGTCGTCCTCCTCCTCGTTAAGCGAAGCCATTTGCGTGCCGGTCAGATTGGAATTGAACATGGATATACCGGAGATCGAGGGCCGCGGACTGCTGGGCAGCGAAGCAACCGTAGATATGGCAGAGTTACGCCTTGAAGCCGACAAGGTGGCCATACGACCAAGAGCTCTTATTGCATTACCAGTTTTCTGCAGGCAGCAAAGCGTTCAGGTAAGTCAGCAAAAGCGGGGAAGCATTGCAAGCAGTTCAGATGCAAAGGTTTGTGGGATGAGAGAAAGAAGCTAATGGATAACTCGCTATTCGACTTACCTGCCACTTGCGTCGAATGATGAACTTCTTCAACTTGTCAGTGCAGATTCGGTTATTGCTGAGATTATCATCATGGCCCTGGGAAAGCCACTTGGATTCGAGACATTGTAAAGCGGTCAGCCGCTCTTCCTTCCGATATACGAGCAGGTTTGAAATGAAGTCCTTGGCCTCCTGGGAACTGCCAGGAAAACTGTTAATAACTACAGACAATATATATTCTTCTGTGCACACTTACACGCAATCAAATGCTTCATCATCGAAGTCGTAATCGGCACGTGTTATATTCGAAAATGTCTCCACATCCGTATCTCCCATGAATGGCGAAAGTCCTGAGAGCCTGGGAATAAGGTATGCATCGATTTGAAAACGTTCTGGGTCTCAAATTGAAACCCAAACTATTAGTTTACTTACAGTACATAGCAAATAACACCAACGCTCCACATGTCAGACTGGAAGCCAATCGGGTCGTAGCTAATGATTTCTGGGGGAATGAACTCTGGCGTGCCGAATAGCACTCGAACAGGCGCCTTCGTGTCCAAACGCTGAGCCAATCCAAAATCAATAATTTTAATCTGATGATTGGATTTCGTACGAGTGTGGCACATAATATTTTCCGGCTTCAAGTCCAGATGTACAACACTCTGGCTGTGCATGTAAGCCACACCCTCGCACACCTGGCGCAGAAACAAAATGCAGTCCAACTCAGTCAATGTAAAGTCATCGGCAACCACACGCTCGAATAATTCGCCACCGGTGATACTGAGCAAGGATTAATTGATGGTTAACATTTATGTAGGATTTGGGGGACGGATAAAACACTTACTATTCCATGACCATGACGATTTCACGAGCGCTCTCAAATGAAGCTGCTAGCTGCAATAGCTTGGGATGCTGAAGGGAGCGCATGATTGAAATCTCCTCGAGCACTTTTTGCCGGTCGCGTGCTTTTATGCACTTAATTATTTTGGCGGCAAGCAGTTGTTGGGGATGCTCCCGCTCCTGTACTTTGTACACAACGCCGAAGCGACCCTTTCCCAATTCCTCGATGATGTCAAAACGTGATTTAAAATCACCACCTCCTTGCACACTCACGGGTTGATTGTAGCCTGAGAGTTGAAAAAGCAGAGAATACAATATTACTGATCCATTGGTAACTATAACTATCAAAGTTCGTTAAGATATCTTCATAAGCATAATAATTAGTTAAGTAAGAGATATTTTTGAACAGCTAATTCCTATGGCATCTATGTAAACTAATGGCATTTGGTATTAAAACTTTCTAGTAACTCTTTCAATGTTCGTGCTTTTAATTATCGCACAATAAACAATGAAACATCTACTGGTCAATTTTTGAAAAATTGTCTGAGGACCACCAAGCAATTTTTCGATTAAATTCTGTCCTCACATGAGTTAAGCTAATAAGACAAATCACATAGTCCAACATACCTTCTGAACGTGTCCCGACTTGCACTAATTCACTGGGTTGACTGGGTGAACTACGTCCATGGATGTTTTCGGCTCGAACTCGAAATCTGTAGCACATTTCGGGTTGCAGGTTTTTGATAGTATATGCCAGGGAGTCCACGACAGTAGCTATCTGCTGCCAATTGTTATCACAATCCTCCTGGGTGGCATTTGGCTTAGAAGCTTGCATCTCAATGCTGGAATTAATATGGGGTTGCTTCCTAAATACTCAAAACACTCATTGGGAGCATTGACTTACATGAAGCCTGTGATCATGCAACCGCCGTCGTAAGGCGGTCCACACCACGCAATGGCGACGCGATCTGGTCCTTGGGATATACTGGGTTGGCCACTCGGCGGTTCCGGTGGTCCTTCCACGGCCACCGAGGCTGCTGCCGCTTCCGTGCTAAATTCATTCATTATCTCCACCGTGTACTTGCCGCTGTCATCGGCCGATATGGTCGTAATGTAGAGTGTTGATTGTTGTGCCGTTGTCTTGATAGTTACATTGGCACCCTCGGCAATGGGACGGCACTGTGTGAAAGCGAAAAGATGAGGCGAGCGGTTAATTTGATTCAGCTAACCTTCGTAGAGCGAACAACACGTACAAAGACAACGACAACAGAGACGACGACAGCAACGCTTATTTGCGCTTTTTGCGGTTTGCAACAATTACGTAGTCAGGCATACGCATACGTCAATACCGCAAACTGATCGTGACACAGTCTAGTTACCTATCTACCTGAAAACGTGCCCATACAAGCCTATGTAGTATAGGTACGGGTAGAAGCTCCGTAAATATATTTGCGACTCGGGAGCACCATGCCCGAGATAGGTAACTAATTATGGGGCTTATGGAGATAAAGCATGAAACAGCGCCCAGATCATGGTCAAAACAACAAACGTTAATCCCTATGTGATGCCGGTCTTGCCTAATTCGGTCATTCGTTCGTTGCGCAACTGCTTGGAAGTTGTTTGGAAAATGCAGCAAGAAGTGAGGTTCACATTTGGTAGAAACCGGAAAATTAACATCACACTTTCAACACCCAAACGCCACCCAATACAATGAACCTAAAAGGGAAATTGAATACAAAATGAATACGTACCCCCTTATACCAAACGACCTTTGTGTTGAGGAATGGCTCGTAGCTCACGCTTAGCTTGACATGGCCACCAATTAAAGCGGTGCAGTCTTCTGGCCTACACAAAATGCAGCTCCTGGAGGCCAGTGGTGAGCTGTATGCCGACGTACTGGTCCTGTCGCCACCGTCCACTGGCAGCACCAACAGACTTGTATAGCTACGCACGGCAGGCTTTTCCCGTTCACCCTTCACTTGCAGTCTTATCTCGCCACTTTGGGCCAATTTCACGTTTCGCATGCGCAGCAAGCGAATTCCGTTCTCTGGATATGACTCCAACTGAAATGTTAAAGAAGCACATTAAATTTCATATTCATTATTATTATTAATCGGCATTCTGTGCATATGTATGTGAACAGCTGGTACAATACAAGACAAATAGACCTACAAATAACCCACATTTACATATGTATTTACATATAAGTATTTATGTATTTATCTGAAGACACAGCCGCTTCATGCCAATACTTGTGATCCGCATCCGTCGCGTGCGACTACAATTGTGGAACTGACGACAACGATCAATACGAACGCACTAATTAACCGAGAACCGTAGCGTTAGTAGTAGCCGGAGTCGCCGACCACCCGACAATGACACTTTCACGCTTGCTCTCATTCCAAACCGATAAAATACAAATGAATATACATATGTATGTATGAATATAAAAACACTTGTGTGGGGCTGGTGCACGATGAAAGGCCCTCCCGACCCTGCTACCTTATCATTTGGTTTGTTTTATCTATAGTACAATGGTAGCTATATCGAGATCTGATATTAACACTGATTCTTCGATGAGTGAACCAAAGATAGGGTAGGGCTCTACGCATACCTGTGACATCATTGACTTGCCCCTTTGGTTTTTATTTGTTCTTATTCTGGGTGGCCTAACTAGCCAAGTTATTGCAGTCGAAGCATCGAATGTATTCAAATCGCGTTCAGTGGGGCTTCTCCTTCAATGTCTCAGTTAGTACGAGTGTGTCCGTATGTGCGACTCAAACACTACTGAATGAATCAACGATCGCAACGACCGCATCGATTGACAAAGCGTCACTAAAATCGTTTGTATGCAGCGAGCATTCCGCGGCATTTCTCTTTTTTAGGCTCCGCTGTTTATTTCTTACACACATACGAGTATATATGTACATACATAAATAAATACATTCACGATACATAATTATCATTATTGTTTTTTGGCTTCAGTCGGCTATGACAAGGTGTGAATAAAGCTCTTTTGTTGCAATACTCTTTAACATCAAGGAGTTGTTTTTTTTGGGCAAGTGTGCGTAAAGCCCAAGTTATCATTATCAAAACAATTGTTCTACCTGACTACCTGCTATTTTATGGTATAAATACTAGCTTTGACTGTTACATATTAAGCGTGCTGTGGGTTGTGCTGGACTATTATTGTGTGAAGATACTATAACAGCTCTGAGCAATTGGGTTTTTAGCGTGGGTAGGAATGAATATGAAATAAGTGTTCCCAAAAGCAGGACAAGCTGCATTTTTCTGTATTTGCAGTTTTCTTTTTTAGTGTTAATGAAACTAAATTTTTTTCTTAAATACCCAGCTGTATCGCACACGATATAATGGATTTTCAGTCTTTTCCAGAATTGAGTTCAGGTCATTTTTCTAAAGGGCATTTAATAGTCGATTCGCATAGCTTTCATTTTCGAGCATTTACGTAGAGCACGGTGGAGCGACTTTCAACAGTCTTGGCTCAAAAATGTCTGGTTAAGTTTGCGCTTCGTTGCCACCAAATCAATTCACTCGCATATCGATGAAAAAGACCTTCGACCCACTGTGCAACCAATTACGCCATAGATTGAGGCCAAAAAGAGCGCACGAATCACTTCATTTGCTTGTTTTTATAGCCTTACGCACTACTGCCACAACGCCAAATGTGACACACGCTCCAGGCAATACGTACCGTCATGTTAAGTGAGTCATCTTCAATGAGCTTCCCATTGAGATACCATTGAGCTTCCGCTTCGCATGGGTAAATACGGCCATAGAAAAGAGCTTCTGAGCCAGCCGCACACACAACCGGCAGCGGTGTTTTAAGCAGCTGAATACTTTCATCTCCCCGCACTAAGTCTCGCTCTTGAATGCACAACTCCCCACTGGTGGAGCAATCGCAAGTATCACTAGCAGTGTATACCTGACAGCTGTAGATGCCCGAGTCAATATCGAAGGCATCGTTGATGCGCAGACAAATCAAGCCGTTGCCATGATCGATGTAGCTGCGAAGGACACATATATTTATAAACACACTTGATCATCACTGGATCAATTGAGTACTCACTTGAACTCGTCGCTGTCGGGCAGAATTTCGCCGTTGCGTAGCCACACATAGCTGTAGGGCTCACTGGAGTCTATAGCACAGCAGAGATCAATAACTTCGCCTTCAACTGATTGCGTAACCTCAGGGAGGGGTTCAATAATGGTAGCACGTTTGCAACTTTGCAGCGTGTCATCGTCGTGGAACTTTACGTAAGTAGAACTGATCAGTGGCTCATGGTCACCACTAATAATGCAGGTATAGACGCCCTCGTCGGCAGGAGTCACATTGTCAACGAAAAGCAGGGCCTCGTCTTCCTGCACTATAATATGTATGCGTTCTGACGGCTCCAGTTCCAGGTTGTTGTGATAAAATCGAGCCGAAGGCACTGACGATCCACGGAAACCACTGGCCAAGGCCATCCGCCCGCCAATGGCTGTGCACGTATTGCAAATTTAGAGAATGAATTACCAAATGCAACTGTTAAGATTATTTACCTGTCGATGGACCCATAATGCGTCTGTATAAATACGCATTGCGTCGGGAAGAGGAGGCACGTACGCTACGAGTCGATGGCGACTTGCCGTATCGTGAACTGCTAATTACGTCCAGACGTGCCGTTGCCTCAATCCGGCCGAAATCGTTCTCCAAAGTAACGCGATAAAGGCCTGCGTCGTCAAAGGTCACCTCATCGATTTCAATCCAGCGCAGATCATCCACTTCCTTGACCGCAATACGAGTGGTGGGCGTGACAATCATGCCATCCTTGTCCCAAGTTGCCCAAGGCGTTGGATGGCCACCTATGGCACATTGAAATCTCACGCTATCGCCCTCCTCAACGACTCGGTTATAGGGAATGGCAAGGAATTTAGGAGCTGAAATGGCGCAGCGTCCGTCGCTTCTTCGGCGATCAACGGAGCTTAGATCGATGCTGCTATTTCTGTAAGAAAGTCGCATGGGTGAGAAACTACGATTTGGTGTCGACCGGGGAGTGGATCGTGGCGTTGAGTGTGCCGAAAGCAAACCAGTAGGTCGCATCAGTTGTTGACTCAGCATATTTTCTTTCTCCTCTGGCACATCCACAATTATGCAGGCCGATGAAAGAGTTCGACCCACAGAGTTTTTCGCCACACAAGTGTATTCGCCCTCATCCTCAGGATATGCCCTACAATAAATACAATATGTGCTTAAGAATAAGACCACTGCTAACTTGCATTTAACTTACTTCGGTATGCTCAGAGTAGCTTTCATACCATCATAGGACATTATATAGTCCTGGTTGTCGCTGGGTATCACGCGGCCGTCTTTTTCCCATATTATATATGGGTCAGGCATGGCTTCAACATGACATTCCAGTGATATAGAATCGCCATCGCAGCAGCGTAAATTGCGAAGGTTGCGAATAAAGCGTGGAAGAGTTTCAATATTGCTATAAAAAAAAACATGATTTTACGTTGAAAAATATTTAATTTAGTTTAATTTGCACCTTTGTAATTAATTAACAATCAATACTCACCCATGGCGTATGTGGCCCTTGTCCATGTGTCTCTCTTTTAATATGTCTGCGTAAAAATAAAAGCGTTAAATAATTATTTAATTTAACAGAAAAGTTTTACAGTGGCCCTGGGCCAAAATACTAAGCGGCCGCTCTACTTGCGAGTGTACGCAATTTCTTGTAGGTGGCAACACCTAAATGTACTGGCAACGCTTCATCGTTGTTTATCGATAACTAGCACATCCCTAATGCAAGAATTAAACCAACGAAAACTGCAAACGAAAACTTTTTATATCAATTTTGGGTAAATTTGCGGCATACAAAGCAAGGTCTGTGCAATGATTATCGTGCCCATCGACCTGGAGCCCGGTTTCCGGAAAGCAGACATTCACAATATCCCCGCTGTTAGCATCGAAATGGTTTTCAATTTTGCGACCGGCAGAAGTAAACAATTGTAAAGAATCTCGGTTATTCTTCTATGCAAAAGTAATTAAAATGCCTTTTTGCAGGTCAGCCAATCAAAACGACTTATTAGTCGATTATGTACAAATACGAAAACAGGCGGACAGCTGCGAACTAACCGCACTAGTGTTTTCAGCATCGGACTTTGCTAACACCGAGTCGCACGCCAATATCGCCCTCAAGGTCATGGAAAGTTCGGAGAGTATAGAAGACTGTCGGTGCAGCCAATGCCCCAACACCGGTAAGCTTACATGAAACAATAAGAATTCAGAACGAGTTTCAAAGCAAGTATCTTACAGCAACGTGCAAGCACATCATCACCTTCATATTTTGGTTGCATTACAAGACGAAAGATCGCCACCCAACTGCGTTTGTTGATTTCTGGGGTCAAGAGCTTGAAATGCTAGTGTATGCAGAGCAATCGAAGCCGATTCGAATGCGCGATTTGGTTCCTAGCGACGAGGCACGATTGGAAGCTGACTTAGAATTGGACGAAACAAGCAACATTGATGGACAGGCATTTCTGGATGCAGTGCTCGAAGATCTTGATTCTACGGGCGCACGGGATTCCGCTCTTTATCGCCAATGTGTTGAGGTTAGTAGAGATGTTCATGATTGGAAATTCACAATAACACTACTACTTCGTTATAGGCAATAGACGAATTCGAGCCCATATTTGTTCATCATGTTCTTTTAAACAATGTCGAATATAACATAGTCGATTTGAACAGTTTTGTGCAGCACATGGAGACACAGGCGCAAAACGGTTTGTTTGACAACATCAATGAAGTAACCAAGAACATGTATAAGTCTCAATTGTGGGTAGAGGTTCAATACATGCGTATTCGATGCTCTCTCGTACATATGATTGTGTCACGTAAAACGCCGCAAGAAGATGAGGAAATCTTTAATATTCTATTTTGTAAGGGACGCGACCAGAGCACAGAAGAACGACTTCAGCAGAAACAACACAAACGTTTCATATTAAAGCAAACAGAAAAACTAGAGAAAAAAGAATATTTCGAATGCGGCCTATTGTTACATGAAAGCTACCCCTATCTGTGTGCAGCACCTGATGGTATAACGGATGATCATATAGTGGAAATCAAAGCACCAAAAACTGAAGAAGACTTCGAGAAATATCTTGAGGCCCGAGAATCCATTGCTCCTAAGTATATGGCTCAGATACAAATACAAATGTTCCTGGCGAATGTTAAAAAGGCCCTATATTGCGTATTGAGCCCCACATTTGATACAAACGGCGCGCTGCATTACGTTTGGGTGCAGGCTGACCCTGAATTTGTTTCCAGTTTGTTGAGCATGGCTGAAGACTTCTGGAAAGATGTCGTCTTCCCGCGCCTCCTAAATATATACCCTCAAAGGCTATCATAACATTTAATTAAGGAAGGAACAAACCAAATATATTAATTACTGAACTTACCTTTTGCGAATATTTGCAATGATATCACAGCCTTGGCCTCACCATGGCAATTGTTGGCAATCACTGAATATGTGCCGGTGAAGTCTAATTTCGCACTTGGAATCTCTAGGCGATACTCAGGACCGTCTCCAATGCGTTTAAAGTGTGGCGCGTCTTTGTAGTACTCCGGCTGTAAAAGCAAAAAACAGCAACTCAAGGTAATATGCATTTACATAGCATTTTAAAAGGATTGCATATAAACGACAACTGTTTCGAAGAATGATTCATTTTCCTCTAAACGTGTTCAATATCCATATGAATGTTTATGTGTGTGTTGTGTCTAAAGCGAATACCATATATGAACAAAATTAAATTTCAAGACTGTCAATAGGAAAACTGGTCAACGTTGCCCACCCTGACCTCCTCCTGCTTCCCTGGTACGATATTTCGTTCGCTACGTTCGCAAGCGGCACGATTGTGGCTAATAATTTTCTGTTTCAGTTTCGTAAACTGCTCAAATGTTTTTTCTTCGCTTTTTTTTGTCGTTTTGGCTCTGACGCCGTCTAATTGTTTTATCTTTTTGCCCGACAAGCCTGTTATTTGATATGCGGCGCGCCAAAGTTGATCTTGAATTAACGTTTGACAGCAGATCGACACAGCCATGTCGCTTAACTGCCTTTTATAAGACCTCAGTGCCTGTGACCACGATCACCATGTCTGCTGCTTCAAGCCCCCCATATTTCCTTAGGCATCGCATTGCATAACTAAACTGAGCATCGTGACGCATGAGTCTGTAATCTGAGTAAAGTCAGAAAACTGGCATTGTCTTATTATACTCTACAGCACCGTGTGGGGCTTGTATGGAGCGGTGTGTAATTGGCCTTTTTTGTGCACAGTATTTTTGAATCAATTGTTTTCTATTTTGGTGCTTATCTATTTAGAAACATTTACCTTTTAAGTGTATCTTCACTTTGGATAACCTCAACTTCGTACACTTTGTTCGTATTTACGGATCAATTAAAAGTTTTAATTGGATTTGTTTATCAAATTTATCCGCACAAACAACTGCTACCATTCAAAACCATTTGCGTTAAATAAACTGTTTAATTCGTTGTCAGTTCACTTTTTATAAGCCCATACATATGTGCGGAAATACTTAAGAATTTTGATATCAATGGCATTTCCTGATACGATTGCGAAATAACTAGGCCCATAAAGCCCACGGAGGTTCGACTTTCCCACTTGTGTTGGCGACTATGCACTTGCACTTGACTTTTGTTGCTGTACCGACCGAGTCGACTACGACCCACATTTGCTGACAACGCGAATTCAACTGAATGCATTCTGGCTGTTGCGCTTGCGCTGCCTATGTGGCAGCTTCCACTGCTGACGTCACATTGCAATAGTTGTGTATGTATTGGAAGTATGAAAATGTTGCATCGTACTTACATTTAGAAAATCGCGTAGCCATACCACCTCAGGTTTAGGATCGCCAACAACTTCACAGAAAATGATGACGGTGTCGCCTTCATATGCCTCACTAGATCTGGGCTTGACCACAAACAAGGGCTCCTTTGAATATCTGCATAAAATGGTAAACTATGGATCTATTCGATTTCTAATGGGTCGATCAACTCACGGCATGTCGGTTGTAGTTATACTGGGAATTTCTTTTGGACGTGAAGTAGCAGAGTCATCGCTTTTCAGACTCTCTTCGATGGCAACTCGGCAGATAGTCTCGACCTTGCCCACGACATTAGAGGCAACGCACACATAAATGCCAGCATCTCGCAGTGTTGCGTCGGCAATGACCAATTCGACAAAACCGCTCGAGTCTAGCGTGGCTGCAATTCGACGGCTTGGACGCAATCGCATGCCGTTCCGATGCCAAGTGACGCCCACTGCAGGATAGGCTTCCACTTTGGTTGACAGTCGTATTTCGCCACCCTCCGGAAAGATGTAGAACGGATCGAGGGGTGCATAAAACTCGGGTGATATGTATGCACGTATGCCCTTATCGACAACGAGTGTGCAGTGGCAGGACACAGAGCCAAGCTCATTCTTCGCCGTACAGGTGTATATTCCACTGTCGTCCAGCGTTGTTGCGGCTATCTCGAGTGTGTAAAATTGCCCATCCACAGAGATAAGGTAACGTCTATCAGTTGTTATCAGCTGGTTGTCCTTGTACCAGAGTATATCTGGAGCAGGATAGCCAACAATCTGACAAGTAAGACGAACAGGATAGGTGACCTGGACACGGCGATCTCGCAAACGCATCGTGAAAATCGGCAAGCTTTCGCCAACATCCTTCATGCTAGGAGCTTGTGCGATTTCCTTGAGACGCGAATCGGCCTCGAACAGCCGTTGGTCAGAAACCACCTGCAGTCGCGCAAATGTTGAGACGCGACCCTTTGAATTTGTCGCCTCGCATGTGTAACGGCCTGTGTCGCATTCGGCAACAGAAGATATGGTAAGAGCACAGGTGGAACCGATCTGTCGAATTCTAATGCGGTCCGACATGCCGCTCAGTTGTATGCCATCCTTATACCAATGGACCTGTGGCCGCGGCGACCCGCGCATATTGCACTGCAGCGTAAAGGAAGAAGAGATAAGGGCCTTCACCTGACCCGGAAGAATCTTCACAAACTCTGGCAGACACTCAACACCGCCCACCTGCAAGGGTGAGCTGGTTTGAACGGCGGGGCCCCAGCCATAGCGATTCTTTGGTGTAACGCGGAAATGATATTCCAAATTAGGCTTCAGATTAAAAGCGTCGAAGGAATTTATCGGAGTCAGGCCCAGTTCCCGCCAATATGCACCACCCTCATGCCCCACAATCCAGGATTCCACCTTGTAGGCAATTACAGGCGCAGAATTGGTACTAACGGGCTTGCCCCACGACAAAGAAATATGCATAGGTCCAGAGTCGACTACAAGTGGCTCGGTCGATATGGCGGATGGAGGATCTAAAGTGTAAATGTGATGTTTTTAATGAAACGAGCACTTAAAAAAATTAAATGTATACTAGTATGTAATGGATTTATTATTAAGCGAAAATCAAACGCAACACGCCCCGGAGAAATACTTTTTTATTTTTTTTGTTTCAACTACGTAAATGTATAAGCTGGATTGTTGTGCTTTATATAATACATTATTTATATACCATAATAAAAGTAAATAAATCAAGTGTTCAATTATATGTACTAACAAAAGATAAATACACGAACTTATTTGTGGGGTTTTCATAAATCTCACAGGAAATTGCTTTTATCAATGTCGCCACCCGCTGTAATGTTTTGTTAAACTGTTCTATATTACTGGCAAGGAAGCCAATAAATCTAGCGCTGATACAGCTAAAGTTGGATCGATCTGCAAAATACACAACTTAATGTTGTAAAAGAAACTCGAAGCATTATTTGAAGGGTATAACTCGACAATTAACGGAGTACAACAACAGACAAGGACAACGGATGACAACTCACTGACCGACTAAATACGAGATTAAAGGACGTTTGCGCAAACATACACTTACCTCTAAAGTAGGAAGTATCGCTGTAACTTTCCAGTGGAAGGCCTAGACGTGGCTGCGTTGGGGTTTCAGAGCGAGCGCGAGGCAAGACCTATAAATTTTGTAGTCAGAATAATATTATTGTTGAATGAACACATAGAGTCAGGAAAAGTATTGTAAGCTAGCGTTGATTGAGGGTTCATAATTGATGCTTTAAAAGGCGTTCAAATTTGCAAGTAATTTTTAATATCTTTAATCTTTCTTTTTGGGTGTTTTAATCTAGAAAAAGCGAAGAAAAGAGAGAATAGCAATAGTTAGTAAGCAAAGCCATTGGATTAACACAAAACATGAAACATTACAGCAACATCCAACACAAATGTCCTACCGTCACAGTTACGAATATTCTGTCTGTGCCAAAGTTGTTGCGGGCGACAACGAAGTAGGTACCAGAATCAGAGATCTGGGATTTTTGCACACTAAATCTTGTATAGTCATCAGACACCTCTTTGCTGATTCTGTCGGATTGGGTGATATCCTTTGTACCCTTCAAGAAGGTCACTGAAATTGCAAATGGTAAAAATTAATATAGATTGCAATTATCCAATTAACATGACCCTACATTTTGGTTTTGGATCCCCAGCAATACGGAAGGACAATGAGAATGGATCACCCACGGCAATCTTCATTTCGGTGTCAGGCCTAGACAGGAAAAGCGGGGGCCTCTCATCCTTGGTTTCACCCATAGAAACGTCAACATTAGCGTGGGACTCAATGCGACCGAAAGCATTGGACGCCCGGCAAGTGTAAGAGCCCTCAATGTCAGGGGTTGCATTCGTAATGGTTAGTGTATAAACGCCACGGTCCGCAAGTGCCTTAACGTTCGGGCCATCTACTAATTTATGATCGCGATACCACTTGACCTCAATAGGAGTGCTGGTTTGAGTGAACTCAGCGGAAATGGCAACAGTACCACCATTGCAGACCGTCTGGTTACCAAGTGGCATGGCAAAGTGCGGCTTGTTCGGATCACGGTGGAAGAAACCGTGCGTCTTCTCAAGCGTCACGCGCTCACGGCCCTTAAAGTCCACCTGATGAGTCATTTTATTCTCGGCAGCTTCGTTGCGGGCAACGCACGAGTATATACCCGAATCCTTTTCCGTGGGGTTTCTGATGAGAAGCTTGGAATAGCCATCTGGTTGATCGGTCTGCTGATATTTCTCATCGTTAATTATTAAGTCGTTGCCCTTCATCCATTGGATTTCAGGGCGTGGCTGGCCACGCACACGACAATCCAGAACTAACTCATTCTCGTTCAGAGAATAAGTGTCTATGAAGAATACGCAAGTGGTAAAATATTAGAAAATTCATTCATACGAAATTCATAATTAAGAGAAACAAAACAAATATATTAATACAGAGAAAATGCGAAATGCGTTTTTAAAAGGGTTTGCAGAAGCGCCAGGTGCCAAAATGGCCAGATTGAAATACCTCGAATTGGCTGCGTGAAAGTACTTGGCATTGCAGCTTCCTTAAAGTGCTTGTACACCCTGAGTTGAGCATGGGTTAAGCTCTCGCCGAAATCATTGGATGCACAGCACGTGTAATTTCCGCTATCCTCTGCAACAGCAGCAAATATTTCTAGGGACGCCTCTCCGTTTTGATATACCATCTGATAGCGGGGATCTTTAGGGAGGGGTCTGTGATTTTTCAGCCACTCTATGTTCGTGTTCTCATCGCCCGAGATGATGCAGTTCAAACGCAGATTGGCGCCTTCTGACACCGTGCGATCGTGAAGCAGAGAATTGAATAGAGGCTTCCCTTGACCCACTGAACGCAATACTCGATTACCAGCCCGCTGCAAATCCCCATTAACGTATCCACTTTCGCTAAGATTTCTGGCTTGGGAAATGCTGCGAGCCCTCCAACTGGAATCCTCACTGTCGCTAACTTCGGTTGTTACCAAACGTTTCAAGTCTGCCGTCCTAATGGATGTACTTATTGAGTGTATGCGATCATCATGCTCTGCATAGCAGGAAAATATTCCACAGTCTGAGGATATTGGATTGCGAATAATAAGTTTGCAATAGCCCCCAACCTCTTCCACCGTTCTATAACGGTTGTTGCATATAGTGTGATCATCACGCATCCAGCTGATGCTTGGACGACCTCGAACTTCACAGCTCAGTATTATTTCATTGCGCTGTTCATCGTAAATTTCTGAAATGGTATGTTGATCGGATAAAGCTTGGACACAGTGAAATATTGCTATATTTATTTATTACCTTTAATGCCGCTTAAGAAGCTGTCCGGTAGTACACCACTTGCAGGATCCAATACACTTAATTCACAAGCACTTTCCACGGTCTGCTTGCTGTTCTTAACCACGCATCTGTAATGTCCACTATCATCGGGTCGTGCATCGTATATTTCCAAACTTATGGCACCATTAATATTATATATCTTATGCCGTGCATCTTTTGTGATTCGCTCATCATTCCTAATCCAATGCACGTCTTCAATAAATCCTGAGACATAACAAATCAACTGAGCTTTGTTTCCTTTTCCAATTATCATAGTTTTTAAGCTGGTCTCCAAGTTCAGTCGAAGCTTGGCTTCGCGTGCCTTTGCTTTAATTATCATGCTATCACTTGATCTACTGGTAGAAGACTCATCCTTTTTAATGTCTTGTATCAGTTTTTCTATGGGTTTCTTTTCGGCTACACGACTTCTTACATAATCGGATGCCTGCACGAACTTGCTTATTTTCATTTGACCGTTTTCACTCTCAGCATAGCATGTGTAAAGACCGGAGTCTTCGCTGTTGAGGTCAGAAATAGTCAATTGTTTCACACCGTCATTTTGTTCCAGGTACTGGTATTTCGCGTTGTCGGTAGGTAGAAGAACGTTGTCCTTTTGCCAATAAATATGTGGTTTTGGGCTACCTGACACCTTGCACTCAAGTATAAGTTGGTTATCGTGTGAATGGAACGCATCTAAAATGTTTGACATAAATAGACGGGACACGGACGGCACATTAGACAATACATTGACGAGGGAATGGCCTTATATGCTACAGGTTAGAGCTAAAGTGCACATAGTCTTAACACTTAGTTTAACATAACTTATCAGTTTTACCTGAATACATTGCACGAATCACAGTTGATGATTGATGGTATAATAATAACACCCACATATACCCACCCACATACCTTTGATACCCACGGTAAAGGTGGGAGAGATTAGCTCCACTTTACCCGTGCTATAAACGAATAAGTTGCAAGTGCTCACAATTTCGTTTTCTGATCCTCTTACTTTTAGCGTATATTCGCCTGCGTCCTCCTCGGTAACTTCTACCAAGTTTAGCCAGGCTATACCATCCTGCATTGACATCTTACTTTTCGGCCCGAATGCTATCGGTTGATCGCCGTGGTACCAACGTGCAGTTGGCTCCGGGCCGTCAATGTTCACCATCCATTTCACATTGCTTCCCGTCTTCACCGTACGGTTGGAGAGGAAGTTTCTGAAGTAAAGTCGCTTCTTTAGATCTGGTGGAGGCGGCACCTCTCGCCTGGAACTTCCTTGCTCTTCTTCATCGTCTTTTGGTTTCTTGGTTTTCTTCTCTCCTTCTTCTCCAGCCTCAGCATCCACTTCAGCACCAGGGCGTGGTGGTCTAGCTTCTCTAGGTGGTGAAGTGGGACGCGCCCTGACACGGGGCTCAACAGTAACCATATGCACAATTTCCGTTTTTCCTTCACGATTTTCAGCCTGGCAAACATATTTTCCGCTATCAGATGGTTTTGGGTTGCTGATGAATAGCTCTGAGGTGCCATCATCGTGGTCGACTTGTTGATATTTATCACTATTTTCGACTTTGACTCCATCCTTTACCCACGTAACTGTTGGAGTTGGTAGGCCACGTACGTGCACATCAAGCTGGAGCTCGTTTATTTTGCCATGTAGAGTGTCCTTAATATTGCGAGTAAATGTTGGGGGTACATCTCCTGTACCTGGATCCGCATAAACTTCAAGTTTACAGGAAGTTGAAACTTCACCGGTCTCATCGCGAGCCCAACATTTGTAAACACCGTTATCCTCTTCAGTAGCGCTCGTTATTTCCAGAAGGCAAAGGCCTTCACTGTAACGTCCTCTAATTTTCGGACCATTCTGAATATGTTCGTCGTTTTTAAACCATTTAACCTGGGGCTCCTTCGCCTCCAGGAAGCAGGAAATTTTTACCTTTGACCCTTCGGCAACAACGCGATCTCTCACCGAAGTGCTAAAATGTATACCAATATTTTTTTCACGACGTTTGCTAGAAAGACTGGCCGTATCTGAAGCATAATCAGTTGCTGATGATACGCCCTCATCCTCATCGGCCTTGCGTCCGCGACGCTTGCCCTTAGCATCCTCTGAGTCAGTTTCTGGTTCAGCCTGGGGGTCGGCAGCCGGCTTCACGACCGGCTTCACAACCGGCTTCTCTACCTCTTTAGGGCGCAACAAGCTCTTGTCCGCATGAAACACGCCATGAATATTATCAGCGATATGGGACGCTTGTCCCTCGAACAGTACATAATGTGAACTTTCCATTTTGCCGGCTCTGCTTTCTGCCTTAACAACATATTTGCCGGAATCTTTACTATCAGGCTTGTCGATAATAAGCTCACAAGTGCCATCTTGATGTTCCAAGATTTGATAACGACCACCACTTTGAATCTCAATGCTATCTTTAAACCACTGAACCTCAGGTGTAGGCTGACCTCGAACTCCAGTTTCCAAAATCAGTTCATTGGTATTAAGGTGGTAGGTTTCTGTGGGAGATGAGGGCACATTGTTTGCATAAGAAAACTACAGTCAAAAGGCATTGTAATTACGTAATGAACAGTATGCACAAAGATGTGCATTAAATATATCGGATTGCACAACTGGCAGCAATCGAACTCTATTTATAGATGCACTGCAGACTGCTCATTCGCCTTGCACCTTGAACCAGACAGCACAAAAACACAAACACCTTGCAAGGGGTCTTACCTTTCAAACTTCTGATAAACACGGGCTGCACATCGGTGTTGACCGTTGTCTGGTAGACGTGCAACAATGCGGAGGTTGTTATCTTACAGAACTCATTCTGAGCAATTATTGAATAGGTGCCAGAGTCTTCGGGCTGGGCGTTTAAGAACTCAAGCACGGCCAAGCTATCTCTATTCATATTGCGTATACGTGGACCGTACTGCACATTTTGGTCATCTTTTTGCCACTTGATGATAGGTTCGGGACCACCAATAACTGCTTGCAGCTTCACCTTTGAGCCTTCGGCTACGTAGCGATTTGACAAATTAACCGTAAAGTAAAGCGTTTGCTTAGGCGAAGGGTCCGGCAATCGGCTACGGCGTTCATAGCCACCTTCAGCGTCGGCAGCATCCTCCTCTTTTTTCTTTGGAGGCTTGGGACCCTTGCCTTTTCCAGCGGCTGCACCACCTTCTCCGGTTTCTTGCATAGCGGAGAGAATACTAGAACGGCGTGATGAATGGGTTGTGTCGACAACTACCGTGTGGGTGGTGGACTGGCTACCCAATTTGTTCTGAGCTACACACACGTAGACTCCGTTGTCATTCACAGTTGGCTTGTTAATGATCAACTCACACACACCGTCCAAATGTTCAATTTGAACGATGCGATCGTCAAGCACTACGGGTATCTGGTCTTTCGTCCACGAGATTACGGGACGCGGGTTGCCGCGCACCTTCGTATCGATAATTAAATCGTTTTGGGAAGAATGATACACATCTAAGAAGAAAGCGTTCCAACAATCAATCAATTAGCTGATATATAATGTACTGCATGTCTATTTTTAAATTTTTCGTGACCTCAATCACGATCGCCAGACAGAAGACAATACATTGTTTATAAGTGTTTGGTGTTGGTGGGTGCGGATAGCAAGTGCTAGTGTAGCATTTGGCGTTGTAACAAAAACTGTTCACAAACAACAACAAATACGAACATAAAGTCGGCACAGAAATACCTCGCAATGGCAAAGCAAACATGGGCTCTTGCTCGTCGCCATCCGCTTGCGCTGCGTACACCTTGAAGTAGCAAGACGTTTCTATTTCGCTGAGGTCATTCTTGGCCACGCATTTGTATACTCCCGAGTCGGCGGAGGTGACATTGCTTATCTCAATTATGGCTTTGCCTTCCTCCGATAGATTCTTTATGTTACCACCGACAACCACCCATTTGTCATCCTTCATCCAGCGCATATTTGGCTCTGGTCCAATTACTGTAGCGACAAACTTAATGGTGGTTCCCTCTAGAGCCATTCTGTCCCGCAATTGGGTAGCAAATTGCAATTTTTGTTTAGCAGGCACCAAAGGCTCAGGTGAAGCACGAACCGCTCGGACACGCTGTTGTTCTGCTTCGGCTTCAGCGCGTTTCTGGTCTGACTCGGCCATAGATTTGAGTGCGGCATCCATGGCTTTCTTGGCTTGGCGCAAACTATCCAGTTGAATCTTATCACGAGCATGGAAAATTCCTGGCACATGATAGTGCAGATTTCTGGCCACCTCGACGGTGTGATTTATCTGAGCTTCTCCAATAGAATTCAAGGCTTTAAGTGTGTAAATACCACTGTCTTTGTTAGAAGGCTTATAAATCAGCAGTTTGCATACACCATGTGCCTCTTCCAAAATAGTGAACTTGTAGCTGGGCTTCACTTGGAAGGCACCTCTCCACCATGTTATAACGGGACGCGGAACTCCATGAACGTGACATTCGATGGTCAACTCATCGTCGCGTAAGTGATAGTACTCTACAATGTGGAAAATATAAAAAAGTGAGATGTATGTATCGAAGTGTAAGTCTTAAACGATGTGTACCTTTGATGTACTGAATAGAAGGAGGTTTGGGTTCGTCCTTAAATACTTCATAAATTGTAACTATACACGATGAAGTAACCTCATCGTTCATATTTGCTATAACACAGGAATACTCCCCGGAGTCCAGGATAGTCGTGTTGAGAACTTCTAAAACAAGGATGTTGTTGTTGTTCATGATGCGATGGGTACCATCGCGCTCTAGTTGCTTGCGGTCCTTAAACCATTTGGCGGAGATTTCGGGTCCGTCAACTGCACATGCTAAGCGCACACTTTGGCCGGCCTCCGCGGTGCGATCGGAGAGAAAGTTGATAAAGTGCGGTAAGCGCGCCTGTTCACGTCTTCGCTGCCAGTCAGCGTCACGTTCTTTTTCACTTCGTCGTTTTGCAATGCTGTATTTACGCATTTGTAACATAAACTCTTCGCCTTCCACGGCCGCAATCCGCTGCCAGCGCTCTTCTTCATGAGGATCTGGTCGCACAAAGTCATCGGATGAGTCACTGCCACGTCGCTTTTCCTTTTTAGCGGCTAACTCGGTGACTTCATCTTCTTCTTCGCCTTCTCCTTCGCCGTCTTCATCTCTACGTTCCTCGTCACCATCACCATATTCACCAGCTTCCTCTTCATTATAGTCTTCGCCTTCACCACCCTCACCTCCCCCATCTTCACCTTCCTCCCCCTCCTCGGGAGCAGATGGTTCCTCCTCTTCCTCTTCAGCCTCTTCTTGGGCCCGTTGCTCGGCTTCGAGGCGTTCCTGCTCTTCTTTTTCAGCTTGCAATCGCTTTTGACGTTCCTCGAATGTCTCTCCCTTAGGCTTGGCTCTATTTGCCTGCTCTTCAGCAGCTTTTGCGGCGGCCTTCGCTTGTTCCTCCATTTGTAAAACCATCTTACTCTTCTTTGGAGGCGGCTTTGGGCCAGCTGCTGGCTTTTGATCTTGTTGCTCAAACATTTTCTTACTAGCCTTTTGACCGCCACCTATTTCCAATTTCAAGGTCAATTTAGGGCTGGGCGACTTCTCCTTTTTCTCTTTTTTCTTTGGTGGAGCCTTCTTTTTCCCCTTTTTAACGGGCTCATCATCGTCCAAGTCGACACTCTCCTCTCTATCATCAGCTCCATAATCACCCATGTCCTCGGCTTCAGACGGACTCATGTCTTTGTCAATAGACTTTCTTGGTGTACGCGGCTTTCTAGGTTTTTTCTCTTTTTTCTTTGGCTTAACCTCTTCTATTATTTCTTCTTCTTCGACCTCCTCGTACTCTTCAACAACGTATATAACCTCAACATTCGATACATCCATCACGGCAGCGCGATCTATTACTGAGAGATCCGATGTTATATAACGTACAGGTTTTTGAATTTCCTCCGGCTCTGAGATATCCATAATTAGGGCACGGTCGAAAACAGCGATATTACATGTTGTTTGTGACTTTATGTCTCGACCCAACTCGAATGGAGTTTTCTCTTTCTCCTCGCGTTTCAGGAAAGGCGTTATACTGCGCCATGTTGAAGGTGTTGCACTACGGCGGGTCATATATATTGTAAATGGAGTTTGGCTACGCCCGCGTATCGGTGTAGCACTGCGTCCGCGTAAGCTTCCCGGAGTTGGTGATTTGATCTTGCGCTTCTTTTGAGTAGGAACTTGTAGAGTATCCTGAGAAGGGGCTGCCTCTGGCTCTTCAGATGCCCGCGGGGCGATATCACCTTCCGTCTCTCCCATCGTATTTCGTTTTACTTTTTAAAGGATAACGTGGGAATGAATTTCGTAAAAAAAATCCGACAAAAATATATATCCGTTCGAGTCGTATAAGAATTATTTGGTATATAGCCCGTAACGGTTCGATCGAGGAGAATTTTCAGGACGTGAGACGTCCGTTCGATTCAAACGAAAATTCACGACTAACCGAATGTGGTGAAAAATGTGAAATACATTCCTCCTCGGATCAATCCTAATTGCCAATCGAATGTTATGCTAATAGATATTTCACGTATTCTGTTTTGTTCGGTGACACATACACAAACATACATGCAAGTCACTTGCCAAAAACTTTTCTATTTAAATTTCCACTTTGCAATCATTCAGGCAGTTAATTCAATTGTACAAAAGATCGCGCGGCGGCATTCGCATTAAAATAGCTAATAATAGTCAATTCTATTTAAATACAATGATTAAATGCATTTACCTTCATCTTTCAACGCATGCCATATTCGTATCCCGAATAAGTCAACCGTGCGATATCAGTGCAATTTATTTATTGTATAATACTCGCAAGATGGCAATAATCACAATAAATAAATTTGCATCTCATACATTGAATATGGAAATGTATATACATACTCCGATTGATGTACACAATCTAAATTTAAATTAATTTCCTATATGAAAGCGAACAAAGTGCATCAAAGAAGCAAACAATGTAAAATATATAGAAAAAAGTCTAAAGTACCTTAGTAAATCGGGCATTAACTAGATCAATAGGTTGCAAAAAGAAACACAGCACTTACCTCGAATGTTGCGTGTAAATATAGGCGGTGTGCCAAATTTACTTGAAGGTGCTTCGTATATTGTCACAAGACAGCTTGTTTCAACTTCTCCATTTTGATTAGACGCTATGCATCGATAAATACCAGAGTCCTCTAGTTCAGCTGATGTAATTTCAAGAGTTGAAAGTCCATCCTTTAGAGTCTTTTTGTACCTTGTGCTATTTTCAACAATAATATTTTCTTTAAACCATTGCACATTTATATCCAGTCCAGATATGCCACAACTTAGCTTGAGATCACTTCCTGTAGCTGAGTTACGGTTTGTTAACGCAAAATCTACTGTTGGCTTTCTCCTAGCACTGCGGGCCACCTTTTTATCCTTGTATTCCGAATCAATAGTACGATAGGAAATGGGAACTGCTTCATGAACTTCAGAAACGTCTGCTTTATCTTCTCTCTCGCCGAAATCCTTATCTGATTTTTTGGTTTTCTTAGCATCAAGCTTTTGTTCCTCAATCTCTTGCTTTTCCAAAATCTTCGCCTTTTGCGCTTCAGCTTCAACGTCTCTGACGGTGTCCTTCTTGAATTCATCAACATGCTCTTCGGATACCTTTTTGGCTTCGACTTCAGAAACTTCTGCTTTGCCCACTTTCTTGGCATCGAGTTTTTGTTCCTCAATCTCTTGCTTTTCCAGAAGCTTCGCCTTCTTGGATTCATCAACATGCTCTTCAGATACCTTTTTGGCCTTGACTTCAGAAACTTCTGTTTTGTCCGCTTTTTCCTTTATATCCTTATCTTTCTGTTTGGTTTTCTTAGAATCGAGTTTTTGTTCCTCAATTTCTTGCTTTTCCAAAATCTTCGCCTTTTGCGTTTCATCTTCAACTTCTTTGATGGCAGCCTTCTTGGATTCATCAACATGCTCTTCAGATACCTTTTCGGCCTTAACTTCAGAAACTTCTGCTTTCTTCGCTTTCTTGTGGATATCTTTATCCTCTGGTTTCTTCTTATTATCATCGAGTTTTTGTTCCTCAATCTCTTGCGTTTCCAGAAGCTTCGCCTTTTGGACCTCAGCTTCGGCATCTTTGATGGCAGCCTTCTTGGATTCATCAACATGCTCTTCAGATACCTTTTCGGCCTTGACTTCAGAAACTTCTGCTTTGTCCGCTTTCTTGTCGATATCTTTATCCTCTGGCTTCTTCTTCTTAGCATCGAGTTTTTGTTCCTCAATCTCTTGCTTTTCTAGAACCTTTGCCTTTTGCGCTTCAACTTCGGCATCTTTGATGGCAGCCTTCTTGGATTCATCAACATGCTCTTCAGATACCTTTTCGGCCTTGACTTCAGAAACTTCTGCTTTCTTCGCTTTCTTGTCGATATCTTTATCCTCTGGTTTCTTCTTCTTGGCATCGAGTTTTTGTTCCTCAATCTCTTGCTTTTCCAGAAGCTTCGCCTTTTGCGTTTCATCTTCAACTTCTTTGATGGCAGCCTTCTTGGATTCATCAACATGCTCTTCAGATACCTTTTCGGCCTTGACTTCAGCAACTTCTGCTTTGTCCGCTTTCTTGTGGATATCTTTACCCTCTGGTTTCTTCTTCTTGGCATCGAGTTTTTGTTCCTCAATCTCTTGCTTTTCCAGAAGCTTCGCCTTTTGGGCCTCAGCTTCGGCATCTTTGATGGCAGCCTTCTTGGATTCATCAACATGCTCTTCAGATACCGTTTCGACCTTGACTTCAGAAACTTCTGCTTTGTCCGCTTTCTTGTCGATATCCTTATCCTCTGGTTTCTTCTTCTTAGCATCGAGTTTTTGTTCTTCAATCTCTTGCTTTTCCAGAAGCTTCGCCTTTTGGGCCTCAGCTTCGGCATCTTTGCTGGCAGCCTTCTTGGATTTATCAACATGCTCTTCAGATACCTTTTCGGCCTTGACTTCAGAAACTTCTGCTTTCTCCGCTTTCTTGTCGATATCTTTATCCTCTGGTTTCTTCTTCTTGGCATCAAGTTTTTGTTCCTCAATCTCTTGCTTTTCCAGAAGCTTCGCCTTTTGCGCTTCAACTTCGACGTCTTCGATGGCAGCCTTCTTGGATTCAACCACATGCTCTTCAGATACCTTTTCGGCCTTGACTTCAGAAACTTCTGCTTTGTCCGCTTTCTTGTCGATATCTTTATCCTCTGGTTTCTTCTTCTTGGCATCGAGTTTTTGTTCCTCAATCTCTTGCTTTTCCAGAAGCTTCGCCTTTTGGGCCTCAGCTTCGGCATCTTTGATGGCAGCCTTCTTGGATTCATCAACATGCTCTTCAGATACCTTTTCGGCCTTGACTTCAGAAACTTCTGCTTTGTCCGCTTTCTTGTCGATATCTTTATCCTCTGGTTTCTGCTTCTTAGCATCGAGCTTTTGTTCCTCAATCTCTTGCTTTTCTAGAACCTTTGCCTTTTGCGCTTCAACTTCGACGTCTTCGATGGCAGCCTTCTTGGATTCATCAACATATTCTTCAGATACCTTTTCGGCCTTGACTTCAGAAACTTCTGCTTTGTCCGCTTTCTTGTCGATATCCTTATCCACTGGTTTCTTCTTCTTAGCATCGAGTTTTTGTTCCTCAATCTCTTGCTTTTCCAGAAGCTTCGCCTTTTGGGCCTCAGCTTCGGCATCTTTGATGGCAGCCTTCTTGGATTCATCAACATGCTCTTCAGATACCTTTTCGGCCTTGACTTCAGAAACTTCTGCTTTGTCCGCTTTCTTGTCGATATCTTTATCCTCTGGTTTCTGCTTCTTAGCATCGAGCTTTTGTTCCTCAATCTCTTGCTTTTCTAGAACCTTTGCCTTTTGCGCTTCAACTTCGGCATCTTTGATGGCAGCCTTCTTGGACTTATCAACATACTCTTCAGATACCTTTTCGGCCTTGACTTCAGAAACTTCTGCTTTGTCCGCTTTCTTGTCGATATCTTTATCCTCTGGTTTCTTCTTCTTGGCATCGAGTTTTTGTTTCTCAATCTCTTGCTTTTCTAGAACCTTAGCCTTTTGCGCTTCAACTTCGACGTCTTCGATGGCAGCCTTCTTGGATTCATCAACATGCTCTTCAGATACCTTTTCGGCCTTGACTTCAGAAACTTCTGCTTTGTCCGCTTTCTTGTCGATATCTTTATCCTCTGGCTTCTTCTTCTTAGCATCGAGTTTTTGTTCCTCAATCTCTTGCTTTTCTAGAACCTTTGCCTTTTGCGCTTCAACTTCGGCATCTTTGATGGCAGCCTTCTTGGATTCATCAACATGCTCTTCAGATATCTTTTCGGCCTTGACTTCAGAAACTTCTGCTTTGTCCGCTTTCTTGTCGATATCTTTATCCTCTGGCTTCTTCTTCTTAGCATCGAGTTTTTGTTCCTCAATCTCTTGCTTTTCTAGAACCTTTGCCTTTTGCGCTTCAACTTCGACGTCTTCGATGGCAGCCTTCTTGGATTCATTAACATGCTCTTCAGATACCTTTTCGGCCTTGACTTCAGCAACTTCTGCTTTGTCCGCTTTCTTGTCGATATCTTTATCCACTGGTTTCTTCTTCTTAGCATCGAGTTTTTGTTCCTCAATCTCTTGCTTTTCCAGAAGCTTCGCCTTTTGGGCCTCAGCTTCGGCATCTTCGATGGCAGCCTTCTTGGATTCATCAACATGCTCTTCAGATACCTTTTCGGCCTTGACTTCAGCAACTTCTGCTTTGTCCGCTTTCTTGTCGATATCTTTATCCTCTGGTTTCTTCTTCTTGGCATCGAGTTTTTGTTCCTCAATCTCTTGCTTTTCTAGAACCTTTGCCTTTTGCGCTTCAACTTCGACGTCTTCGATGGCAGCCTTCTTGGATTCATCAACATGCTCTTCAGATACCTTTTCGGCCTTGACTTCAGAAACTTCTGCTTTGTCCGCTTTCTTGTCGATATCTTTAACCTCTGGCTTCTTCTTAGCATCGAGTTTTTGTTCCTCAATCTCTTGCTTTTCTAGAACCTTTGCCTTTTGCGCTTCAACTTCGACGTCTTCGATGGCAGCCTTCTTGGATTCATCAACATATTCTTCAGATACCTTTTCGGCCTTGACTTCAGAAACTTCTGCTTTGTCCGCTTTCTTGTCGATATCCTTATCCTCTGGTTTCTTCTTCTTAGCATCGAGTTTTTGTTCCTCAATCTCTTGCTTTTCCAGAAGCTTCGCCTTTTGGGCCTCAGCTTCGGCATCTTCGATGGCAGCCTTCTTGGATTCATCAACATGCTCTTCAGATACCTTTTCGGCCTTGACTTCAGAAACTTCTGCTTTGTCCGCTTTCTTGTCGATATCTTTATCCTCTGGTTTCTTCTTCTTGGCATCGAGTTTTTGTTCCTCAATCTCTTGCTTTTCTAGAACCTTTGCCTTTTGCGCTTCAACTTCGACGTCTTCGATGGCAGCCTTCTTGGATTCATCAACATGCTCTTCAGATACCTTTTCGGCCTTGACTTCAGAAACTTCTGCTTTGTCCGCTTTCTTGTCGATATCTTTAACCTCTGGCTTCTTCTTAGCATCGAGTTTTTTTTCCTCAATCTCTTGCTTTTCTAGAACCTTTGCCTTTTGCGCTTCAACTTCGACGTCTTCGATGGCAGCCTTCTTGGATTCATCAACATGCTCTTCAGATATCTTTTCGGCCTTGACTTCAGAAACTTCTGCTTTGTCCGCTTTCTTGTCGATATCTTTATCCTCTGGTTTCTTCTTATTATCATCGAGTTTTTGTTCCTCAATCTCTTGCTTTTCCAGAAGCTTCGCCTTTTGGGCCTCAGCTTCGGCATCTTTGATGGCAGCCTTCTTGGATTCATCAACATGCTCTTCAGATACCGTTTCGACCTTGACTTCAGAAACTTCTGCTTTGTCCGCTTTCTTGTCGATATCTTTATCCTCTGGTTTCTTCTTATTATCATCGAGTTTTTGTTCCTCAATCTCTTGCTTTTCCAGAAGCTTCGCCTTTTGGGCCTCAGCTTCGGCATCTTCGATGGCAGCCTTCTTGGATTCATCAACATGCTCTTCAGATACCTTTTCGGCCTTGACTTCAGAAACTTCTGCTTTGTCCGCTTTCTTGTCGATATCTTTATCCTCTGGCTTCTTCTTCTTAGCATCGAGTTTTTGTTCCTCAATCTCTTGCTTTTCTAGAACCTTTGCCTTTTGCACTTCAACTTCGACGTCTTCGATGGCAGCCTTCTTGGATTCATCAACATGCTCTTCAGATATCTTTTCGGCCTTGACTTCAGAAACTTCTGCTTTGTCCGCTTTCTTGTCGATATCTTTATCCTCTGGTTTCTTCTTCTTAGCATCGAGTTTTTGTTCCTCAATCTCTTGCTTTTCCAGAAGCTTCGCCTTTTGGGCCTCAGCTTCGGCATCTTTGATGGCAGCCTTCTTGGATTCATCAACATGCTCTTCAGATACCGTTTCGACCTTGACTTCAGAAACTTCTGCTTTGTCCGCTTTCTTGTCGATATCCTTATCCTCTGGTTTCTTCTTCTTAGCATCGAGTTTTTGTTCTTCAATCTCTTGCTTTTCCAGAAGCTTCGCCTTTTGGGCCTCAGCTTCGGCATCTTCGATGGCAGCCTTCTTGGATTCATCAACATGCTCTTCAGATATCTTTTCGGCCTTGACTTCAGAAACTTCTGCTTTGTCCGCTTTCTTGTCGATATCTTTATCCTCTGGCTTCTTCTTCTTAGCATCGAGTTTTTGTTCCTCAATCTCTTGCTTTTCTAGAACCTTTGCCTTTTGCGCTTCAACTTCGACGTCTTCGATGGCAGCCTTCTTGGATTCATCAACATGCTCTTCAGATATCTTTTCGGCCTTCACTTCAGAAACTTCTGCTTTGTCCGCTTTCTTGTCGATATCTTTATCCTCTGGTTTCTTCTTCTTAGCATCGAGTTTTTGTTCCTCAATCTCTTGCTTTTCTAGAACCTTTGCCTTTTGCGCTTCAACTTCAACGTCTTCGATGACAGCCTTCTTGGATTCATCAACATGCTCTTCAGATACCTTTTCGGCCTTGACTTCAGAAACTTCTGCTTTGTCCGCTTTCTTGTCGATATCTTTATCCTCTGGCTTCTTCTTCTTAGCATCGAGTTTTTGTTCCTCAATCTCTTTTTTTTCCAGAAGCTTCGCCTTTTGCGCTTCAACTTCAGATACCTTTTCGGCCTTGACTCCAGAAACTTCTTTTAGTTTTTGGCATAGTTCGAGGAGCTTATATGTTATTAATTGTATTTTGCCCTCTACTTTTGAAATTTGTATATTTTGATCGGTTTTCTCTATGTAGTCGTATTCATTTAACAATATTGCTTTTATGTTCTCAATATCTGAATTAAGCATTGTTGTTTTTTCATCTAACAGATCATCGAGTATAATAAAAATATCCATTAAATTCTGTTGCAAATTTATCATCTTTTCTGACGACTTTTCAATATTTTCCTTTATTTTTACATCCTCCGCAATGTTTTGAAGATTAACTAGCTTTGGTACTAACAACGATGGTTTTGCAAACATTTCAGTATCATCAATTAGTAAAATTACTGATTTGGTTTGCTGGACGTTTTCCTTTATTTCGCCTAGGTATTTATTAATGACGAGTTGCGCTGCTTCTGGGCAATTTTCAAGTAGCGCGTCTATAAACGATTCTACAATGTGTTCATCTTGTTGATCTGTGGGTAGTTTGCCGTCATATGTATGAACAATATGCTCTTTGAGTTTGAATATTAGTTTTGCTACTTTATCTGTATCTTCAAGGTTAGTAATTACATCTGTAGGATCCATTCCAATGGGTTGCAAAGCCTTACTGCTTTCTATAGTTTTCACCAAATCTGAACATTTTTCTTTTAAGTTCTGTTGCATTTTCTCAATTACTGCGGCCTTATCATTTTCGCCAACTAATTTTCGACAATTATCGGTTTTTAGAGCTTCCAACAAATCAATGAAACATTCTTTGTGTACATCCAGCTCTTGCAGAATACATAAGACATTTTTAAATGCACCATTCTCTAATCCCTCTCGAAGCTGATTAAAAGCTATAATGTCGACTACCTTGGACATTATGGATGACTTTTCTAGAGTATTTGCCAATTCTATCAGACTTTCATTGATATGTTGATATATTGCATTATCAGGATCTATAGATGGCAAGTTATCTTTTTTTAGGCGGGATATATTTGTGGTAATTACTTTTAGGAGATTGCCCAATGCACTAATTTCTCGGCTTTGTACATAGCTTTCAGAAATGAATGATATAATGCTGTTTATATAGGGTTGATAGCTGTCAGTGAAATCATGTATAAAAGCCCGTCGCAGAGTATCGTTGCTGTCGACTATCTGCAAAAATGCATTGTTTGTATTTTCAAAGAACATTTTTATATCGCCTGTTTTTGGTTCATAATGGTGTGTTTTCTTTGAATAGCTTATTAGCTCCTTTAACTTAAAAAGCGGTAAAAATATGACATCTTCGATTGGAAGACCTTTGCCATTAAATATATTTGTTTGTATTTCAGCAATATTTGAATAAAGTGCTTTTAGATCTTGCTGATCACTGCTTTTCCAATCAGATATATCGGTTACTTTAATTTCATTTAATATATTTGACAAGCTTTCTAAGAAGTCTATAACATTCTTGTTATTTTCGTATCCATGTAAGATAGGTGTTTCTGTTCGCTCCTGAGCTTTTAATTGGCTATGCTCATCCAAAGGTTGTGGTTCGCTTTCAGCAGGAATCTCAGCTTCCTTCCTCTCAATATTTTCTACGAACTCTTCTTTTGTTTGATCTTCTGTTAAAATGTCTTCTATTTTTTTGTTCCCATCAACGACTGTTTCTTCAACAACATTTTGTTGCGTTTCTGTTTTGATATCCTCATCACTTAAAGTGTGTTGAGCCAATGCCTTAGATTCAGCTACAGGTTTTGTTGGACTGTCCTCAACCATATCTGATTTAGCCCTTAAAGATTCCTTTTTAACCTCTTCTTCTAATTGCTGAGATGTCTTATCGTCGTGCGGTATTTTTTCAATCATTTCTGATTGCGGAACCTCTTCTGCAGATTCCCTCAGATCCTTAGGTTTAGCTGCGGGCTTTTGACTGTCCTCTGCAATTTCAGATTTATTTGCTAAGGGTTCCTCTTCCTTTTTAATATCTTCCTGTAATTGCTGGGATGTCAAGTCTTCGTTGGATATCTCCACTATTTCTGATTGCGGAAGCTCTTCTATAGACTCCCGGCCTGAAGTATCTTTTTCCAGTAGAGATAGATTCATCTGAGTTAATTTTTCCTGCAGATTAATTAGCTGCAACTCGGCACTCTCAATTAACGATAATTGCTTCGGTGTTAGCTCTGTAAGTTCGGGCTGTGAGAGAATGTCGTTTTCTATTTGAATAAGAATTTCTTCAAGCTGGCCGACATCTTCGGAGTTTTCTTCTAAGAATATTACATATAATGGATTATCATTTTGCAGCCCTTCTTCGATTTCATTTAATAATGCTTTACCAGAAGAAACATTTTCCAATAAAGGAGTAATATCAATCGTCATAGTTGGTTCATTCGAAATTAATGATAATGCATTTAGTTCCCCTGTTATTGCATCAATTTCTTGCAATAGCTCTATGATTCGTATTGAGTTGTCATTATTCTCAATGAAATCGAAAACGGAAACCAAATTATTTTGGGTTTTTAGAACACCACTTAATAGATCATTGTTTACAATTTCGCTGACTTCATTCATCGCTCGAAAAGTGGCCATTAAATTAGTTTGAAGGCTTACCACAACAGCAGAAGATTTGTCGGTATCAACATTAGGTATGTCAGCAACAGATTTTATTGCCTTGATTAATTTTTCAAAAGGCACTACTAGGTGATCCAATTTTTGCTGCGCCGTCGCTGGTTGCTTGCAATAAGTTATAAAGTTTTTAAAAGAATTTTCGATTTTCGCAAACATTTCTTGGGCCAATTGTGTTTCGAGTACAGGCAATGACACCAATATATCTTCAAATGCACTTTCGATATTTTCGAGTGATTCCACCAGACCTGACTCATAAGTATGTACTAGACACTCTTTTAGCTTGAACATTGTTCGTGCTATTTTCGCCTTGGCCAGTACAGATTCCTGCTGATCAGCGTCTGAGACAAGAGCTTCTTGGATATTCTCGAAATCTGACTTCAGTTGTTGCATTATTTCGCCGATTTCACGAAGATCATCGTTAGCTGCGGTTTCGGTGACATTGAGACAGGCTTCGAGCTGCTTAATGCCACCGGCTACGCCCTGCTGTATATCAAAGACCTCGAATTTCTGTGGTGGTTCTATGGAAACCTGTTCCTGAACTTCTTCCTGAACAGATCTTTTATCTGCAGACGTTTTCAGGTCTGTAATATCCTCCTGCGTGGATAGATCGAGTGCGTGCTCAAGCACCTGTACATCAATAAGTTCGCAATACTTCAGTAGATTAAAAATGGATGTTGCCTGCTCCTTAACAACATTCAAAGCAGGACATTCCTCAAGTGTTAAAAATGGTTGAGACTCTTTTACACTAATAATGGCCTCGCGTAAATTAAGAATTGGTTTTGCGAACTGAAGAAGTTGGCCTAGGCTCTGTTTTTCTGACATACTTTCTGCTTGTGATAAATGACACTGTTGAGAAACATTAAGCGCAATATTCTCAAGATCCTGAATAGGGTCAATAAGCTGCTTAAGCTGGGAAAGCGACTCATCACTTGCAAGAGACTGCAGCGTTTCCAGAGCATGTTGTTCGTTGATTGTCATCACAATGGGCTGGAGGTTATGCAGTAAAGCTGCGTTAGTCATGCTTATATCTGTAGCAGAGAAGCTTGAGGCTTGCTCCTGTTCTTGGGTATGCAAAACCAAAAGACACTCTCTCACGTCATGCAACGGCTTGGCCAAAGCCTTTAGTCGGGACAGTTCGAAGTCGCTCAAATCTTCCGCGCCACTGTGAGCAATGCACTCCTCCACTTGAACAACATATTGTTCTAGGCTGCAAAGAGCGTCGGCAAACGTGCCTTGTTCACTACCCTGTGAAAAGCTCTGAGCACCTTCGTTAATATTTGCTTCCTGTATCAATGCGAGGTTGCTTTTCAATTCCTGCATTTTAATAACAGCTGCTTGAACTTTTTCAGCTGACTTCGCACTCAGTGTGGCAACGTTTTGGTCTTCCAAATGCGATAAAACCGTAGAAATTCCATGTTTTATATCAGATAATAAAGTTTCCGCTTTGTTTTTTTCAGATCTCTCTACGGCGATTTCTTGCTCTGCATAAGCTTCAGGTTCTGTAGGAAGGGACTCTGCTGCAGACTTGAGCAGTGAAATATCATCCAACGTGGATAAATCTTCGGTAGACACTTTTATTGGGTGCATATTATCAAGCGAATGAATTAAATTCGACAGAGGACCAAAAATAGGCAGTGAGCTCCATGCCACATTTGGCAGAATAGTTTTCTTTTCTTGGGAAACTGTGACTTTAAGTTGCTTTAAAATATCGTTTAATTCATTATCTGTGTCGGCTGCTTGATTATTGAGAGCTTTAGCTATGTTAGCAAAGCTTTTAGAAGTTTCGAATAATACTTGAGCTGAGCTTTCCTGGTGGGAGTTAAGATTTGTTTCCGTATCGGTGACGGCTTCCAACTCTTTAGCAATTTGTAGGATGTGTAAAAGCGCAACTTGAGCTTCGTTTGTAAATGTTTTGGTTTTTTCTGCCGTTTTAGAATTTTCATTAAGTCTATTTAGTGCCAACTGTAGGGCATCGATATGGCTGATCGCCTCTTCTAACGAAGTTTTTGACTCCAGCACCTTCCTTAGGGCACTGAATGATTTATCCTGCTGTGAACTCTGGTTTTCATCCTGTTGAATTTCTTGCTGCAGAATGTTAAACTCATACTCTTCAATATCAATTATCACATTACGAATACTATCTTTAATATTGTCCAAAGTTTTTAAAGCATTTTGATCTGGATCGGGCATGGCAAGCAACAGCGCATTAGCTTGTCGCACTTTTTCTTGCAACATGGTCAACGGCTCGATTAAATCCGCCAACGAGCGAGAAACGGATCTCATCTCCGTTTGTCTAATGCAATAGTTCAACTCGTCAATAGGCGCTTTCAGTTTCTCGAACAAGGCAATATGATGTCTGGTTATTTCGTTATCTAAAACAGTTCCAATCAAGGCCGACAGTTCATCTTTCAAATGTTGCAGTCTGGTTTTCAAATTGGATGTAAGTCGAGAAGAAAGGAGTTCAATGTTTGTTTCAAAATGTAAAACTGCTTGGGCTATTGACTTCAATAGCTTCTGGGTATCCTCTGTGTCGATGGTGTAGTCTTCAATAACTTGGGCACTCTCAATCAGCTGACCTCCTTCTATATCTTGTCCTAGCTGCGCCAAACCATTCTGAATTTCCTGAAGCGGCGGAACCATCGACTCGACAGTGCTGACAGTTAAAAGGCCGGACTCTACACTATCTGATTTCTCATTTAGTATAACCTCCAGACCTTTTTTAAGCTCGAAAAGTGGTGGAGTTACAATATCTAAAATAGCCAAATTAATTTTCTGCTCCATTGATTCTGAGCCGGCTAGTGAGTCGGCCTTCTCTTCGATCGACTCCAGTGTGCTCTGTAAGTCCTTGATGGGCTGCACAATATTTTCCAAAACTTTCTGATGCACTTTCTTATAGATTTGCTCCTCGCTCTCTTCCAGCGATAATTCGTTCTCAACGCGTTCTAGGGCCTCTTGTATTTTGGTAACAGGCTGACAAATCTCTTTAAGTGCATTAGCCTCAAGTGGTAAGTTTGCTTCAGAAATTGATGCAAATGAAATCGTTTCTGGCATGTCTTGCATTTTTTCGACAGTTTCTGTTAAGTGTTTGGCTGCTTCTAACTCCTGGGCTTCCTGCAGCAGCGCCTGAGATCTAATAGTGCCTTGAGTGATCTCCAATCCTTGTTGTATGTCATCAGCAGTGAGCTCAATTTGAGCTCTTAAGCTCTCGGATTCAAATTTCTTACTCACGATTTTTAACTCCTCCAACGCCTTTTTCATCTGCTCGCCCACACTGTCTATAATACAGACGCTAGTTCTTTGAATTAGCGTGGTGCCAGTCTCATCGATCTCTACACATTTTTCAATCACTTGCAGGCCCATGTGAAGTTTTCTTATATCGTCGTCCATCGATTGGAAAAGCGCGTCTATTTGAGTTTCGCCCGAATATGCACGCAGTTTTGATTGCACTTGCTTCATGGGCTCTAAAATGTTTCTAATGATGGCAATACTTTGATCAGCTGCTGCTGGGGTCATCATCATGGTTGACTGTTCCAAAACCTCATTCTCCACAACCAATAAATGATTTTCAATTACCTTGAGCAACTTTGCTAGCGGTACGAGAGCCAATAAATTTCGGTTTATTTCGGCTTCGTCCGTCACCACTTTCAAGTGCGAAGCTGGCGATACTAATAGGCCATCGCCCACTGCTCCCGAAATGTCCTGTAGCCTTGCGTCATCTTCCGTGGTCTTTGATGATTCACTGTCGGATGGCTTTTTCGATTTTTTTCGTTTTGGTGGGGTGACACGTTCTTCTTTAGTTCCAGATTCCTCGCTTTTCCGACCTGAAATCACTTTCTGTGACGTAGACATCTGTGCACTGGCAAATGTTTGCAAATCGGAAGTTTCTTCGTCGCCTTGACTGCTTGATGCTTTTGAAAAACTAAAGAATTCATCAGTTTCAGTCGGGCGCGACTTCTTTCGTTTTCGAATAGGTGCTGATAAAGACAACTCCTCTTCCATTTTTTCAAAAGATTCTTGCACATATTTTTCTGTTTCCTTGTCAATAACACCCTCTCTGCCCGAAGACCCATGAACTGTAATCTCGGTTATAGAAATGTCATCCATGTCAGCCTCAGTTCGCATATCATCCTCATGGGTGAAATACTCTGGAGAGATATCGATGACTACAGCTTCCATTAATAGCTTTCCTGACTGACTCGTTTCCTTGACAAAGCGTAAGGGCGGCAACTCCACAATATTATGCTCCGTCACATGCTCCGAAATTTGGTCTGCATACATTTCGACTATCTTCAAGGCTTCTTCTTCCGTCAAGTCGGGTGTTTCATATAGGGAAACAGAAACTTCCTTCCCATCAAATGAAAACGATACATCTCCCTTTTCGTCTATTGTTATATCGCCAACGGGTGTTTCATAAAGTTGGGAAGTACGCTCCTCTTGTATGGTTGAAAGTGAGAAATTTCTTTGCAGTTCATTTTCTTGAATCTGGTCTGCTTTTTGAGACTTAGGGGTATCTTCAAAGCCCAGCAACGACGCAGAGCTTGCAACAACTCCCATACAATTTCTAGCCTCGCATGTATACGTTCCGAGGCAGCACGTTCCATCTTGGCCCGATATAATACGATGTATATCGCCGGGTTTTAATTCAACGCCGTCCTTGTACCACTTAAGTACAGGCTGTGGTACACCAATTACTTTGCATTCCAAATTTACGGCCCCTTCATCAGTAAGCACAGCTCGTAGGCATTCCAAAAATCTTGGTTTCTTATAATGTCTGGGTATTTGCAACTTCAAAAAACATGACGTTATGCTAGTACCAAAGTCGTTAACAGCAACACATTTCCACTCAGCTTGATCGACGAACTCAATACTCCGTATGTCCAAAAGCCAATCGTCATTTTCACCACGATAATGATTATATCGCTCATTTGGATCGATCGGCAATTCGTCACGAAACCAGGAAAGAATAGGATCCGGTGTTGCTTTTACAACAACCTTGAATTGAAAGGGTTCGTTGATTTTGGCATCTGTGCTTTTGAGGCCACTAATAAATCTCGGTGCTTGATTCTGATTTGTGAAGACCAGGCGCTCTTCGTCCGTTAACTGATTCTGAATGTCTTCGACAGTCAATACAGCCGTGCTGCTAGACTCACCCATACAGTTTCGGGCAATGCAACAGTAGGTGCCCAAGGAATTTGTACCAGTTAATTGATACACGTCGCCTGGCTTGAGTTCATGGCCGTCCTTGAACCACTTTAATACAGGCGTTGGGAACCCAACCACTTTGCATTCAAAGGAGACCAATCCCTCTTCAGTGAGCACTGCACGGAGGCTTTCCATGAATCTAGGTTTGCGGTAATTCTTTGGAACTATACAAATAAAAAAATATGGATATATCCAATTATTGCACTTAGTAGTAAGTACATTTATTTTACTCACTATCCATGCTGACAGTACATGTAGAGATCCCCACACAGCCTTCGAAACTCGTGACCACACATTTCCATTCTCCTGCGTCACAAGATTCGGATGGCTTGATTTCGATCATGTAGACACCCAAACCATCTTCAATTAATTTATATCGTTCCGCCGTGTCCACGCGGCCGTCTTTGTTGTACCAAGCGACGCTCTTGGGCCAAGGCGGGACGACCACTGGGAAAGAGAACAAATAGACAATGTAAATAGAGTATTGCGCATACGCCAAATGGTCAACTGAGAGCGCGCACCTCTCTTCGCAATTGTGGCAGCATTTTTGTTTTTCCCCTGCGTAATTATTGGTTCTGTTTTGATCACCTAATTTGTATCGCTCACTCTTCGGATGTTGTTGACCTACCGCAACATCCCAAACATTTCAACCATTTATTTCATTGAGTTCAAGTTTTTAGAGCACGTAATCTAAAAACAAACAAGCACCATTTGCCGGTCGGTATTTGAACCACATTCAGATACACTTATATACAGATATATGTATCTATATTCATGTGTTAGTATCTGAGTGTGCGTTCGCGCCACTTTGATCGAGACAAATAAACAAAAACGCTTTGGCAAAACGCCAGAAGACCCACGTCGCTCACAGCATTCTGCGCACTCACCTTGACAGCCGAGAATTATAGTCTCGCCGATGCGGACGCTCATATCGCGCAGTTCATTTGTAAATATTGGTGGGGGTGCATTGCTCGAAATGCTATATAGAGAGAATCAGAGTGGAAATTAGTGAGTTCGCTTAAAATCAAAAAACTTGGACTCACTTGTCTGCCGGCTTAAGCGAACCCTCGCGGCTTCCTCTGCCTACCACATGGACCTTGGAGCTCGAATATGTAACGCCCATGCAGTTTCTGGCCTCGCATGTATAGGTTCCAAGCGAAGTTGGATCATCGGCGTTTGCCGTCAGTGCAAAAACATCACCAGCCTTGATTTCCTTCGAGTCCTTAAACCAACGCAAATGTGGGGTCGGCACACCCACTACTTTGCATTCCAGGGACACTGTGCCCTGTTGTGTTAGCACTGCACGCAACTCTTCCACAAACTCGGGAGTCTTATACGCTTTGGGCACGAGCACATTTAGTGTAGCCAAACAGGAATTACGTCCACCCAAATTCTCTGCCATTAGCATCCACTGTCCACCGTCGTCCAATTGCACTGGACTTACTTCCAGATAGTGAAAGGTTCCTTCGTTAATCTCGGTGATGCGATCATTCTCGCAAATTCTTCGATCGTTTCGGTACCAGGTCAGCTATATAAATAAAAAGTTCAATGCCCTATCCTTCAACATAAATCTGTATGTTAATGAATACCTTTAGGTCCGTGGAGCTGCGTATTTCGGTCAGAAGTCGCGTTCGTGTGCCTACTTTGACCGACAAATCGACAAGACGTCGCAGAAATACTGGCGGGTCATCGCCAGTAGATCTGTCCTCGACTATGAGTTCGACATGCTTGCGCACGACATCGTTGCTTTTCGTGCGCGCAAATAGCGTATAGTGTCCTGCATCCTCGCGCTGCACATGCTCCACGGCCAGCTGGACGGCATTACTTGTTTGGGTTATGCGAAAGCGATCAGAGTTTTCGATTGGGATCTCGCCACGGCTCCTGCAAAGTACAACGATCCAACCATCCATTAAAAAATAAAAAGCGTTGCTTGAAATACTTCTTTAATTTTGAATAATTAAGGTGTGATCTTTAATGATTCTACACATATAAGTTAAATACCCAATTGGACCTCATAGTAAATGGGATTTTTGAAGACCCTTTTAAATGTAAATAGTTCCTGACTGTCATACATACTAAATAATATTTACGTTAAATAACTTTTATTTTAATTAGTATAATTTTTTGTCGTTTTTTTTTTTAACGGGAGAATCATGTAAATTAAAAGCATCTCTAATTTGATTGTTTTAATAATTTTTATACCCTATACCAAATGGGTAAAAGGCCACAAATTATATATATTATTGATCCGTATGACAAGAGGAATTGATAATGCCATATCAATCTGTAAATTTGTTCAGAAGTATAAAACCTAGAATAAACATCTCCTAGGTCCGACAAAGGGCTTTTTCCCAAACGTACCCCCACTATTAGGGATTGGAATTAAACAAATTTTGCAATAACATCTTATTAGTGCTATTCCTATATGCTGTTGAAAGAGTGCCTAAACGTACGCATGTCTTTTAATTTAATTTCAATATTTTATTTAATTTAGAAAATTCAAGTTAAAAATATTACATATATTTTGGATTTTTTTGGTAAACCGAGGACAGGGTATTTAAGAATTAGCTCACTTGACTCTGTCATTCCATTCTAATTTTAAAGGTCTGTCACACATGCCTACCAAAATACATGTTGAACTATAGTTACTCTATACTTACTCTGAAGTTATCAACGTTTTAGAAAATTCTACCTACTTGTTTAACAAATGGATAGATCAAGCAGCGTTTTTTGTCTATACGTTTTTCTTAAAACAAGAGCAGCTTCTTAAAAACACACACAAATGCGCAAAAAGATTAAATTTTTGAAATATGGAATGTTACCTTTTCCTATATACTGACGAGGCAGAGGAGAGCGTGCCATGTAATTGTTTATGCTCATTACATTGACAGCATTTCGAACATCCGTTGCCCATTGTGCCCGGTTAATGGGGATAAATATAAAAATTCTTGTAACTACACTGGGTGCGCTAATATTGATTTAATAGTCAATTGTCATTTGAAAATAACATATCTCGCAAATATGTATCATCTCTTAGCGAGATCTGACATATTTTTCATGCTAATGAAACTGCACGTCACTTTTTATTATGGCATTTGTATTACCCAATAAACAAAAAATATAAAGTAATAAAGAAAAAAAATGAATGAAAGAGAAATAAAGAAAATATTTCAATTTATAACAAGAATGTTTATAAATAAAAGCACATTTCGGCGTTTTTCGAAAATGCGCATATATTTAGTATTGTGATTTGAATTTTTGTTTTCACTACAACAACACACACATCACAATGTAGTATGTGGCACCAACAATCTCACTTTGCCGAGGCAAACATTTAAGCAATTTATTTTAGGACACATTTCACACGACGACAGGTCTGTATGCCACACGCATTTCATTTTCAAAGCTAATAACTTGTTGTTTTCTGTGTTTTCCTTACACAAAACTGCAAAACGAAAGAATTTTCAAATGTTTCTTCTTTTTGTTGTTTTCGATTTCCTTGCCTTTATACTTTTATATATGTATCGGATATTTTGCTCAATGTGCTTTTATTTATTCATTTGTTTGTGATTTCTCACGTAGCCGACCAATATAGCGCGGATATTGCTAAATTTCTGTGAGAATCAACAGCATAAAGCTTATTATGTAATTTGCAGTCTCTTTTTATAAACATTTTCAACACTTTTAGGGAATTCGATTGAAACATCTTGATTCCAAGTACACAAAAGGAAGACCAGTAGCACAAGACACAGAGCATCACGAGCTGAAGCAATTCAATTTTCAAAACATTTTCTATGATGAGCACTAAAAGCACAAAAAAAAAACGAGGGCGTCATAGACCGCACGGACGTCGCAGCGCGATTTGTTAATGCAGCTAAAATTAGCAGATCGCCAGAATTCCGGGCCACACACAAAATTGGTTCACAGGTACACCTTTGGGGCGAGGAACTAAAGTTCCAAATCATACTCTCCTATTCTTTACTTTACACTGTGACTCTCACGCAAATTGATTGATTTTCAAAAATGTACAATTTTTTATCAAGTATACGCAGCGTGAAACGCACCCTAAGCCAGCAACGATACTATGTACACTTTTGCGTAGATACGAGTATATAAGAAAGAAGAAGAAAACAAAAAATATATATATATAGATTTTCGTATAACCGAACACGAACTGATGCCTACTGGGCAACGGATATGTGAATGCGCCGATCGTCAGAGTGGAACTGTCCGCTGAACTTGCGACTAGCGGGTGTCCCGTGAAATATTCTCAACCTAAACATCAGACCAGAGATTCTGCTGCTCACTGCGCAGCTTATGAGCATTCTGCGCAGGTGGGACAAGTGTTTTTTTTTCATAGATACAAATTTTGAGGTAGTACAAATGTTTAGCCTTTGCTCAATTTGCTTTGCGCTCGCAAGCGTGAAGGCAAAACATATTTAATGCGCAAAATTTGGCATACATAGTTCAGACAGCAGGTGAATCACTAAAAATTGCACAGGCAGACAGACAGCTCCACAGCCACATATAGAATATGACGTTGTGCGTTTTGACTTACCATTCGAATTTGAAGGGCAGTAGCTCGGATTCGTCCTCCTCATTGCAATCGATTTTAACAAAAAATGTCGCACGCTCATTGGGTATACAGCGTATTAGAGAACTCGAATTTTCACTGAATGTTATCCGGGGGGGCTTTCGTTGGGATGGTGTGGGTTCTGTACCAGAGACAGAGCCAGGAGGTTCTGAAATTATAAATAAATTTAAATAAATAATTGCTCAGTGCATTTTTGATGTTCAATTTGATAAATGTGACTACAAGTATACTACACATATAGTATAAGTTTAATGTATACTATATATCATGTTAATGTACTACAAATAGGTAAAACCCCCTCTCTATATCCTAGATATATACTAAAATCAAATCATCGTCATAGTTGAGAAGAGTCTGGATAAACGCCTCGGTTTCGGAAACGGCTGAGCGCAATCCAATCTCGGTATGTAGACCATCCTAGTCCCTAGGCTACACGAGTTTATTTTATTTTTAATATTCCCCCTCCCCGCTGCAGAATTGCGTAAACACTGTCCACATTTCAAAAGTTAAAGTAAACCTTTTCAAGCAATCTACTTTTGTTTTAAACTTTATCGAAATCAGTACATTTTAAGAAAAGTTATTAGAGAAACAGTTTCACTCCAGTACTACGCCCACAAACTGCAGCATCAAGTTCGCTCTTCTTCTTTTTGACTTTGTTATGGGCACAGCTCATTTCCGGAAAATTGTCTGGGTACAAGGTATTTCACTGTCGGACATGCTCGACTGTAGCGTTCTCTCTTGTTATATAAATGGCTTTTGCAGAATGGATTATTGAATTACTTTTAAACTTGCATAATCTAATCTGTGAATAGGTAGTATGTTTTACCGATTTTCATTTGCTTTCCGATTATTCCAATATACGATTTCCTAGAAATTATTTAACAGCCAATAAAATATAAAGGAATTTTACATCCCGCATAGGAATTAAAATTAAATTCTAGATTTTGTAAAAATTTGGAAGGATTTGTACAAGTTCGGCCGGAAACGGAAATAGAACTTATAGAATGCTTGTTTACATTTCACATGAAGAAGATGACAAAAGTAGTATAATTTCTTTTAGCAATATTTTATGTACACTAGCTAAGGTTTGTGTTGTTCACGCTTCCTAAAAGAAATCAGCCCTTGGTAAAAAAATAATAATAATTCGAACGAACTGATAACTTTCTATTTTTATTATTTTTGTATATCATTTTTATTGTGAATGTTTTTTTGTCATTTTCATTTTCTTCGATAATTTCATAAAATCTCATTCAAATTTAAAAAAAATAAAACATTTTTTTAACATAACGTTATCTATTAAGTTATAATCTATTAAGTTATATATTTGTTTACAAAATGCTTTTCAACTCAAAAATCATTAATCAATCCAACATCTTCGATACATGTAGGTCTATATGTATGTATGTAGTTGAAAAACATGAATAAGTGTACATACTATATTGATCAAAATTGTATCGGACGATGGATTTAAAACTCTGATAAACAGTTCATCAGAATCTGTATCACACATATAAATCTATTTGAACCTTAGCATTAGGATGAAACTAAATAAAAATCAGATACAGAGTATAACAACTACATTTCGGCCGATATATTCTGCTTCATACTCTCAGAAACGCACAATTATGAAAATTTCCTTTCAGATTACGTAACGCGCAAGCCGACAGCCGGACAACATTTTGCGGCGCAACGGCCGCATAGCCATAAAAATACGCACAAACACTTATTTAGTCTATTGTCTGTTTTTAAAGGAGACACGCGCTTGCTTTCCCGGTCCCACTCACCTACTAAGACGGCCCCTTCTATAGGAGCATCTGGTCTCTCCATGTTCAGGTCTCGCTATATAATTAGCCAAACAGGGCCACTCTAACATGGGACTATGCACTTTACAGTTACACGTACGCGTACGTTACACGTCAAATATTTCGAACACTTTCAGGACTTTTAGTAGTAGATTTCGTATTGGGCAACAATTTGACAATTTCTATTATATTTTAATGCGGCACAGAGCGGAAAAACTATAAACGATTTTTATATTTAGAACGGCGGCCTTTATATACAAACACACACAAATATCCACCATAAATACATAAAAACAGCGGAGCCTACAATTTAGAATTTTTCGTATTTAAAAGGTGAATTTCGCAGATTTTCATCAATTATTTCTATTAATTTTTGTAAAATGATGCGTAAAATATTAATATCTTTAAGTTGCACTTTTTATTCAATTGAAAATGGCTGCGTTTCTATAATGCAGCGGATAATTCTTTAAAGCACACTCTCACATATTTGACACTTCAGTGAAAAAATTTTCTATATTTAAATTATACATATATATACAACACAACATCGAGGGCTCACACCGACGTCCAGCAGACACCTCCTGGATCTCCGATCGTTTTTCTCAGACTGAACAATCTCAGCGGCAGCCAGTCCATTCCATCCCATATACACATCGAAAATAATCGGACAGCGAAATGCTGAGTGTCGGAGAGAAAGTTTAGCAATGTTTTTTGTTGATGTTCATGTGCTTAGGTGCGCAAAGAGGGAAAATTTATTATAGAATGAGTAGAGTACAAAAGTTCTTTGGATCTACCAAATATTGCGCATGTTTTTTGAAATATTTATTTTAATTTGTGAAAATTTTAGCAAAATATATAGTATATGAATATGTTAAACTTTTCTTGTTTCATCGATTAAATAAATGAATACATATTCAAAGTTGCATAAACTGTAAAGGGTGCCACCGTAGCCTCCCGAAGCTCGCTTGGCAAACACCATACAATTGTTATTAAGACCCTACTTAAATTAACAAGACACACACACAGATTTGATTAGGCTACGAATCCCAAATGTTGCTTTTGTACGTACACATTGTTCGTTTAAGCTTAATTAACTTATCGCGATAATCGAATAAGGATAAAGACGCACTTGGCTCAGACCGAATAGAAATGAGAGTTGAATTTGGTGCGATAGGACGGATCCGTAAATGGAGAGAACCATGCTAGAGAGAAGCGTCCAAATACTGATTGTATGCTCTTAAGGCGAGACTTTTTGGCCCACCGCGCTTCCTCTTTCTTTAATTGCTCAATGCCCTGAAAAGCAGATCCAGGTTAGTCTATTCTAATATTGTGGTCCGAAAATACATTCAACTTACCGTTTGATCGTTTAGTATGGCCGTCAATTGTGTGGCCAACATTATGATGGTAAAGATTGCAAACATCAATGCCTCGAAGGTGAGGAAAAGCAGCAAAAATATTGTTGCCGGCGGTGAGTATGGCGAGCAGGTGTGCCAGTCATTCTCTACGCACTCGGCAAACTGCTTAAGTACAAGAAAGAGAGCGTGCAAAGATATAGCCGCTATATAGAATGTAAAGAGTACAAAAAATTTTTGATTGTTTTCCCCAACGCAATTGTTCACCCAGGGACAGTGATGGTCCATCTTGCGTATGCATCGCTGGCACACGGAGCAGTGATGCGCGCGGTCCGGCTTAATGCTGCAACATTTGGGGCATTTGTAAAACATTTCCCCGTCACGGTATCCCATTTGTTCGATCATTTCCTTTGTGGCATTACCTCGAGGCACGGCGCCAGGGTCTGACAGCATCGTCCGTAAATGTGAGGCGAATGCTAGAAATGCCAGCGCTTGAAAAATAAATGTATTGATTACGCTAAAAACCGTGTGGGGACTGGGCATTAGAATCAGACGCATCACTACGAACTCGGCAAAAAGTATCAAAAGCCAAGTAAGAACAGCGCATACAATGCCGCATATGTCCTTAAAAACAACAACAACAAAATTATATTTTAATATAAACTCCACATTTGCTCGTCTCAGACTCACCTTGACACACCAAGCTCTGCCCCCACAGCAGCGATTGTGGTCATGAGTGTTCATTGCTGAATAGCTATAATGCATTTTCAATTGAATGACACACTGGGCATACTTCGGCTGAAATTGTTAAGCGATCCGTTTTTTTGCAAAACACTACACCTACACCGCTGCTCTCCTTCTTCCAACACTGCAATTCCCAGTCCAGCTGTTAATCAGCTGGCAGCAAGTCACGGCGAAAAAAAAACGGCCAAGCATAACGTTCAAAAAAATACTACATATATACTTTATTATTAAAATCTTCCCTAACACTTTTTAAGCACACTTTGAACGAGTTATTTAACAGCGGAATAAAATATATACAATAAAATCTTAATTAAAATAAATCAACTCATGCAGGTGTTAACTTGGCCTCAGGCTCAAGGAGGGCCCACAAGCCAGCCAGAGAAGAAATGGCACCCAATAGACCAATAGTCCTAGGAGTCATCTTCGTGTAGCCCAAAGCTGTAAGCGGAATAAAGAAATCGCACAAATTCTTCACCGTGTCCACCACAATGTCTTTGTGTCCCAGCATTAATACGTAAGACTGCAGAGCCAAACGCTTGAAATCGGATGGGGAATTAAGCTTTGCGGGAAGCTTGCGTCTTGAGATGCCACTATTACAACTAGCTCTATGCAAATCCAAGGCTCTCATGATCTCGTAGAAATCACGACATAAGTTCATTATGATAGAGAATAACCAATACTTGTTTGCGACCTCTGACCACTTCTTGGCGTTGATTTTCACCAGACCTGTGCGTGCCAACCACAAGAAGTGGTCGGCAACCAGAAATAGCGCTTGAGACAGCTTGCTCATTGTCAGCGTGACGCGAATGGCCAAATCCGGGTAATGTATGGTGCGCAGAGTGGCGTAGAAAACATCCAGACTCTTGCCCAAACGCAAAACTATTGACCGAACAAACACAATGAACATCTACTTATGACTCTCCACACTTAAAACTTACGCTTTCTGAATGTACTCAATATGTACTCAATAGTCTTGAAATTGTCAACCAGCGCCGGGCTAGTAGAACTTGACTCTAAGGAGTCCCAAATTGCTCGGGATGCATATTGAACGAGCCTGTTAAAAATACATATTTACTAGCTCTTTTTCCAAGCTTTAAGCATTCTTACCTAGCTATTTTGTCCCTGCCAGCGGCCTGGTTGTTCAACTGCACCCACTTGTCCATGTTTATCGTATTACCAAATAAAATACACAAAATTGCAGTTCAAGGTACAAAAGTGATAATAGTGATGTGAGAATATATCGATGTGCCCAACATCCCATGACGATGTTTTTGCGAGTGTCGGCGCATTGCAGTGGCAGTGAGTAACAGGCAAAGGTAAGAAGAAGAATTGAAAGTCAGCCACGTAAATTTATGTTAGATTGTTAATTCTAGGTTTAATTTATTCGTCAATAAACGAACAATAAAGTTGAATTGAATATGGCAGTAAGTAGACACGACTCCTTTCCCTTTGTCCAGCCACATAAATTCTTTCTATTGTAGCCACCGCAGAAGGGAAAACAGGGCACAAAGGGCGCTAAGCAAATCGTTGAAGAAAACAAGACCGCATTAGCATTTTATAGAAACATGGCTGTGTGCTGCGCCGCTTTTGCTTTTGTATTGAACTTTCTAGTCTTCGACATTACAAAAGTCACAATTGTATGGATGAGTCCGTTCGAGGGGAATATACATATTCTAATTTGTCCCATTTGTTTACAGTTCATGAGCTTCGTCTCGCTAGTTGTACTTGGCGGTTCCTACCAATTCATGGTCTTTATGTCGCGTCCGAAGTATTCCGAGACTGGTGCACTTGTGGACGCTGGCAACGACTTGAACATGGAGGGTGGCATCGCAGAGTAGGTCACAGAAATCTCTTTTTTTCGATCCGTTTTTGACTTGGTGTTATCTTCAGGAATGTCAAGGATCTAATTATCCTCACATCAGGCACATTACTGCTCGCCTTAATTTCCAACTATTTCTGGTTAGTTCTGCTGCTTGCGCCCATACGAGCTGGGTGGATGCTGTGGGGCAGTGTCATAAAACCGTGGCTGTCGCAGCGGAATGCTAATGAAGAACCCGAACTGGACGAAAAGAAACAACGAAAAATGGAGCGTAAAATGCGTCGTATGAGATAAAAGTGGTCCCTGTTACACACATTAGTTAAATTAATTACAGCCTAGCTCCAGTAGGACACAATTTGCATTTTTCCCGAATTTGTAAACCGTCCAATTCGAAAAATGTGTTTAATGTATCCTATTGAATCTAAGGTTAGGTTATACAATTTCTGTTATACTCACTTGGCGGGGTATTTTGCCTTATGAATTTAGATGAGATTCTAAGATTTAGAGTCATGGGACAAAGTATAGACGAGAAATATGTACGTTTTCCAAATTAATTGTTTTCCAAATTAAATTTTCCTGGACATGAATAAAAACGTCGGATTATTGTTTATTCCGGATATTTTGAGCACTTATGTACGTGTCTGTCTGTCTGTGGTTGGCCGGATTATTGATGTACAAAGATATTCAAAAAAAAGCGAGAGAAAAATGTGTTTCAAAAATACGTTCAAAGAGGCAATGTACATCCAAACTAAATTATTGAAGTAATTATGAAGTGTTCATTTAAACTTGACTTTATATAGACGACTCGTATAAGGATAATATTAATAGAGAGATTCCAGATATTTTATTTTTATAAAAACGGCGATATAAACCAGATATTTGTTTAAAAGTTAATCATAATTTGGCAAACATTGCTCTCTTAATTAAGTTTATCTTGGTTCAAATAGAAGATAGAGCCCCATAACTTTTCCACTTTTAGTGAGTACTTAAAACATTGCGAAAAGGATACAAGGCTTTGTACTACTATATGCCCGGGAATTATCAGCCAAATATTTAAGATTAGGAGGTCTTAATACGTTAGAGATAGTCCAGCCCTTGGTGTAAATTCGATGAATCGATTGTTAAAGGTATCGAGAAATGAGTTGTGTAAAGAGAAAAAGGAGAATTATTACTTGTACTTTAATTTAATTGTATTTAATAGTATCTTAAAACAAAGTGTTTTCACTAAAGAGCACTGAGATGTATTAATAAGGAGAACAACCCCACAAACACATTAGGTGCATTCACCAAAGCACTTTCATTCATCATTAATTTATTCTGCTGAAACATTTGAAACAGAAAGTTATATGTAACCAATAAAAACAACTTGCCTTTCGATTTCATATCATGTAATAATAATCTACGTTGTTGAGCTAAGCACTTCTATGCTTAGCATTTTAACAACGCAGTGGCTTACACAAAATTATTAGGGCATTCAGCAGGGAATATTAGTGATCAGTAATTTTACTGATCAGTGATCAGTTTTCCCTGGTTCCAATGATCAGTAATTTTACTGATGTATACCTATTTAAAACCTACTCCTAGACTTAAGTAACAATATGGTACTCAGAAAAAGCATATGCATTTATTTTATATTTTGAATTTTTTTAACGATGCGATTACGAAAGAGTAAAAACTGGACCTAAAATATTGCTTAAATGTAAATAATGTGCGTATTAACACTAATTATGAATCATAAGCTAACGGCAACAACTGTTTTAATTTTACTGGTAAGTATATTTTTTAGGCTAGGGTTATGAGGCTCAAATCAACATTTTAGAAATCACAAAAGATCCTCGGTAAATGAAAAATAAACATTTGTTAAAAACTGCGGCTTCTTATCAAAAATCCAAGTTAACAATACTCCGTAATCTCCAGTTGGAATTGAATGAGGAAAAGATTCAGGTCCAATCCAAAAATCCTTCAAACTGTTCACACCCTAAAATGTTGAAATGTTAGCTTACCAGCTAGCGTTAGTAAATGCCTTTCCATACCGAATAAGGACACGTATGATTAATCGTTGAGAAATCCTTTATCATCTTCCAGGCCCAGCCCACAAGTGGATGATTGACCTTCCGCATAAATTGGCAACCATCGAATGTATAGTTGATAAGCCAAGGCTTGTATCCATTTGCTTTCTTCACCACTTGTATTTTCACAGATATATCGTTGGCTGGGTGAAGAAGAGTGATGAAAATATTCAAAGCCACCTTATTTCTTTGAACAACTTTCAATCGGCAAAGATCGATAGAAACCCAGGACTTATTATGTGATTCACAGACAGCATTTGTTAATTTTACTACGGCTGCGTTCTGAAATTACACTCAACAATAAGTTGCCAGGATTCCAAAAAAATATAAAAGTATTATATTTACGTTCTGGTAAAAGATTCCTGGCAGCACCAGCAGCACTACTAAAATAATCAACTTCTCATTCATGATGTTGATGGTCGAATAATTCCTGTTTCATTTATCGCCATTCATTTTCTTTGTTACTACCATTTTCACAAATACGTTTTATACTTCATTAACCATTGTAATAGTTACAAATTAAGTTTTATGTACAGAATACATTTGAACGTTTTTAGCAACGCTTTACCATTATATTGCAAAAAAAAGGTTGTACATGATCAAGTAATAACTTTTTTATTTGTCGCCATTAATTATTGATGTGTTTATCATTTTCACAAATAAGTCATTTTTAAATAGAAATATGTTATGGTTCATTAACCATTGTTATAATTACAAATTAACTTTTAACTAGAAAAGTTAGTTTTTTTTGGTAGTCCCTTTACAAACTTTTCTGGAAATAAGCACAATGTCGGAAGAGAAAGAGCACATGGCATGTAAACATTGTAAGCAAATACTTAACCCACCAAAGATGGGTAAGACCTGCTAGTACCATACAGTGAAAACTCTCTTGGCCGGACACTCACGGCCGGCCAATATTTGGCCGCCCAAGGGCAGGGTCCGCTTAACGGGTTACTTAAATACTTTATACACCGATCGATTTTTTTTAGAAAAAGTGTATGCCGAAGAGAGTGTCCGCTTAAAGGAGTTGTCCATTTAGGGAGCTTTCATTGTAATTTTAATTTGTATCTTCACTGTATATATTCTTGTGTACTGTTTCTACTGCTGCGTAATTATTGTTGTTGTCCATATATTGTGTAGCGATGTACATACATATCTATAACAATATTCATGTGGTATTTGATTGGTTGCTTGCCTTCATGCAATATGAATAAAAAGCACTTTTTGAATCGTTCTCACAGGTCTTTGACCGCATCATATTGCAAATTTTTGCCAGAGTGCACAGTTTTTCTATAGTTGAAATGACAGCTTGTACTTTACATGACACAGCACTTTTCTTTATGGAAACCCTTTTGTTCATATGAATGTATGTATGTATGTAGATATGTACATACATACATACATATGAATATACTGAGAAACCTGTATAGGCTATTTGTTTACTGATCATCTAATAGCCCATAGACAATCACCGTAGTCAACTTTTACAATTACAATTCGGGTAGTACCGTGCAATTTTTTATACCTATTACCCGTAGGGTAAAAAGAGTATATTACGTTTATGACAGAAAGAGGCACTTCTGACCCCATAAAGTATGTACATATGTATGTATATTCTAAATCAGCATGACGAGACGAATTGATCTAGACATGTCCGCTAGGATAAACGCCTCGGTTTCGGAAACGGCTGAGCGCAAATTGACCAATCTTGGTATGTAGACTCCTAGTTCCTAGACTACACGAGTTTATTTTATTTATCTTTTTATTTTCTCCCCGCTACAGAATTGCGTCAATACTGTCCACATTTCAAAAACCAAACCAAGCTTGGATCAAGCGATTTATGTACTTTTGTTTTAAATTTCATCCAAATCAGTACATTTTAAACAAATTTATTAGCGAAACAATTTCAGCCCAGTACTACGACCACAAACTGCAGCATCAGGTTCGCTCCTATTCTTCTTATTCTGCTTCTGCTGTGGGCGTATAAATGTATGTATGTTTCTACATAACTCAGAGGCGGAATTTTGTCTGGTACAGGGAATTTCACTTGCTCGAATATTGCGATCTGTCTGCATTCCGAATTCCGCTCGTGTTCGTTCATGTTCATGCCAAAGCAGGTAACGAAAAGGGCACAGAAATGGGAATCTAATGAGCCGTACCTACAGACAGTGCACAAAACTGTAGGTAGAGTTAAAGATGATTTTATGTGCGCTTTTTTTGTTCCAGAACTTTCGTTCATATCACACGTTTGTACTTGTACGTATGTACATATGTACACATTTTGGGTTCAGAATGGTAATTGATGTCAGGCCAACAAGCAGGACATCTATTAGATATTTTTGTTAAAATCCAGTTACTCTTGACGTTTTTGATCACAAAATTCATCTTGTAATATTTTTGTCACGTGGTTCCTCAATAATTTTAACTACTTTCATTTTCTTAACATCAATATTTAGTTAATACACTTTTATTAATTTGTGGACAGCATACAATGGTAGTGTTCTTTGGGTAAATGTCCTGCTTTATTTATTTTTTCACGTTCTCACAGCTTATCAACCGAATGTAGTAATAAAATAAGTCAATAATCGCGGTGTACTTACCATTGGATTTGGATTTGTTGAAGCTTTTTCATTGATCATATGCAAAAAATAATTTTTTAAATGCATCGTGCATTATTTAATCTAAATTTTAATTTTTTGCCTCCGTATTCGCCATTTTATGGATTATTTTACAATGCATTTTAAAAAGAAAAATAGTGATATTTCGGTATACGTACACACATACATACATATGTAGTACATATGTTACAGTTTTGTTGTGTTCTTCGAGCCTTTTTGAAGCAACACGAGTGCCCCCGCAGTGACGCAACCGAAAACACGTCCCATTCTCAAGATACGTACATACATACATACATAAATATGTATGTACATATGTATTTGTATGTGTGTACATATGTATGCATCTATCTATCTATGTATGTATGTAATAATTTGTTTGTCACAATTTATGCTATTTATGTTCTATTATTTAATGATTAAAAAAATTAACAAATACAAAGTTAGAAACAAGAGAGAACGCTACAGTAGACCAAGCCCGACAGTAAAAAAGCCTGTACTCTCCGCAAAAAAGGCAAATAAAAGAAAAAAAAATTAATTTGTATGTATGTATGTAGCACAAAGTTGAACCAAAGCAGCTGCCGGCAACGCATGAGCAGCGATTTATTTATGGCTATAACTTTCTTCAGAACTAACATATCATGATGACACTTGGCATACGGACAAATAACCACGAACTGGATGTATATGCCAAATTTGAGTTCAAAATTCCAAGAATTACCGGAGTTAGGAAAAACACGAATTGCGGGGGAGTGGGGGTGTATCAGAAAAAAAACACAAACTCGATCTGTCTGGGGCTTAGGGGAACCTGAATGCCAAGTTTGGTTATCCTAGCTATTGTACTTGCTGAGATCGTTGCACTCATACAGACAGACGGACGGACGGACATAGCTATGTATATGGACTTGTCTTGTCATCCTGATCATCCTGATATTCGCAAAAAACTAATATAGCCTTTGGGCACAGGCTATAAAAAGCGGTTGGGATGCTGTGTGTACGATTCGATCTATTTTCAATTTTTTTAGTCTGTTATCTGCCATATGTACATACATACATACATACATATATTCCACTTACCCCCTGCAGCTTCCCGTCTTAACGAGCCGGACAACCACATGCATATGTATGTATTCTTAGAAATATTACAGAGGTTCTTTTTACTGCTCCGATTCGTTGACATGTTAACATTCTGCCTGCCCAATGCCAACTAAGTACAGTCCTCTATTAGTCTACGCAATAGCAATAAGAATTATGCAATGCTCATGTTGTACATATATACATATATATTTACATACATACAAAGATATGTACATTTAAGACGACGAGTCCGGATCGTGTTGCTTATCTCTAAATTCATAAGACCTTTGACGCGACAGAAATACATACATATGTATGTACATATGTATATACACACATATGCATGCATGTAGTGTTTTAACTCAGTTCAAAACTCCTGACATACACATTTTAAGTACTCTCCTTATTGAATTTCACAATGTAACAGCACAGCATTTTTAAACAAACACAGACCACACAAAAGGTCTCATTTTCAGTACGCAATAAAAAAAATGGTTTTTATTATGAAGGATGTAACGTTACGGCCCTGCAGTACAGAGGCTTACTGTTAATAGCTTAGTGGTATATGTATGTATACGGTAGGCAGGTATGCCTGAGAGCTAGGGCAAACATTTAGAAACGAAGCAATTATTGAAGATAAAGTAAAACTCGACTTTTTTTCTTTTAGTGATATTAGTATGTTATATTTTATAGCCTATTTAATATAACAAAATGAAAAAATTAATAGTTCCCGATTGCTGTATATGACTCGACTTTTTTAAGGCTAAACAAAACTTAATGCGAAACGACCACTTTTGAATTGCGGTTAAGCTTTTTTGTTTGTGAACATCTATTCACTAGTGGTTGTCTTAAGCACTCCAAATTAAGTATGACTTCAATTTTAATAGAAATACTTGTAAATCAAAAAATTGACCCTAAGTATATTTGATTGGCAAAATCAAATTTGAAACAGCATTCATTAATATGTGTTATATCTTGCTATTTAAAAACAAAGAGGCACACTTTTTCACAGTGGTCTTTTGTTTTCAGTAATGCGCTTACCAACGACACCCTGGTAATTTTGTACAGTCAGCACCGGCAGCACGGCAGGGAAATATTTTACAATTTTTCTTTTATGTGCTAACATTGACAGTTCAGTCGTTGCTCGGTCGTTGAAACTGAAACAAGGAGGCGGATGCGCAGCCTAATTGTTGAGACAGGAAAATTTTGCTTGCGGAGGACTTGAGACTTGTTGCTCTTTTGTTGTATTGCAGACATGTACATACATATGTGTGTATGTATGTATATGCATGGCATAAGAAAGATATTGTGAAGAGAGAAACCGATCCCGGCAAGTAAGTTGGGAAAGAGGTATGTATAAAACAAAATAAACGTCAGAGAATAAACATACGATTTATGTATGTACATATATACTTATGTACATACTTATCGTATTTTCCGGAAGTTGTGCATGTGCTCAAATGTGTCTCTATTAGTGTGTGCATTAAGAAGTGCTTGGCTGTGAAAATTTATTTCATTTTGAGAAATGGTTTAAGAAACTGCGGAACAGATTGTTGTGAAATACAGACAAGAAATTCTCAAGGATCGTATCTTTTCGGATTTTAGGTGGAATTCTATTCTATGATACAAACAAATTTAAATAAACTGAACAAGGAAAATTTATGAATATTGATCAAGGCGAAATGGACTTCTACAATGATGTAAGCTTTTTCGATAATATGTAGTTGGACCTCGCAAAGCATAATTTTTACCTCCCACACAGTTATCAACTGTTATTCACAGTCCTGCATCGACTATGTATGATGACAATGAATTTAATAGTGCCCCAGAAATCAGGACACATATACTGGGAAAAAAAGCAGATGGCTTTACAGAAATGTCGTATATAAATACGGTCACACCACCCATGACGACGCCTCCGTTAACTCCACATCCACCACAGCCTACAATGCCCTTAATATCAGATTTGTTAAGCTGTAACAAAGATGTGGAAAGCATAGTTCCTCCTCCGGGGTTTTGCCTCAGCATACCATGTTTTTTATGCAAGCTACCTTTCTCAGATATTGAGAGCCTGAAAGTTCATCTTCAGGATCATTTAGAGAAGTCCCAGGAACCGGCTGACTCAACTTGGATCGCTTGCAAGCTGTGTGGCAGAGGAGTTCGGTCGGAATCGGAGCTACAATTACACCACAAGCGCTATCACGAGCTACATGTTAGTCAGAATCGGGCGCAGAACAAATCTCTGCGAACAGAGATACAATCTCAGACTCAGGCACAAGTGCCGACACAAAAGCAGACGAAAGTGCACACAAAGGAGCGGTCACAGGATGACAGGCCCTTTAAGTGTAATATCTGCAAAAAGGCGTACAAGGTCAAAGGGTTTCTGCGCAACCATAAAAAAACCGCCCATTCGGATGATTTGGAATCGCAATCCTCCAAGGAATCCAATACCGTTTTAACCACGGCCTTATGGAATGCTGTGGCTGCAGCCCAGTATAATCCAGCATATGAATCCGTTGCAAGGTATGTGCCGCCTGATCAGCCGACATCTCACAAACTTGATCCATGCTTATTACCACCACCAAAGAAAAAATTCGCACCGCGGTCGCCATTCTTTAATCGGTATGTTTGTTTGCGATATAATACAAATTTATTCAGATTTTTGATCGCCATTATTATTATTTAATTATTTTCGTTACAATTTAGAAATCTTTGGCTACCAATCGATGCCTGCCTATAAGCCGTGATAGTTGTGAGAGGCTGATAAGGATAATATGACTGTTAAACTATAAATAATTTTTAATGATAACTTTTAAGATACCGGATTAAGTTTTGCTATCAAACCATTTATTCTTACAAAGATTTATGAAATCTATAAAATATTTTATTTTATAAAGCCTTCGAAAATTTAAAATGATCGTTGGATGGCTTTACTCGAAAGATCTTACATACATACATATGTGTATATATAAGTATTGCATAATTTTAATTTTGTTATATTTCATAAATGGTTTCATACTAAACCACTTGTGAAGCTGCAAATCAGTGTTTTCCCAGATCAGTAAGTTAAATTTTAAAATTTGCCAATTCCTGATGTTGAAAATTACATACCTATAAGGAGGCTTTATTATTTGCAACTTCCATTCGGATGGAAATCGGAAGCTCTAGCCGTCTGTAGCGGTCTTTTGAACAAAAGTAACTGAAGAAGAGGTGAATTCTTTTAAACATAAAACTGTCTTGAATAGATATATTTTAGTTGTACTTGTTTCTGTTTTGGATCGGATTGTCGGATTTTATTATAACCGTAATAATACTCATTATGTTACACATGGTTCATACAAATTTATTTATTTTATACTTTTACTGATAATCAGAACTTGTTCTCAATACTCGAAAATGGCGCTAATCTCGGATCTGAATAATAAGAAATGTGTAGCCAATTGAAATGATCATGTTTGTTTCTCATTAAAGATTTCTATTTTTATTTTGTCCGTATATGTATTTGTATGTGTATGTACTACAAATAAAAATAAACCATCTGAATTGTATTACTTATTTCCGGAACAAAAATTATTGAGTTTATTTGGTGGGATGATGTTTGGACTGGACCGGGCAGTTATTTTATAATTCGAACACAATGCTTTTTGAATCTTCTGGGCTTTACTGGCGCGTCGCCTATGAACACAGAATACCGCTTATTAAGGTATATACCATATTTATTATTAAGAAAATCTAAAACCACACAAAATGAATTATATTTGTACGAACATTACCTGATTTCAGGTAATTTGCCTTTTACCCTAATGTTAAGGAAAAATCCCATCATTGGCGATAAAAACACACATGGTTGTATTTACCAGTTCTTGGCCATTGGTAAGAAAACACAACTACATGTGATAAAACCGAAATGTTATGTTTATATGTAATATAAAAAAAATATTTGAACTCAAGAAATGTACAAGTTCTTTAAGTCCTCGTTACCATATTTGCTGACTAAATAATATGTATGGTGGATTTATGATATTGATAGAATAGAAGATATGTCCATGCCTATCTCTTCCACGCATTTATTTAAGTTCCGAAGGGTCGCCCTCCTTGTGTTTCCTTTTATTATATTTATTATTCTGTGACTATTCTGAACTTTATGGGGATGGATTTCAATGGACTTGATTATACAACACACATCAAATATCTTCAGAAAAAATAAAATATTTAGGAAATTTAATACATGCAATTTTATGTGTACAGTCCCCATTGCTTTAAAGAAGTTTATCAAATTTACCTACATTTTGAATATTTACAATACTTTAGGCAAAAGCAGTTTTGTTTAAAATGTCATTTATTTGTATATATGTATGTATAAGTATAAAGTATAGTACAGCACATATTTTAGTATATTTTTTATTGATAGTTTACATGTTCAATTACACAAGTTTTCCTCTATTGCCTGTTTAAATCATACAAAATTGAACTACTATCGCCCTTTGAGGATGCAGTTATGTACTTACATATCGGTATATTAGTTTATTTTTCGTGTACTGTGGTTATATGTGTTTTATGAATCGTAAGCCTTTCATTTCTTAGCAGTCCAATGCGTCTTACTATACCAAAACTGTTCCCTTGCAGGTATTTGGAATAAGTTTGCTAGCTACAGAAAAAATGTGAAATAATGTGCTTACATGTAATTAAATCACCTAAACATTAAATACACTTTTGATGTATCAATTTGAATATAATAAATACCACTAAAACATCAAAATAGTATCGGAAAAATAACAATGGGTTAACAGAATGTTTCAAGCGGTAAACAAAAGACTTGCATAAAATAATGTTTATTCCTTTAAAACAGAAGTGTCTATAAACATTTACAGTGGTTGTGTATTTCATACTCTAATAACTCTAATAAATAACATTGCATTTGCAAATTAGAAACCAACAAGTCCACTGACTGAATTTCGCAAGCTAAGGGCCGATGACTATATCCTTTTGGATAGCTGGCGATCAAGCTTGGATTGTGACAACTTGTGATCCTTGTGGCTTATTTAAATTTATTTTTAGTGCAATTAATCAACAAATAAATAAATACATGCACTTTTACATTACAATTAAAAAAAAATACGCATCCTGATCAAGCTCAAGGCGTTTTTTCTTTTAATTTTTTTTTTTTTTTTTTTTGTTGCAGCAATCTCTTAAATGTAACTTTTCTCTTGCCCTCCCTACACACATTTAGTCCTAAACATTATTATTTACTTAGTTTTATATTGTTGCTGCCTCTCCAATTATCAATCTTTGCATGCAGTTGTTTGTAGTCACCAAATTTCCTGTTTTTCAAAACCCAGCTTACAGCTTCAGCTTGTACTATACTATTTGACCTGAGCCCGGATGTGTTGCAAAAATTCATAATATGACAAACTAGATTCACTGCGATCGTCCGTTAACCTCTCAATGAACTGCGCCTTAGCCGTGCTCGTATCTCTGCAGGAAAAATACATTCTTTACTTCTACATATATAGACTAACTTGTTGGACTTACCTAATTATTTGGACAAGTGGCGCATATGGTTTATCATAATTCAGGCGCAAGATGAAACGTTTTAGTATATCGTTTTCTGGGCTCACAACATTTGGTAACCCATACACATAATCGGCAAGTTCAGCTGTTGAACTTACACCTGCAGAGAAAATAAGTGATAGAAGAGTTAGCCTGTGATCTCATCATTAATACATACAACAAATGCATTATAATATAAACGGAACATTATTAAACGAGTAGAATGATACGGTCATACCAGCCTGAATACCATTGAATACGCTGTACCCACTATTAAAAGCTCACTATGAAATATGATCGACCACTTAAACGTCGACCGCCTTGTTCCATAATGCTGACTGAACATACGAGAACACAGCCGCATGCGCTCACATACACATACAACGGTACGTATAAGCTGAGCAGCATGAGAACGTTACCCGCTCTTGTTCACTGTTAACACATAACATAATTATGAAAAGACAAATATTGTATGTTAACTGCTTAAGTTCAGTAGTAATTAATACAGAAAAGTGGGTCTAAAGACTTAAAATTCCTGTTAAATGCTAAATTAGGTTATCATGTCGAAATAAACCAAATAATCGATGGTACTTAGAATATCTCTTTGGCTGCTATATAGCTTCATAGCTAGTATTACTATATGCACATTTAAAGCTATATTTAAATATTTGACTAAAATGAAATAATAAATATAGGTACACAGTAAGTACAACTCACCTAAGACATTATCCAAGATTTCTGTGGGTACATTTAAGCCAACATATAGCATTATAAGTGTGCCACAGTCCATCAAGAATATAGAGCGCGAGTCGAGGCTGCAAAGCATAAGAAACTTTATTTTAAAAAAAGGAATATATAGATAAATATGACAACTTACTGTTCTGCCGATAGTTGCAATCGCGGTACCTCTGGCAACGGATTATCCTCATCGTCGTCATCATCCTGCGTCGTACTCACATTTGAGTTGCGTGCATGGTAGAGCAATCCATCGACTTTGTAAAGTTCAGGATATATAAACTTCATAAGCTGATCGAGCGGCAAAGTCTTCATGCAATCCATGGCATAAACGCGATCATCAAGACGCGTGCTGGTGCCCACGCGGAACGCAGGCTTTAAGTGTATACAAATATATTAACTGATTGATTTATATTGACATAATTATTTACACAACTTACGTGCTTGAGTAGCGCTAGAATATAAAGTGGCAGCAGTGCCAAGCTTCGTGGTGCTATCAGTTGACCTGACTGACCAGAAGGCAGATTTTGTGCAATCTTAAATGCGTTAAATATATCGATGGTTGCATTTATGAAGGCATCGCGTGCGTCCGACAAATTGGATGCTATCGAACGGTCAACGGCCATTTTCGAAAGCAGGCCCACAATGGCCTCCGTGTCGGCGGCATGCATTACCTCCGGCAGCGAGGCGGTGACAGGCAGACAGACAGTGTGGACGCGAATGCGACGTTCGCCCTCGCTGTTCGTGTAGAGCAAAGCGGCCTGGAAGCAAATGGTCTTCACATCGGTCAAGCTCTCTTCGTACGAAATCTGCATGCCATAGCCCGCATCTGGGTTGACATTGGGCAGTGACAATAGGTCCGTCGATCGCACAAAGAAGTTGCCATGGAATGTGTGCACTTGGAGTCCGCGTGTGCAGCGTATACGCATGACTGCCTCAAATCCGATCTTGCGTGTCAGATAACGCTTAAAGGACTGTCTGAACGAATCTACATGATGCTGCTTTGTTTTTTGGTACAAGGGGAAGTGGTGAATGCAACCGCCACTGTGTTTACTGATGCCAGCTGTAAATGTTTAAAAAATGATAAACTATCTTTTTGGATCCCGACGAATAGTGCACACTTACATATGGTGGCCATATCGCTATATTGCTGATTCATCAGAAACAAGTCCACAGCAATCTGAAAGCCTGAACACTCTAGAGCATAACGCTTATAGAAATCTGTTGCCGGATTTAAATGTGCCACGTCTTTGGCCGAACGATTATTGGGATCCTCTCGTGGTTCCAATGCACCGGGTCCTTTGTTAGGGAGGCACGATTGAAAGACTGTAATGCGTCCACCCGATGCTTGCTGCAGTCATTGATTATCGATTAGTTTGAGATATATGTAAAGGATTGCTATTGTACGTACCATCAATTTAAATGCCACTTGCAGTGCTGCGCCTAAGGCCGATCCAGGATCATGAGTGTTCGCAAAACGTTTCGGAAGTTGTTTTAGCAAATCCTTGACTAATTCCTTGCATTCTTTAAGATTCACCAATAAACTGTCTGGACGCGGCAGGAAGGCATCCTCAATGTCTAGGAGCGTCATCTCATGCGGCTGATTAAAGCCCTCACCCATACTATAGAAATGCACATAGCTGTCGTAGCAAATGAAACCAACTTGGGTACGCGCATCGCCGGGCATATCATCTAGATGTCTGTTTAGTACAGAGCAGGCAGCTTCCAAATAGCCGCTCTGTTGCGCTATAATTGACACATCGAATAGAAACAGATACATGGCCGGCTGTGGTGGACGAAGCTGTAAAGAGTTGGAGAAAAAAGTGTAACTATTCTCCAGGACACATGATTTTTTAGGGATGTATGTATGTATTTAAAAGAATAGCATAATATTAACTTTATCATGAACATTTAACATGAACTAGATAAAATTTTTATGAGATATGAATGGCTTTTTTATCTTTATCCACTATTTTTAAGGAAACTCGATCTAATTAACTTAAGCGAAGTAACGTTAGTTAATTTTTGAGGCATTTAGTTTCTTGTTCTTCGTTTATACATACCATATATTCGGAGGGCGCTATAAACTCGATTGTGCTTGAGCGCACTTCCGGCCTTCGGGTAACATCCCCATAAGTTTTTGTGGCTGGATCAAATTGAAAGTCCTCGGGCACTGTGGATTCAAGGATTGCTTAAAATATTCTGGTACAGCTCACACACACAGTTTACAACTTACGCTCGTTGACACGATAACATAAATTGCATTTCCACATTTTGCTATCCACAAAATACACAAACGGATTGATGTATGTACGGCAAAGTCGGCACCGAACGATATTGATGCACTGTATAACAGGCAGACTCTGTGGGTTGGGCGAGTATAAGTAGTATAATTACATAAGTTAGCGGCGCACATTCGTTGGACTTACATTTACATCACGAAAAGGATGAATCACAATGCCAAGAGGCAATCGAGACTTTTGCAGCAGCGCATTACTCTCAGGAATTTTGGCTAGGGTGCAGCGTATTATGCTCGGACTGCAGTTGATGGATTCATGGAACTGATTGTGGAGCACCACTTTTGGTGGCGGCAATGTTGCTGGTGATAAAATGTGCCTGTTTTGCATCAAATCAATGGTGTCCTGTCCCCAGAGGCGACTGAAGCCCTGCTGGGTGACACTTAGGGGCGCACCAAACTGAGAGGGTGCTGCCGCACCATAAGCCTGTGGTTGTTGTGACTGATATTGCAAGGGCACAGTGTTGGGCTGCGTACCAAATGCACCACTTTGTGGTGGTGGCGGTGGCTGCATTGACTGTGTCGGAGGTGATTGATATGGGGGTTGTGCCAGCGGAAATGGTTTTGAATAGATTTGTTGTTGAGGCTGCTGCATTGTTTGCTGTTGTTGCTGTTGTGTTGTGTGTGGAGGCAACTGAGGTTGTGGTTGATGCGACTGTAATTGATTCGGTGGCATCGACATTGGTGGTGCCATGTGCTTCGATGTGGGTGGCAGCAGTGGCTGGGCCAAGGCATTAGGTGGCAGTACAGGCTTTGAAACTCCTGGCGGCAACCACTGACCCTGGCCTGGCAGAGGAGGTTGTACCACACCTGCACTAGTTGCCTGTGGCTGTTTTATTGGCTCTTGCAGTGAGCTATTATTTGGTGGCTGACCTATTCCCATAGCTTGCTGTTGCGGAGCGCCGTACGGTGTTCTGCCACCCACAGTTGGACTTTTTATCTTAGGAAGACCCGCTACGCCGCCGAAAATATTTGCTGGATTTTTGTTGACTGGCGTGGATGCGGCAAACATGTTAGGCACTGGGTTATGACCCTGCAGCCCACTGGCGGCTAGAAGGGTTTGGGCGCCGCTGGTGTCGAGTTGGGCAGGAACAACGGACACACCTCGGTAGTCAGAAATATTTACAGGTCCCCTTTGTATGTTGGACTGAGCTGCTTTTGGTGGTACTGTAGAAGTTGTTGTTGGTGGTGGTGCTGCTGATGATGCTGGTGGAGGTGTCGCAGGCATGCCATTAATACCACCAAGATTCAAATTTTGTAGATTGCTAGTCAAAGTGGGCACATAACTATGAGAATCAACCGCTTGTTGCTGCGGTGGTGACTGCAGCGGCTGTTGTTGCTGTGTAAGTGTTACACCAGTGTAGATTGGTTTCGGGGGTGGTGCAGGTGGCGTTGCGCAGCTAGTTAGCAAGCCAGGCGATGCAGTACGCGAGGAGTTGCTGCTTGGTACACCATTGCTTCCATTTGTAACGATCTGCTGCCCGGGCCCATTGAGTGTGGGAGGCTGTCGCAAGTGTGGGGGCAAAGTGCTGAGTGGGCTCTGCACACCCTGGGCAGTTCGAAAGTGCGGTCCATTGATTAATGCAGGCGGTGTGGCCGCTAAACTATGCGGTGGTAACTGAGCCGCTGTGCTTGATGTTGGTGGCAGAAATTTATTCACAATGTTGCTGTTGAATTGCGGCGGAGGATGTAGCGGAGCCCCTGCGAACGCATTTTCAGGACTTCCTGGCTGTTGTTGCTGAAATTGCTGTTTCTGTTGCAGCAATTGTTGCTGCTGAAGGTAGTGCTGATGTTGTTGTTGCTGCTGATGATAAGCTTGCTGTTGCTGATCCAACTGTATGGCAGGTGGAGGTGCTCCAGGGAGACCATTAACCAAGTTATTTTGGTTACCATTCGGCGCAGGTGGCGCATAATTCGTATTATATGCTGACATTATCGCACCTACACGTTTAATTCATAGGCTTATCCAGAGTAGTCAGCTAAAAAGAAGAAGATAGACAATTAGTCTTCGAAAAGCATCATAAGATGGTTACAATTGAGTCCCACGAACCGAAATGCATTTTATCGCGTCTTCATGCACTCGAGGGACACTGCTGTATGTCAATGTCTAGGCTTGAAGGTCGCCGACGTTGAACTGATTCTTTTATCTTATCTTTAGCAATCGAAATTACAATATCCACTGATACTTGGTAAGAATAGCAGTTGCTTTAGCCCTGACGAGTAAAACAAAGGCCGCCAGCGTGGAAAACTAATGATAATTCTTGTATATACACTGTGTTTACATTTGGTAGAAGGAAAGGGGTTATTATTCTAAAAGAATTTTTCCTGAAATTTCTTTACAAATATGTATAGTGAGCATCAGAAGCCATACAATAAAGGGGCTCATAGATTTTTTACATTTCGATAAAATGGTATAGCTACCTGCACGGAATCAAGCACGTAATGAGTGCCTTAAATTACTATCATTACCTTTATGGAACACTATTGATAGTCAAGCATACATATGTATGTATGTAAGTAGCACACGCTTAGTAGCAGTATCAACACTAATTTGAAAATGGAAATTTGTACATTTCGACTTCTGGCATACATATGTAGTATATAGTATACACATAAACTTATGGACGTGCTTTTTATTTAAACAGCTTCACTTCAGAAGCAAGCTTAAAAAGCAAACAAGACAACAATAAAACTTTGATAAAGTATCTTATGAACTACGGCTTTCAGAAGCGTGTGATGTTAACCTTGGCAGAAGTATCAAACTGTGATCGCTGCCAATGGCACAAAGCCAGACAGGGGCCAGAGCATTAACTAAAACGTATGCATACGTATTTGATAGCTGAATGATTTAGCGTTTAATCGAGCAGTCGCGAGCACTACTGCCATTGACCCAGTTCGCTGCCGACTGTGTGTCTAGAACTTACGGAAGTGCAAGGAACATCTCAGTGGGTGGATGGGTTTTTGTCCAAGCACAAGCAGATGTTTAAACGATACAAGACTTGGTGTGTGCAATCATATGTTTAATTGAATTAATCATAATGAGGTAAAACAACAATTCCAATGAATGGGACAAATTGTTAAGGTACTCAAGCCTACTTGCTACTACAGGCCGCAGTCGCTCCAAAAATTTGATGACGTATTTTTGAAACCAGCAAGTTCACAATTTGGTGTTTCTGCTGTGGGGACTTTTGGCCTTTAGGTTGTTGACGTTGCATCGTGCCCCAGGTAAAACACCAACGCAAAAATGGAGAGCGCAGGAGCGGGACAGTATGACAGGATAGACGTATAATAATATATATTGTCACTGTTTTGCATTTTTGACTTGGGCACATACAAATAAAAAAAGTGTTTCGTTGGAAAAAGGGCGTTGGAATGAGTGCGTGTGTGTCACTGAATTTTCATACTTGACCAGCACTTGCACTTTGTAGTTGACTCTTCTTCTTCTGATTCTTATTGAGCATTAATTTCACTGGACTTGGCGACGAAGAAACTTACATATATACGCTTTCCACAGCGCTTTTGTTGATTATGTCGATTATATGTTTAATTACGTTTTATATTTTCTTGCAATGCACTTTTTGTTTTATTGGCATTCGTTTTCAACAATTTCTCATCACTTTGCACGCAACACGACCGAATAAATTTTTCGTGGATGGCCCGTCTCTCTCTCCTTCTGCACCACCTAAGAATCGCGTATGCAAGGCCAACACTTTCGCACGCTTGTGCGTATTTTAGCAGATAAATCAGGGATTGTTTGATTGTTATTATTATTTGTAAATGAACTGGATGGTGCCCACGAATTTATCAATAGCCTGCATGCAAAAAATATTTGCACGGCAGAGCTGCGTACGCGAGAGAGACCGAAAAAATAACACTTAACAATTTTGAGCAGTGGTGGCCACGTCAAGTTATTACAGCACTTGGGAGGTGGTGGCAACTCTGGTTATGTCAAAGTGCGGCCTTGCCAGCTGTATGACATATCTATCTGATGGCTATGGCGCGAAAGCAATAGTTTGAAATAACTGCAATGGTGCAAGGAAATCAAAATTCCCTTTTATCATATCAAAATTGTCAATAAAACTCATAAAGATTTAGTGGAGAACAATTTTATTTGCAATAATTATTGTATCATGATTTTGCAATCAAACATTTCTTTTTAGAAACTCGTAAAAATATATTTATGTATGTATGTGTAGTTTATGGTTAGTTTCAAATAAATTGCTTTTTAAGGTCCTTTATTTGTATTGTGTATGTACCTAAGACAATTTTAGAAGCTTTATTTACTTCGTTCGTTTCATTTTGCTTTAACTTTGCTTGAGAGTATCTGTAGTTTACAAAGAATAGAACTTTGTTGTGGGTATATAAATTGTATTGCATAAAGCCTGTGGCAAGTGCCTGCATATACATAAATTAAAATTAGGCTAGCTAGGTATAGTTAAATTTAATTGTGTAGTTATGTTTTTACTGTATGTTTCAATTGAGCTTTAAAAACTCGCTGTGTTTGTTTATAAAGCTTTATTCTTCATTGTGACATTGGAATTTTAAACGGAATATGTTATAATACTTAAGTGATTGTATTCGTGAAAATCATTTAATAATATAAAAATAATAAAAACGTGGCAAAAATAATTGTGCAGTTGATGTTTTGCTGGTAAAATCGTCTTTAGCTTAGTTGCTAATTTTCTGTATTGTATTTCGTCTATAGCAGAGTCTTTTATTTAAAAAATAGAATTTCTATGCTTAAATCTCTAACGTTTCGTACTCTATAACTTTGATATATCCCATCATTTGCTGTTTGCTTGTTGGTTATTAAAGTAAAAGGTATTCCTTAGGTGTTCTGTATTTTGCATTTAACTGCGATTGCCTTTGAAACACACTAGTAGTTGCTCTTGAGTGTATAGACTAATTCGAAGTGTTTGATCTTTTTTTGTTTAGTACATATTGCATTATTTTAGCATTAATATTCACGTTATCATCTTCTTTTTATGTGCTTGTATACTTTAATTTTATATTTGTTTTTCAAAACTGTGTTGTTGGACATTTTAGGCTTGGCTTTAAGTTTTTCAAAATATTTACATTTATTAAATCTCTCTTTTTGAATTCTTTCCTGCATTTGTTACGTTGTATCGTCACTGTTTATCTATGTATAAGTTTGCGCACTTGTGGAAATTGCATATTTCAATGTTATTATGTTATGCATGCGTTCTTGATATGAATTATGTATGGATTTTTTTTGGTGTTGTTCTTATTTTTGCCATTGAAGAAATCTCAGTTCATGCATTATCTCTTTGACTCCTTATCTTGCAAGTACATGCGTTGGCTCAGGGGCTTCGTGTATATCCAATTATCACCCACGGGCTTAAAGTACTGTGGGAACAAATATCATTATAAATTTTATGCTGCCAATCAATTGCAAAAATACCTTATGTTCCCAAGCTAAATCATATTCCTTGCGAACCTTGGCTTGATCGCGTTGATATTGCTCCACAATGCTTTTAGCATTGGTGGCTCGCTCGATGTCGTTAAACCTATGAGAAAACATTGGAAATATTTCAATTATTCCTTTAACTTTTTAGAAGAAAAAATAATAATGTGGGTATAGGTTAGCTTTTTACTTGAGTCCCGCCGTCACTTCCTTCCAAACACGTCGCGATTCATATTCATCCTGCTCGACGATTGGTCGAACTTGTTTCTTAAATATGGGTATGCGATTTACGTCAACGAATACTTCGGTTTTCTAGAAAATTTAAGATGCACAAATTCGCTAATTGTTAAAACGTACACAACCTTTTTTAAAGCACACATACGCAACACACAAAAACATCATCCATAATATATAAACAACACAATTGAAAAATTTGGTCAGACAGTATTCTTAGATAGATAAGTAGGTAGTAAAGTTTTGATATGAAGCAATTGTACGTGTCTATATTTTCTAGATAAACAAAGTAAACACACAGAAATGGTCCCAAACTATTTAAGAGATAAGTACAAGTATCGTGAAAAGTAAGTGGGTTAGAAATGGGTTAAGATACAATGTGGCTGCAATCTCGTAGTATTTTATAGCAGCGTTTAAAAGATGAGTACGATTAGGGCTCACAAAATGATAAAAGAAATTAGTAGATACATTATACTAAACAATAAATATTGAAAATTAAAACATTGAATTGAAAATACAACTTACATTCTTATCATGCCACTTGGCCTCCATAAGACCACTCCACTCGCCAGCAATTGAAACAAAGGGCTTTTTATCGTTTGGCGAATAAATCTAAAATAATATAATTATTTCAATATGTGCCAAATTGAAGAAGTAGCTCTCATCAACTAACCTCAGCTGTCACTTTATTTCGTTTGCCACCATAGAAGGGTTTGGTTAAAAACTCAACATGTGCATAATATCCTGTTTGGGGGCATTTGATTTCAACTGAGCCACCCAACTCAATCCAAGGCACCGTTAATATAGACCTATGATATAATTTTAACATTACTACAGATCAATTTTGGGGGCAAATCAATCATCCTACCGGCCATAACCGTTCGGAAATGTTACATAATACTCCTCGCTGCGGTCCACCAATGTCACAATGCCTTCTCCAATATTATGAACGCCAATTGATAGGCCCAAAAATTTTGATTTGGTCCAGACATGTGCGGCAAATGTGATTTTCTTATTGTAATGTTCAGCATAAAATGCCGAAACTGTAAAATAAGGAAACATTAATCTGGATGAGGATTGAACATGAATTTAATTACGCACTTGGCGGATGATGCGAAACCTGCTCGGCCAAAAATGTTAACTGATCCCGACGGCACCAGGGTATGGGTCCATCCCTGACTGCAAGCGCATCTTCATCTTCACCTGAATATTTTAAAAGTGACAATTGGAATATTTATGATGAGATTACGTCAGGCTTGTTCAAGTTCTCGTATTCAATCAACTTAAGCGGAGTCGAAGGTGGCATATGTTCTTAATTTCGAGATATGATTGAGTAACTTAGTTTCAAAACTAACGACTCCTTGAACCTTGTATTCGAGATTTGAAGATTTTTTCAATTTTGAAACTGGTCTGTATAATTTATGCATACCTGGTATATCCCAGTGACACTGAAATACCTCACCCAAGATGGGATTGTAGGGTTTCTTTGCCACCGCACTCTTACGTCCTGCATGATATGCGCTCAAGTACCAACGACATACCTGGACAATACGATCACGTGGACTGTCCAATTCAGAAATTCTATTGAAACCAATAATAATCAATAAAATGTCTTAGAAAAAGATACGCACCAACACTTACTTGAGAAATAAATCGGGATGTGCAAAATAGTCAGCATACATCTCGAGAAGAGAACGACGTTCCAAAATGAATGTCGGCAGCACCACTTTGGTCAGATCCATGCCAATCTTTACTTGGGATAACAGATGGGTAATCATTGAACCATGTGCCTCCATGCTGAGGTCAGTTTCCTCCTCCTCCTCATACAAAGCATCGTAATCGATGCCATTGTCATAGCTAGGCGTACGAGCGATGGCCCCCAATGCTCTTGTCGGTGTTGTAGTTGCCGCATTATTTGCTGCCGTCTCGTACTCATCGATTTCGGGCAGTGTTGACTGCTGTTGTTTTTGTGGTGTGAGGGTCGCCTGTGTGGCCAAGTCGGCGCTGGCGAAGCTGTCCGGCGACTTTTCGTGCGTTGGCGACGTCTCTGCAAAGCCGCGCGTGGCACTACAAATGAATGAAGAGGGAGTATTACTTGTTGATTAAGGCTCTTGTACTAAGATATCAAATAAAATAAAATTATTGCGTCATGGCTGAGATTCAATTGCTGGTAAATGAGTGGCGTCCGTATGTCCGTTCTTTGCGACCACATTTGTCAGGCCGTCCATTGTTGGATGCCGCATTATTTATGAGTTGTAAAATATATATTTTACGTACGTGAAGGCTGCTCGGTTGCTGGGAGGCTGCCATGATGTCAGCCTTATTTAACTTTGTTCGCTCAGTTCATTTAACATTTATAAGACAAAACACTTGAAGCTTTTCCAAGCGCGCGCACATATACACGTACTTATTTATATACATAAGTATGTATGTATATGTACCTCTATATAGACAACACGTACTTGGTGCCTTCTTACCTGAAACTAACACGACGTACCCATTTCTTCAACATAGCGACGACAAGGACGGGGGCACGGAGACGATTTAAAATGTACACTCGAAGGAGTGTGCAGTACGCACAAATTGCACGCTTTTCAGTGCGTGTACGTCATGTGCGTGTGTTTGTGAGACTTGAAAATGGGGTGAGCACAGTTTTTGTTGCATACTTGCAAGCGCTCGACGCAGCTAGTACCAGACCCAGCCTTTTAACCACAAAACACTTATTGCAGAATCAAATGAAATAGTTCAGACACAAAAACTAAAACAAAATCGAACAAGTTCAGGTACGGTTGCCAACAAATAATTCAACTTGCAGCTTCAACGTCACTCATGAATGGCGAATGCACCAATAATCACAAACTAAAAAGCAACATAAAACTAAAACGTATAACGACAGCAGGTTTAATTAAATTGGACAGCGAGCAAACTGGCAAGCAGCGAGTGCGTGCTTAGTAGTTCCAGCGCTGGCGACAATGTTGGCGATAGCAACCGAAAGCAGAACTGACTGGCGACAGGACGACGATATGAGGCGGGCGCCCGACTCTTGGTCGGTCAGCTGTGTGCTGTGAGTGCGAATTTGGTTGAGGCTCCTGGGCATACTTGGGTATTTTCAACAGCGCAGCAGCAGTTGGGGGTGGCACCTAAAATACTAGTATTTGCCTATATGTATGTATGTACATGTACATATTTGCAATTTATGGGCAAGTGCCGGAAATAAAAAAGCGAGTTTTGGGTTTGTTTTTCCCAAAATATTCGTATTGCATTTTGACAGCAGATGCAGAGCGCATGCGTCGCACGAAACACGCTCTCAGATATATATTCGCCTCAGAGCTTTGCCAGCCTCAATTTTATGGTAAGACTACGATATAATGGAGCTTATACGAAATTGTTGTAACTTGTAACAATGTAACAATAAAAGTTTACAGACAAATAACACTTTTTCAAGGCGTCCAGTCATATATATCAGATATGTGCCATTTTTAATCTCTTTTAATTTCTCATACTCCGAGCATCGCGTGTATTCATCATTGCATAGAAAGATATTCGCTCTGTAGAATAATGACTGTAGTGCATATTTCTTTGTGTGCTTATATATATGTGTGTAGCTCGTGGGCTGAAATACGATTACGCAGATGGCCGGCACACGGTCATATGGCGACAGGGAGCAAGGAAAAATGCATTGATAGGTATATTGGTTGTACGGCACAGCAAGTGACAAGTAATTGGTGGACTTTGTCGCAAGTTAACTCATTAGATAGTGGCATAATTGAGGCAGTCTATAAACGTGCTAGGTCTGATGTCAGCAATTCAATTGTTGAAGGACTTACCAGGCACTAGGTGAGCTGGCCAGGCTCGTGAACGGGTCATCGTAGGCATCATAGAAGTCTTCTTCGCCTTCGCTGCTCGAATAAGAGGTCTCAGGTACGGCTAGGCCCAATGGCGCTGTGGTGGCTGCAAGCAAACAAATAGAGCACAAAACGATTGCTTTTTCAGTATGAAATACAATGTATGTATAGTATATGACGCCAGTCGTCGGCGACACATGTTAAATAATCAGAATAGAATTTGCGTATTTACATATTATTAAGTCAGCACCTATTAACTAGTTGGTTTCTTTTTAGTGCGAGTGCAGTTGGGTGCATGAAAGCCCTTGGTTTGTGCGTTTTAACATATAAAGCCACACATACGGGTACAGGTACAGATACACATACGTAGCGACAAATCACATACCGGCCGCAATTCGTAATCGTTGTTGAGGCATCGAGTCAATGCAACATATGCCAAAGGCTATGCCATCCGTAATGGACTCTTCAGGGCTCCTGGCAAGCCATACCTGTGTGGCTGTGGCATTTGGAAGCTGTTGCGTAACAGTTGTTGTATCTGTTGTTATTACAGAGGCTGCAGAACATTTAGAATTAGAGTCGTGCCTCATTCAATGTCAATGCCACGAGAAATACAAAATTCTCAACAGCGCCCCAAAACAAATGAACGAAGGGGGAAATGAGAAAACGGCAGAATTTGCGCTGCCAAAATTTGGCCCCCAAAAATATTTTTGTGCATTATTTGCTTTTGACATTTACCGTTTTCCGCCGTTGAGTCATCCTCGTCGTCGCCGGCACCGCTGCTAGCACTACCCAAGTGTTCGGCCTTAAGCCCCGACGCTGCCATTGCATTTGTCGCTGTGCTGGCTACAGTTTCCACGCTTCCGCTTCCGTCGCCGCCCGACGCTACCATCGTTGTGGGCCCGTTGTATATGCCGTTTATGGGGTGTGCCATATTTTTAGCTATTTGTAAACTTACAATCGAGTGCTTGATATGATCCAACATGGCCTGCAAGGTAGATGACGAAAATTCATTGATTTTCAAACGCTGCAATCGTGCAATAGACTTAAACAGGCAAATCACAGTGGTTTGACATTATAGGAATAAATACGTCGAAATACCGATATATAATATACTGCTTATATAAGATGGTATATTTAAAAAAAAGAGGTTATTGTTTGTAGATGTAGATGCCTAAGGTTTCTTAACTATTTGCATTTATTAACAGGAAGGGATGTTAAAGTCGTGCAAGCCGGACAGCAAAATACTCTGTACCCAAAAATACATCAGCAACTTCAAGGACGAACTGGCGGAGTATTATTCCGCTATATCTTTTATGGAGACGTAAATTAAGGTAGAGTTACATATATTTTATTTTTATTTTTAGATTTGATTTTGTAGTTTTGGAACTTAGGACTTTGTAGTGAAGGGAAAATAAACCAAAAATGTAATTGCATGGAGAGTATAAAAAGGTTACTAAAAATATGTTTAGTTAAATTTTGCGTAAAATGTAAACGAATGAAACGATTTACTGAACCGTCAGTGAAATTATAAGTAATCGCAAACACCATTTGGAATAAATATTAAACTCATTAACATAAACTCATCCACATATGCCTAATAAGGGTTTGTTTTATTTTGTTGATGCTTCATTTAAATAGTTTATTTCCGATCAAAGGATACCTACTTAAGAGATGTTTAAAATTAAACGATAACACTATTTGAAGGAATGGGATCCGTACTATTTTCCAAAAGTGAGCATTTGATTCATTTTTTTTTAGTGTTTGGTGCTACAAGTTTTGTTTTAAGTCCATAATTGCATATACATATTAATTTTGAAGTCATGATTGTGAATACTCATTCGAAAGATGTTTAAAATGCGCAAATATAAAAATAAAATGCATTTATATTAGCACCTATTTAAGTCTAAATTTTGTCTTTAACAAAGAAAGATTATTATTTTGGTTCTATCTCAGTCCACTGTGCAAAGACACTTGTGAGTGGGGCTAAGATTTTATTTTATGAAATTTTAATCGGTTTGTCCGTATCAAGGGACGCACTGAGCTGCAAAGCAGCTGCTGGGAAACAGCAGTTTTCTCAAGACTGCTTGTACGAATGTAAACATATATATATATGTATATATACATATGCATGAAAATCGGTGTATGTATGTGGACGTTCAAGTGCAATTTCGTAAATAGTTGATAACTCACGGCTCAGCCTTGACTGTGTGAACTTATGAAACTTGATTGAAAATCAATAGCAAATGATTTTAGTTTCTCTTAAAGAAACATATGTTTGTAAATTTGAAGCTTGTCATGCTAATGATAAGATCCAACTAAATTTTTAGCACTTTAAATTGTAGATTTGAAAGGGAGTTACAAAATGAATTTCAGTGAACAGAAAGAATGCTGTGAAAGCAACGGTGCGGATAATTCCCTTGATATGGATTTACTGGATCCGGAAAAACACAGCATAGATGAAGTGCGCGCTCAATTTGAGCGTTATAAGAAGCGTTTCGAGGAGCAGCAGGGTGTGCTCCAACTGCACCAATGTGCTGGCTTCAATGCGGATCTCGTCGAACTGCAGGAACATGTGAAGAGCTTGCGCGCCAACATGGATAAGTTTCATGAGCACAGTACGGCTTGGCAGCAGGAGCAGATGAAAGATTTGAATGAGATTGAATTGGCGCACTCGGTGGCATATGACATTAAAATAAATGATGACATTGCTAAAAATAAGGCCCCGAATAATGAGAAAATACTTGTGGTGACCTGTGGATCTAGTGCATGTCTGTTCGAGAACTGCCAGCGTCGGGTGGACAGCCAACTACTGCTTCTGCACTATCTGATTGACCACAGCGACCAGTTTGATGATATGCAAAAGTGCCATGGCATTTTCGAGGGCGAACGTGTGGTAATTTCATTTAATCCGAAGAAGTGCCACTTCCGTCAGAATCAAGTCCTCGGTCTCCTCACCTATGGTGGCACATTGGAGCAAAAGATTGCCCAACCGAATCGAAAGCTGATCTTCAATAGTTTTCTACCCAAAGAGCATCTCTACATGCAGAGCCATGTGCCTATTGTGGTACTTATTTGCAAGACGGCTGCAAGTGCTGTAGTTTCCAACAAACTTCTAGCCGAGAAGATGCAGATGCGTGCCAGCAAGGCCGATCAAATATTTGTCATGTGGCTGGTTACGCCCAATAACAAACTGCATTTGAATGCCACTCTCTGTCTTTGTGGACGCGATGCGGCTGTGAAGGCATGCAGTATTGTGACCGTGCGGCCTGTGCAGGAAAGTCAGAACACTTGCCGATTTATGCCTGTGGATGCCAACTATTGGCGTTTGTCATACAACGAGGTTCAGAAGATTTCGAATGGCTTTAGGGATGAGTTACATTTGGAGATTGGTTTGACGGAGCTCAGTAATCAAAATATGTTTAATTAGGGCTTTATCTTTGAATTTGTAACTAAGATGAATTAAATTTTTAAAATTCTGGTACTTACACTGGCATTATCTTGCAGCGCCTTGCACTTCGTTTGCTCCTCGGTATCGCTCAGCTCAGCAATGCGTTTGTCAAGCGCCTATTGCAAAATGCAAAGATTTATATAATTCCTATACGACTTGCATTTTTTTCTTCTTATTGCAACTCACATTTGTTTGCTCAATCATCAATTGTAGGTAGGCGTCCGCCTCAGAGACTCGGCGTGCCAACAACTCTAAATGATTGGAGCGTTTGCCACTCGTTTCTTTCGTATAACCGCCGGCGATGTAGAAAGCGCTCTGACTGTCCCAAAGACGCAAACGATTCGCGTGGCGTCGTATTGTGTCCTCTAGACGTCGCACCCACTGCTCGCGCTCCTCGCAGTGTCGCGCCTGCATGTGTTGGGGCGAAAATAGGAAAGTGTGCGTGTGTATTGAGGATGTGTGGGTGCGCCCGCGAGTTACAAAAAGTTTTATCGTTACAAAGTTCAGCGGCAGCGTCGATGAGAAAAGCGCAAACAACAAATAAAATGGAACAAGCAAAAACAATTTACATTAGTAAGGACATACAAACATATGTATATAAATATGCCCAAAAACTTATTTGCTGCATACGTGCCTGAAAGTGAAATGTCTTGTGATCCACGGTGATGGTAAATGTGTTATCCTCCTGATCATCAATACCGATGACTGCATCTTTAAGACGGACACAGCCACGCCGCACGCCCTTCATCATCTTCTCCTTGGACTGAAAGGAATAGAGACACATATGAGTAACATACCTATTTGGAATTTTAACTAAACGTAGCTTTATAATGCAAAACCACGGAAGCGTCGGTCAATCTGCTTGTGCGTCTGGCTGACGACAATTGCATGTACATATATTGTTTTTGTAAGTTCACACGCGATCAATCTTTTGCTTGTGCGTCTGGCTGGCGCTACTTACTAAAACATAACGGATAGAGCCCTGGGAGCTATAACGTACCCATCGCTGGTTTACATACGTAGCCATCGCTGGTTTACATACGTACCCATCGCTGGTTTACATACGTAAGTATGATTGGACTAATTTTTTAGGTTCTATGTGCGCACTCATGTAGGTCTTTAGAATCACATTTAAATAAATTAATTCACCAGCTTTGCAACTAGCGATTAAAACCATGCTGAATGTGTGGCCACTGGTCAAAAGTATGCGGAAAGTCGGACGCGTTAGAAGGTTTAATTGCGTTCTAAAATTTTGCTCACCATTCTGTGCAACAATTCGTAAAAGGACATAGGAATTTATACCCAGAGGATATACATATATTGAAAACTCGCACAATGGACTCCAAAAACAGTGCGTGGCTGTAGTTTAAATAAAATGTTATATTTGTATAATTCGTTTTCAGTAGTTTCAGAATTTGTCCATCCAACGATCATGTCCACACCATGCTTTATGGTTTCCGTATTGGCTATTTATTTAGTAACTGTGATCTATTTGGGGCCGAGGTATGTAACCCATAGAACTTCATACCCAAAATATCACAAAAAGAGAATGCTTTGGATAAGGTTTTAAATGTTTGCAGAATAAAAAGAACTCAAAGTGCTAAATAACGAACAGCTTAGAACTAGATAAAAGCATACACATACTAGCTTGTGGACCCTGAACTTTAGCGAATTTTAAGTGACAAAAATTAAAAATTCAATGCCTATTTATGCACATACACACATCCGCCTAATGCAATTTAGTTCACTGGCCCTCGATAGAACATACACTACGCTAAGCACATACAGAATAGAAACAAGACTTGAAAATAATCAACAATCTATTTAAATCAAAGGTTTATGCGACGTCGGCAGCCGTTTGATTTAAAGCCAATTATTATACTGCACAATGTTATACAAGTACTCTCGTGTATTTACACTGTTAATGAGGTAAGTGTATTCCTAAATAAACCGCCAAATTTAATTAACTAAAATGTTTTGTAATTGTACAGATTCTACAAATTACGGGCTACCAAATACTGCTCTTCTGGAAATGTTCTCTCGTGCCCGAGACACATGAGCTTCTCGAGCGACACTTTAAACTTTCATACTTTCTTTTTTGGCTGAAAATCTCTGAACTAATTGAGACGGTGATTTTCGTGTTGCGAAAGAAACAAAATCAAATCACGAAGCTGCACGTGTTCCATCATATCGCAACAGTCACATTGATTTACTTGCTGATAAATCACAATGAGAACAGTACGTAACTTAGCTGACAGTCTATTAACATTAACTAATTGGTTCATTTACGACCATCCTCACTAGGTTTCAGTGCATTGTATCCAATATTCCTCAATTCCAATGTGCACATAGTTATGTATTCCTACTACTTGGTAGCTGCTGTGGCGGATAAGAAGACAATACGAGCTCTGACGCCGGTAAAGAAGTCCATTACGGTAATTCAGATGGTGCAGTTTCTTTTCATATTAATGCAGGCTGGCATCGTCTCGGTTAAATGTGGAGTGCCCAAGCTAGTCTTTTTTTATTTTGTTGCGGTCATTTGCTTCATGTTTTATGGCTTTTATGATTTCTATAGGAGTTCCTATAAAAAAGCGCAGCGTCGCAAGAGTTCAGCGACTGCGAAATGATTAAATGCATGTGTAAATAAATCAGAAATATGTACTCGTACACTCCTCGCCACTTGAATAGGACACCCTATCTACTCTTTTTGCAGGTGCTTATAGCTCGAAAGCGCATTGATAAACTAACGGTATTTTTGTGAAACTATTCTTCTCTCTCTGTGACAAATTACATGTTCTGGAAAAGAGTCGTTATTTGATTTTTTCCACTTTCTGCTAGCATTTACTGGAATTTACACTGAATTTTTGCGCCACTTGATTTTATTTTTCGTTCATCGCACTTTTATGTTAATTTCGAAGATATAATTTCAAAAAAACATAAAATGGGTCGAGGAAAAGCCTTAACCGAGTTTGAAAAAGGACAAATCAAAGCTTACAAGGACGCTGGGCTATCTATTGCCAAAACAGCTAAGAAAATCGAGATCTGGATAACAATATAAAAGTATACCCGAACTAACCAAAGCGATCGAATAAGCTTGGAACTCGATTTCGCTCAGTAATTTGTCAAAGTGTTGTGGCTCAACACACTATTTAACAAATATTTTGAAGTCTAAAATACTTAAGTTAAGGCAATGTTTGTGTTAAAAAGAATCGGAATTCTCTAAAATGTTTTTTTTTTTTTAAAGTGTCCTATTCAAATGGCGCAAAATTCGGACCCCACATTTTGTCGGTTTTTCATTAATAATTTTTTGTTAGTACTTAAAGCTTTATCATTTTGATTTAATGATAACCAGACTAAAGAGGTGTCCTATTCAAGTGGCGAGGAGTGTATATTTAATATGTATAGTATGTGTTGTGGGTCTATGTGTCTTATGAATATTATAATACACTGCGAGGAGCTGCAGAGTTTTTTAGGTGCACAATTTTGCATTTGTTCTACACAAAGCGACAGATAAGATTAGACATGGTGCTGTTAAAATTATAGGTAGATAAAAAAACATATTCAGTGGGGCTTGTGGTTGCTGCTGTCACTCATACATTCAAGGTCACGTGAAACCACGAAACCACGCAGCAACACGAACTCACCGTGTAATAGGACAGGAGACCCGCATTCTCATCCAGAACAAAGAAACGATATTGCCAGCCCTTCATAACATTTGTCCATTTGCTGAGTGTGCCCTCCAACGTAGAGGAGCCGGCAGATGCCAGCCCAGGCGATGACATACTGCCTGCAATACTTCGAACCGCCTATCAGCTGATCTCGAAATCCACTCGTCACCGGTGGTGGTAGAACTGGTCCGTGTCAGAGACAGCGGTGACGCAATAATCCCGAACGCAAACTGCTAATTTTACGGCAGGCGCGGCGTTTAAAACTTCGTTGGGGCACGCACAGATGCAAAAACAAAGCATTTAATTGTTGTTGCAAGCGGTGCAATTTTATCACGAACCGAAAGTTGTACAAGTAAGCAAAACAAAGGCACCAAAGTCGCACTAAAGGCGATTACATTGCAATCAACTCCAATCGTTGCTCGTCTTTGTTGTTATTCACACATTTTTTTGTTGCAGTTGCACTTGGAATTACAAATGAAAAAGTTAAAAAATAAAACAATTCGTATTGCTGCTGCTGCGCTAGTGATGCACTAGTTTTACGCGATGAATTGATATCGATAAGCAATGGAAGAGTGGAAATAGTCGCAGGCATCGAGTCGGTCGATATATTTCCAATTGGTTTGTTACCGATGTAGTCAATTACTTATAAATTTAAATATTATTATTACAATATTTATAAAATGTAAAAAATAAATGTATGATAACGCGCATGCAGAAATATTGTGTTTTGGTTGACGGCAGACCTGGTATTAATCATTGAAGCATCAAATATGTTAATATGTTTAAACTCACAGCGTACACCATAGCATTGCTGTATCGATATTTTCTCGAATGCATTCTCGAATGCGCTACACTTATCGATACTGACGGCAAAAGGAACTGCCAACCGCAAACTAATTACCAACAGGGCGCAAAATGTATTTATTTAAAATGTAATTAAATGACGGAGTGTTACTTGATAACAATTGAAATATTTTTTTCATTTAATTATACAATTAAACATTAATCCATTTATCTTAAGCAACACCATTTAAATCTATTCAACTTACATATGTATGTACAAACATATACATTTTAGTAAAAGGAAAATAATAAAACAGTATGGTTGGAACAGCGCTCATTTTGGTTTTAAGCATTTAACTAAATTGTAATGTTGTTACTAAAATGAATCAATCGATTGCACCTGTGTTGTGCTCGTAAAGTATCCTGAGAAGCAATTGTAGAATATATACAGAAGTCCGCCAATCCACATGCCTTTGACCACTTTGTCCACGAACCACATGCTGTAAGATTATCATAAAGTTGTTAATTTGAAGGAATTATCTTTTTCTTCTATCTTTCCGACGTAACTTACATTTTCATGTGGCGTTTGGCAGCTGGTATAGACTCATCAGATTCTTTCAAAATCAATCGTCGTGCACACAACACACAGTTTGTGAAATAGTCGATTAGGTCGACGTCAATTTTCTCAATGACATAGGTTCTTCGTTCCTTGTTATTCATTATTTTTCGAAGCTCCACTGCCTCTGTGTTGTCAAAATTCCAAACATTATTTGCATAGTATTCGAAAACTTCAAAGCCTTTGGATATGCGATTTTGCACGCGGCACAGGCTGTAAAAATATTATAATGTGAGCATTTCTTTTAAAAAAATTAGTTTTCTTCTTTAAAACATACACAGGTGGATAGCGCAGCAGCCATAGAAGGGCATCGGCAAATAGGGCTGGTATCCAATGGAATAATATCATGCAAATGTAGTGCAGCCAATACTGGGACTTCATTGAGCCACCCGGGTACCAGGCCACCCCATTCAGCGGCACTTTATTTTCTATAACCCAACGGCCCAGCTCGATAATCTCGGCCCAAGAGACCTTAATATCATTTGAGCTGGTCATATGTGCAACGCGGTTGGCATCAGCCATGCCCATTGTAATGTAACGCCAGCTGGCCACCAAAATGGCGTTAACAGCGACGTCCACCGGCAAAAAATCTCCAAATCCTGACGAGTTACAATACATGGTGCGTATAACTCCTTTGCCGGCACCAATTAACAAACCAGTTGGTCCATTTATGTTGTCGGTCCAGCCAGGTATGGGCTCCTTCCAAATAGGTATGACAATGGAAGGTCGTAAGATAGCGGCAGGCAGTTCCTTGAACTTCTCCACAACCAATGCCTCGGCTAGGGATTTGGTGTAGGCATACGTGTTGGGTATATCGCCCAGAATTTTCTTTTCAATTAATGCCACTTCCTCGTCCGTCAGCCATTCGCAGGCCTGCATCACCTTGTGTGGATCTGCGGGCGGATCGTAGGGTTTCTCATACAATGTCTTTACGTGCAGATGGCAATATGCTGTCGAACAATAGGCGAAAAAGTCCAGATGCTTGAGTGTGGCGGCCAGGTCGAGCATATATTTGGTGCCTCTCGTGTTCATGAACACCGCATTGCGCAATGGCTCATCAAAACTATGATAAAGATAATTGATTACGATGTCGTCCATTACTACCACAACACTTACCGCACTGTAGCTGCACAATGGTACACAATGGAAACTTCATTGCGAAGCGTTTCTAGATCTTGGTCAGAGATGCCCAGCCCGGGCAGCAGTACATCGCCAGCTATAGCCACCACCTGGCTGAGGATGCGCTCCTCACCGCGCTGTTGCTTTACCATATCGAAGAGCTACAGAGGTTTATGGACACGCACGTTAATAAGGCCACAAATAATTTCTAATCATTTTTGCACCTACCACATTCTGAAAAATCTCCTTTATGCGTTCCTGTTTTTATAATAAATGTGTTAATAAAGTCATGTCTCTACTAAATACATTTAAAGTCTTACCTGTGGGTCTTTTCCCTTCTTCGGCCGTATGAGCAAGTAAATACGTTTGAGTTCACCACAGGAACTGAAATTAATAAACTGAGATTAAATCATGCACACACATTGGTATACATAATGGATAATAATGGGCTGCACGTTCAACAGCAGCCGCTGCCGGTCTAATGAGCCACCCCCATAAATGCACACTCACCGAAGAAGTTTTTCCACCAGCACCTTGCCAAGAAAACCTGTGCCACCGGTTATGAACAGGCTGCGTCCCTTGAAACTCTCCGCCACACGGTCCACTTCGTTGTCGTCCACATCTCCTAATGTCACCTGTTCATCCTTTTCGAATTCAAATTTTGGTTTCGCGGTCATTTTGCTGCGCCGTTAAATGCTGTAATACAAGGAACAAATACAAATAAAAAGCGTGCCACAAATGCCGTGCCGTAAGCCATCAGCTAGTGCACTTTAATTATGTTTTGATCTTGGCCAAATGACCACATCGGCAATCACTGCCATTAAAAATATGAAGTAACATGAACGACGGCTTTAGTGCGCACTTGTGTAAATGGTCAAAACTAAATTCAAAACCACAGACTGGTTTGATAGACATGAACAACGGATCGATTGACTGGCTAGACTTAGCTGCCAAGCTTCTTACTATGGCTTTGTCAAAATCAAAATTGTTGACATTCCCCCCAACTGGTATACCCATACGCTTGACTGCACCGACGGCCACGGCTGGGTGGTATTGTAGTGTTGTGGTGTGCATTACTTACAATGACCATCAACCATCGACCACCAAATCAACACCAAACGCGACACTAGCGCTTGCGCAACTTGCCACATGCTACATGTGGGCTAATTAAATGGCCGAATTGCGACATGTTGCCCACTTGCTTCGTTGATGTTAACCTAGTCGCGCTGGTTTTGGCAACATGTGCCATGATAGTGAGCTTGTTAGTGTACTCAAGTGAAGCCCATTTCAAATAATTGAGGTTGAGTGGTTTTTCTGTGGCGTCCTTCAACGCCAAATATTGGTCAGTAGACTTCGAGAATATTTAATATACATATGCTTTTAATTACATATATACATGCATATGTATATGTGTGTATGGAAATTATAATATTCCTAATATAAAATAATTAGATTTTTAGAAAATTTCCCCCCCAAAAATAGTGTTAGGATTAGGCGATAATTGATAAATAACGACACGTTTTATAGTATTCCAAATAAAGTTTCTGTTCTCTCAATTAATATCAAGATGAGACGATAAAAGCTAAACTTTAATAATTATCTCAGTTAATTTTTTCAGAAGTAACAGTTCTTCTTCTTTAGGCAGATACATATGTATATATATACTTATAAATAAAGCTTATGTATATTGTGATAATATGATTATTTATAAACACTGTTTTTTAAAATACAAACTATGAATAATTTAGTTGATATTGCGGTTTTGATGACAAGGTTGGATTATCTTTGATATCCAATATATATAAAGTTGGGAAATAACTTATTGTTTGTTCGTAAGTTGCACTTTTGTCCAAATGTCGATGCTTTGGCCTAAGGTCCGAAAATGTTGTGTCCATGAATTATTTAAAATAACAATTTTTATTGTTGAAAGTGCAAATAAAACACACAATTTTATTAGACTTGGTGACAACTGTCTTTTAAGTAAATTGTTCCTCTTTAAATATAAAAAAAGAGTAACATGATTTGCACAGCATTTTTTAATGTTCATACATGTACTGTGTTTCTGGAAAAATTAACAAAAATTAAAAACTAACTAACAAGTTATTTTCAAAGTTTATGGAAATAATTAATTTTAATATTATTTGTAAATGCTTGCTTCAGTTGAATGTTATTTCAAAACTGAATGAATATGTAGATATGGCAGCTCATTCTGATGGCGGGTAAGATGCTATTAAAGGAGACTGCGTTCTTTTAAAGAAAAAGAAGTTTTACGATTTTTATAACAATATTAATTTTATATAAATTATTTATTATTATAATCTAACAATATGTTTCTAATCATTTCAATTTTCTTATAGCTTTCAAGATGAGCTTTTAGCTTGTCTTAAGGCCATTCGATAAAATGTTTCAGAGACAAACATAGAGTGTCTAAAATTGTATTTCAAATGAAGGATTGAATCTTTTATTTATAGTTATTATAAAATCGTCAAAGACAACATGGTCATCTTGTCAACAATCAAACGATAATTTTATGCGCCTTTAAATGAAATGTTGACCAAACAAACTAAAATGTTAATTGATTTGGCATTGAGAACAGAGCGAAAGAAATCCAAATCTACCAAATGATTTCGAGACTACGCAGGCCAAGAGCAAAGCAATCAAACTGCATTTGTTCTGACTTGTTTTTGGAATCCCCACCCCTCACCGTCAATATTTAATTTGTGTGCTTATGCAGACAAAAAACCAAAGACTTAAACAACGAACGCGTTTTTGAAAGTGCAACTAAAGGCAGCAGCCAAAGGCAGGTGTTAAACACTTTGGCTTCGTTTTCACTTTCAGTTATGACTTTATGCATGATTGCCACATTTTGGCTTGTAACTGTACATTGTTGACCTGCTTAGCAATTTGCTGTTACATGGTTGTTATCTCCTTCCCTTACATATATTCAAGTTACCAATCACTCGAAGTAATAGACATTTCAATGTATCTAAGTACTGCCGAAAATTGTGTGATCTAAGCAATGCCGCTATTGCATTTGTAATAACTTAAACGTGCAAAATAATTTGGCAGTTGGTGTTTTATTATGTCTGCACTGGCGTATGAATTGAGTGCGAACAATAAGCGTTTAAATTAAATTTAATGCCCACACATTTATCAAATGTGACTGCAGTAGTTACAAGTATGAAGAATCTGTTTTGCTGGCAAATGCTAAATGCTCGTTATATTGTTATATATCAGCGATTATACTAGGCATAGTGCAAGTCATTCGGCCAAACTGCTTTTCAGATAGTTAGATGCTGATAATCAAAGCTTGTTGACGTCTTTAACTAGCAACAATAAGCAGCTGCACATTCAGATTTCTCAGCTCACGGCTCATAGATTTGTGAGTGTGTCGAAAACTCTTACGACGACAACAGTTTAAGTTGTAGCATCTAGAGGGAAAATTCCGAATAGCATGCCGCTTGCAACAAATAAAAATAAATCACCAGTCCGCATTTATTTGGCTACGAAAACAGGCAAGATACACCAAACAAAGCCACATGCATAGGCGAACTATATACATATCTACTAGTTGTTTAAAATCACGAATTTACCATTTTCCTCTTATTTTTTCGGCAACTTGTTTTGATGGCAAGATGTCAACAACGTGCGAGGAACTTACACTCAAAGAAATTCTAAGTATGAAAACGCACATGAATCTAGCAAGCATAGTTTAGTTAAACAAAATATTGTATAGGTTTTAATTTAAAACCTCTCCTTGAACACGTAACAAAATATCAAACAGTTAAGAGCTGCTGACATTCTTTGTGGTTTTTCATTTATATTAATGATGTGTCCTTGTGTGTTATACTTTTATAACAAAAGAATTCCAGTTCTCTGATTTATTTGCATTTTAAAATCGACAGAATAGTGTGTATTTTGGTTCAGTTATTCAATTTCCGCTAATATGTTTTGTCATTGAATAAATTAATAAGTGACTTATATCTTAAACTTATGTTTGTTTTCAACAAAAACGATAATAAGCCAATAATAGTTTCGATTCTTTTTTAATATTTAACCGATGTTAAATTTAATCCGTGTCTTCTATTTTAAATGCTCCTCTGGTCGGGCATGCACTTTATCTCTAATTATATATATGCCTAATTCAATAATATGAATATTTAATGGCCTTTCAACTGAATTGTGTTTGCTGACCCAAGCATGGCTTCTTGATGCTTGCTTGTAAAATATTTTATTCACTTAAGCCATTTTATACTTCAAATTAATAATGCATGGTTTTTTCAGGACTAAAACGGAAGTATTTTCACAACTAAAATATTACATTTTAAAATATTTTTATTACACTGTTCATTTTTTTGTTGGTTAAAGGAATTATTGTCTCTTTAATGATATTGTACACCTACTTAGACACTTGAAGAAGCTTCCTAGAAATCCACTATATCGTTTATTTATATAAACATTGATTTTGACTTTTACCGAATTTTCAACTCGACAATTCTGCGCGCGCCGAATGCTAAACGCAAACTGAACAAACTTGGCTACAAATTAGGAAAAAGAGCCTCCACTGAAAACAAACTTAATAGAAAAAAGATCGTAAAAGTGAATAAATACAAACACATGTACGATAGAAACCAAACTTCGTATCACCACATTTTATGCACAGACTTGAAAACGAGCTGAGCTCACACATACTATACACACAATCATACATACACGAATAATAAATGATACAATGATATAAAGACACACACACACACACACACACACACACACACACACACACAAAGTCAAATACATACATATATTAACGACGACTTGAACTCAAGCTAAGAGCAGCTGCGCTACTGCCCACAAGCACTTGAGGTGACTTACAGGCCAGGCTAGGCCAGACCAGACCCGGCCAACTAAACTGGCAACTCTCGATCGTAACTCTATCGGTCGGTCAGAGGTTCAAACTACTGTCTCTCCAATTCTCTCTCCTGGCTTTGTTTTGCGTCGCTGCACTTAATTGGTAGCTGTACTATACTCGTATAAGTAAACGATCGCTTCTCAATTAAATTGCCAAATCATCTCTTGTTAGCGTCAACAACCGTTATTACCTCACTGTAGCTGGCACTTCGTGTTGTTGTTTAATGCTTTTCATGCGCTCAGAACATTTCGCAACTGTTGTCGCGATTAACGACTCAATGAAGAAGTGGACAGCCTTCGATTACGTGCGCGCTTGCGCAATACTGTTCTGATATATTGCGCATACGCCACGTGTGCTTCAAAATCTGCATCTTAATGACAAGAGCCTTATGTGGGCTGCTACTGCGAAATACCTTGCTAATATATAATCAAATATCTATTATTAAAAATCAATTATCACATAAAGTGTTGTAAAGAGCATAAGGAAAGGATAAAAACATAGTTCTAGATCTCATTGAATTACGTTTGAACACTGATTTGAACATATATACATTATATACATATACATTTCATTGTCGGCTTCAGAGATATTGCCATAGGGTATTTTTTTTAGTTGCACAATGCAAAAATGCAAAATGTGAATTAATATACTTGTAGTTTTTTAGTACTTGTTTTGATTTATCCAATGATAAATCGTAATTATTAGAAGTTTATTTAATAAATAATTAACAGGTACATTATGAAACATTAACGAATGTACTGAAATGCCACAAATTGCTCGAGATTAGTTTCCAGTCACTCAATAAAAGATCAAGACCATTTTACAATGCACTCAAGCCATTTAAGCAGCACTAAATGGGTTTTGTAATGTCTCTTACGTTGAATGGAAAATTTTAAACAAGTTTAATTTCATAATAAAACTGTACTTTAAGTATAAAATTAGTCTGTAATAAAAACAACTGTATTTAGTTATGAAAACAGCGTTAGAAACAATGTATGCAATTCTAGTTTACGACGTTGTCAGTTTAATTTGTGAAATGGTGTGCCAATTTGTGTATTTGTTTTTCATACATATACTTTTAATTTATAATAAAACAGAGTACCCGAGGTTCGTAAAACTAGTTACAGTTGCTAATCACATAGTTCGTAAGCTTTTTATACCCTGTACCCGTAGGGTAAAAAGGGTATATTAGGTTTGTGCAAAGTATGTAACATGCAGAAGGAAGCATCTCCGACCCCATAAAGTATATATATTCTGAATCAGCATGACGAGAGAAATCGATCTAGACATGTCCGTCCGTCCGTCCGTCTGTCCGTCTGTCCGTCCGTCTGGATGAACGCGAGGATCTCAGAAACTATAAAAGCTAGAATAACCAAAGTTGGCATCCAGATTCTCCTAGGTCCGAGAAAGGACGAGTTTATTTTTTTTTTTTGGAATTTTCCCCCCCTTCCCCCGCTACAGAATTTCGTCAATAGCGTCCACATTTCAAATGCTACCTAAACCAAACTTTGCACACATAATTTATATATAATTGTCTACTGTTGTTCAAAATTTTATTCAATTCGGTCAATTCTAAGAAAAGTTATTAGCCAAACAAATTCTCGCCAGTACAACCTCCCCAAACTGCAGCAACAAGTTCGCTCTTCTTCTTCCTCTTTTTGCTGCTGCTATGGGCGCATATAACTCAGTGACGGAAGTTTACCTGGGTACAGGGTATTACACTGTCGGGCTTGCTCGACTGTAGCGTTCTCTCTTGTTAGACTTGAGTTATGTTGGGTCCAAAGCACACATTGGATGAGATATCGCACGCATCTCGGGCCATTGAAAAAGTGGCAATGGCATTGACATCAAATTTAATGCTGCGCGCTCGCCTTTGCTTTAGCCGCGATTATATTTTTTAATAATACAATAATAATGGGATTTGGTTATTGCCAACCAGTTCGAAGGCAGGCCACTAGTAACAGCTGTAGCTGGTCGGTCAATGGAGCGGTGTTTGTGCCTCTTCGCTTTTTCAATCATTGCTCGATATGCTTCATAATTTACTACGGACAGCGCTAGTTGACAACACCTTTAACTTGAGTCGAATTCAGTGACTTTGAGATCTTTTTATAAAATATGTAAATTGAAATCGGTATACAAGCGACTGTTTTATGTTGTTATTGGTGGCACATTTTACTGGAAACCTGTAGCCATTAAATTCGAGCAAAACAACACTAATGGCCTGTTCGCAGTCACAGACGAATTTACAGTCACATTCACGTTGGCAAAACACAAACAGGAAGGGAGGAAGGCTTGCAGCTCGTCGCTCAGCCAAAAAGTTAGCCTTTAAAACTGTATCCGTAATTACAGACTTCCGCCTATGAAAATGAAGTGCGGTAGGCATTTCTATACGAATTTCCCTTCAAAGGACAAACACATACACACAGCCCCACACCCACACCCACACGTACGCACGAAGGACGAGCGAGCACAGACGAGACACTGAAGGCGAAGGCGCCACAATGTATCCCGTTACACGGCCATAAAACTTCATAAACGCTGGTCCAAGAGCAAATTATAATGCATACGCACACGTAGGCCAGGCGGCGGCAAGCGGCTAATTGGACGTACCAGTCAAGAGTCGCTCTCGCTAACTTAAACTTAAAACTGGGCGGAACATAACAATTGTGGGTGATTTGCATACAATTTGCTGCTTAAATTACCAGCAGAGCGGCGTCAAAATGTTGCTGTGTCATCGCCTGCTGTATTGTTGTGGCTCAACATGTTGGTCAAGCGCACAAAACCATAAATATAGAAAAACATACGATTATGAATCAAAATGAAGAAGAAACATTTACATAAAAACCAGTAGCAGCAGCCCAATAAAAAAATGTCTACCATATGACAGTTGTCCAGTCTCTGGTAACCTACAACAATGAAAATTTTTTGTTTGCATTCTGCTTTGTTGCTTTTGTTGTAATGCATTATGTGGCATATCTGCTGTGTGCAGGCTGCATGGTCAAGGCTGGGATTCATTGTCCTGACCCACCTGCAATACAACTACAAAACGTATTTTTAAAAGCTAAGAAATCTTTAGAAGGAATTTGGATTTTGTATGCCAAAAATAAATTCTCCCTACCCCCACCCCCTAAAACACATGAACACACTATGAGAAAAACAAACACACACATATCTTTATCAATGGGCTGCAGTTCAGCAACATCTTCAAAAGGTTGCAGGCAAATAGCCGCATGTTGCTGCAACACTTGTTGCGTGTGTGGGCGCCAACGTTGGGCGTCATTGCTGCTGTTGGGTCTTCTTCTTGTTGATGATGCCGTGGCTCTTCGCACAGGATAATGTCGGCCTGCCGCTCACACATATAAAATCGGAAGTTTCGCCAAACATTTGCACAGACGTGTTTCGCATGTTCACGGGCAACAAGTGTCGACAATTCCTTGGGAATCCGAAAAAGGTAAAGGAATTGTTCAAACATTTTAAATAGTGCATCGCAATGTGTTTTTGAAACTTGTTCACATATTTTTGAATTTTTGTTAACGGAAAAAGGTAAGTGTCGCGAAGTTATCACCCATTCAACATTGAAACAGTTCAAAGAACAAAAACTGCACATTCATGTTTTAGATTTAGGGATTAAAAGTGTAACTGAACAAAAACAACAACTTCTCAGGTGCATATTGAAAAAATCTCTTCCTTTAAAAGCAAAGCCTTTGAATGAATTCTGTATGAATAAATGAAGCTACAAGGGTAAGCTCCGTCGGAAAAGCAGCAGCAGAGCGGTTTTTTAATATTTTGTGCTGTTGCTAATATCAGCTTTATGATGCATTCACTGGCTTTTCTTTCGGTAGTCGGATAAAAATGTGTGCAAGCAAATATTCCTATTTTTATTAAATGTACGAGTCAGTTTTCTAGCTAATACATTTATGAATAATAGATGAATTGTCACATCTAAGAGCTGTTTAGTTTTCGTGCAGTCTTCAATTTATTTTTATTATTCTTATATTATTTCAATATTGATTTTGAATTAGGTAACTGATATGCAATTATACATAGATATGGTGAATATTGTTTGCATGAACTTAGTGTAGATCATGCAGAACATATGTATATTTGCTCATGTCAATTAAAAAACCAAAGATATTAAATAGCCTTTTTTAAAAAATAATATTTCGGTGTCAGGAAAGTGCACCTTGTTTTCACTCAAATAAACCAGGGACCGCAAAAAATCATTCACTTATAATAGCTTTGAGAAAAGGAGGATTATACAAATATAAATTTTTTGTAACATTATCTCTGCATGATGACCATAATTAAACATTTTTTAAATATTATTCATTCTCTAAAGTTCAGTTGTGGGTTTAAAAAAATCTGTTCATTACAAAAAGTTTATTACGGCTAAATCATTGATAAACAAATAAAACTGAAAGAATGTTCATTAATTTATGACTTTATTTTTTTTTGCTCAGAAATAGTGAATATCGGTAGAGCTGTAAAGTATAACTTAAAAATAATGATTATATTGTGAGAAATGAATAAAATTAAAAAATAACTCATATTTTTTAATTTGTATAATAACTTGTAAAATGATTAGAGTGCCTGAAATAAGTTTCAAATTTATTGAATAAATACTGGCTTAGAGGCTGTGCCATTAAGTAGTTGGACCGTAAAAACCCTCATTTGATTTTTTTTTTCAATCAAAGCATTGAAGCCGTGCATTCAGATTAGCACCTTAACAATACATTTTTAGAAATATAAAATAGCCCAACCTCGAGCACTTCCGCGCGAGGATTAATAAGTTAGTGGTGGCTTATGCTTATCTAAATGTTTTGAAAAAACATAATCGTTTCAGTCTTCGCAAAGGTCTAGCAGGAAGGAGTCCTCTTGCAAGCAAACTGCGGTGACTCAGAAGCCTGTCACTGTATCTACTTGTATGCCTTCCAATCTGCTCCTCCACGGTGAACGCGCACGTACCAGGGCAGTTGGTAATTTGCCGCAATGCACGGTTTTGCAGGACCTGGATGCGCTTATAATTAGATTTTGCGGCGATCCCCCAAATTTGAATACCGTACAGCCATATCGGAGCGTAGACAGCTCTTTTTGCTCTAAGTGGCATAGTGCTCCTTCTATTTAGTAGCCATCGCAACTGTTGCATTCTTTGGCCACATTTTTTTACCGCAGCTTTCAGATGTAGCCGAAAAGTGACACGCTTGTCTAGGGTAATGCCAAGGTATTTAGCTAGCGCTGGCTGTTCTAGGGTTACTCCCTCAAGCGGAATAGGAGGCGTGCAGGGAATTAGCATTTTCAGCGTGAAGCAGGGGTTAGAGGTTTTTATGGGATTGACCTTTAAATTCCACCTAGTGCACCAAGCTGCCAGTGTATTGAGATAGCTCTGTAGTCCATCTGCTGCTTCTCGGTGATTTTTCGAGTTAAAAACAACCGCAATGTCATTTAAGTACGCTTAAGAGTATTTAAGAGCATTTAAACTTGAAATATGAAAGAAAGTGGTTTCCTTACACAATACGCATCTTTAATATGTATTTGGTTTGCATACATTTTCTCATAGCTTAGTTTTTGGAGCTGGGCACGTCCTTGTTTTTTTCCCCCTATAACCGCCCAACAAAGAACCCTTTTATGTACCAATGAACTAGTTTTGTATTTCTAACAACAAATTCCCCTTGGAACACTATTTTTGCATCAATCTGTGGCAGAGGCATGCTCTGAAAATTGCTTTACACACAGTGCAAATAGTTTTGTACACACATCCTTTCATTAATAATATGAAATTGAAATATTTATGAGTGCACTTCAGAGGAGGCGAGAAGCAACAAAGCTGCGTTAAATTTTCATTCAGATTTGCATTCCTTGGCGGCTTCCAGATGTGTGTGGCAGACAACATGTAACTGAAATGGACATGTGCAGCTCAAAACTTGCTGGGCATGCAGGACTTTTGATTTATCACTAGCAATAGCGATGGGGATGGAGATGGGGATGGAGATGGTGCTGCCCTGGCACAACCTCTTCCCATATTCATTTGTCTTTGAGACTGAGGTGTTGAGCTTTGACGCGCAGTGTTAACAAATGGCATTTAAATGCCTTCCACTTTGATGATGCTTCATTTTCATAATTTTTCATGTCGGGGGACATCTGTGTCTGTGTCTGTGCGCAAGCATTTATTTCTTTCTCGCTCTTCCTAACCGTGTGTGTGCGTGTTTGTACTTCAAAAGTATCGCATTGCCGCCTGCAAATCTGATTAAAATGATCAAAAATCGTTGTTTGTTGGTGCTTTGTGCCGCCAATCTGTGTCAACTTACATATTCACGTGCTCGATGCCTAAACAAAGCAAATTAACGGCCGTGTTATTGATACAGCCATGGCTTATATCTTCCCGAAAACTGAACCTCTGACATGGGCACCATAAATGTACAAATACTTGTACATACTTGTGTGTAACTACCACTTTGTCAACTGAGCGCTGTCAGCCGATTATGAAATATTTGTTGAATTTCAATTGCGAGTCTTAACTTTGGAAATCAATCAGCCGTCAGTGTGGGATACTTACTTGCTACTCTGCTCCCTGTCTGGGGAGAAATCGTCAGACTAAGAGCTACATATGTATGTATGTATATTTGTACAAGTATGTTGCAACACTCTTGACAAACTCATAAATTTTCGCAAACTGTTAACTCAAGCACATAATTTGTGGATGGCACTTGCTGTGCGTTGCAGTTTCCTCTCTGACCTGTCCCTTGACGTACTCGTGCCACCGCATACGAGTACGAGCAGTTGGGCAACCAAAATGACGTGTTTGTTTAATTGCAACGCCAGACCCACAGTCGCACACACACACACACGCACACGCACACACACACACACATAGGCATTGCTACAGGTACTTAGTGTAGCTTGTTTAGCTGCCCAAAATTCAAAATATGCATTGATGTTGATGCCCGTCATTGCTCATATCGAGGTCCGAGTTGGCTACCTTTTCCGAATTCATCATCATAAAGCAGACAAATTGGCATTGTTGTTGCCTGCTACTGCTACTGCTACTGCCACTGTTGCTGTTGTTGCACTCTTGCCAAAATTCATGCTGTCGTCATTGACCAAATTTCCAGACGAATTCACTTCTGTTTGACAAGTTAGCTGTTAAAACTTACGTATGTCGCTCATTTGTCGCGACAAGTCCAACAGAAATTTAACTTTTTTATTCAACACGCGGCACGGTTTTATGAAATTTTGCTTTATACAAATGTATGTTAATGTACAGGTTTTTTTCTCTCTTTATATATTTATATATGTATATAGTATTTAATGTCTGTTCATCAAGCAGTTGCGAGTAGGGGGCTAACTTGTTGGCTTTGTGTCTGGCTCTTGACCCCTTGGACTAGTTTGAAGCGCCGCAGCTCAGAAATTTTAGTTAATGTTTTTCCGTATAGCGCTGTGGAGAAGTTATCAGATAGACATGAGGATACTTTTAAATGACGCGTACTTTAATATGAATTTCTTTAGACAGACTCTTTATAATTGGTCCATTGTGGTGGTTTCAAGCTCCAAGACGCAATCGAAAACACCAATTTGAAATTTGAATCTTTCTTTTCTTCTGAAATGCAGCTAAAATGTCTTACAGATATAGTATATATCCTTAAGGAACTTTAAATTGTACCATTATTTATTATTTGATTACCAATAGCTTTGTACAATTACTTTATATTTGTTTGATAAATTGCCCTGTTTTTAGAAATTGCAATTAATAAGCTAAGGAAAATAATTGAATATATTTATATCAAATTCTGAAAAAGGGGGAGAGTTGCAAAATTGTTTAAACAATTGTTAAGCTGCGCTTGGTGTATTAACAAGAATATCATTTTAATTGGCTTTTTAGGATTTTAGTTTTAGCAGAAACTATGTTTTGACGAGCGAAAGCATCTCACTACAGCCCAAAACCTAGACGTTGGCCAATCAAAATAGGATTTGCTCGGATCTGTTGTGCCTGTAATTAACCGAATTTCGAATAGTCTGCTAAGTCTGTAATGCATGTTGCATTGCAAAAGTCTGTTCCCATTATTTTCCACTAAACACTTACTCTTTCAGGTAGTTAAGCTTTCAATTAGTGTAGCCTTTGCAGTTGCAACCAAGCCTGCCCCATCAACTGCGGCCACTCACTTGGCAGCTCGTCTAACATCAAGGGGCCCATGAAGCGTCATAGCCAGAGTTGCCGCCGCAGCCGTAGACAAAAGCCATAATCATTTGCATCTGTAATGGCCATCGTCCCCGTATAAGGAGGTGCGTGTGCAGCCCTTCCGGACGTCATACATCAAGTCCTATGGGGGCGGTAGACAACAACGCCCTCAACAAGTGTTAACGGCAATGTAACATCAATGTGGCCAGGGAGGGGCTTTGCTGCTCCTTCTCCTTCTCTTTCCGTTGCTATTGTTGCTGTTGTTGTTGTTTTTTTGTTGTTGCTGTTGCTACTTTTGTTTCTGTCTTGTGTGCCTTTAATGCGTTCGGTTAACTTTTTACGCACACATCCATATTTCTCACTTGGCCAAGAAATTATCGCATAAATATTTTTATGGTTAATTAGCGGGACACTTTGCTCGTCGCGAGGCAGGCGCTACAGCAAATACAATAACAACAGCAACATCGTTGTCGCGCTCTTCGTTGTCGGGTCGCACATAAATACTTGTGTGTGTGCATATTAGTTAAGTTAAATGGATGCGACTTTTGTTGTTCGGGCTGCGAACATTTTGCGTCGGCGTCCTTAATGGTTTTAAAATATGCATCTGCTAATAAGTTTTATAGTGCTTTGTCTGTCCATGCTGCAGTTTTAAACAAACATTGAACTACTTTGAATTAATAAATATCAATTTCGGAACAAGAGTGTAGTTTTTCGTTCTCATTTCCCTCCTGTAGAAATACTTTTACTTTATACCTGCACCGTGGGTGCTGAAAAAATTTCGTTTACACTCAGAAAAAAACTGCTATACAATTTTAAGAATCACTTTTCAAGAAAGTTCTAATATGAAGTATATAATTTTGTATTGAAAGAGGGAAATCACCATTAGTACATATGTATGTATATTTTTTTTAATACATATTACCCCCGCCCCATGCCTCTCTCTCGCAAAGCTATTGACTCAATTGGTTTCTTAATTTTCTTTTATTGCAGATCACGTTAAAATGGGCATAGCTTTGATGTTTCTGTTGGCCCTGTATCAGATGCAGGCCGCCATCCATAGCGAGATCATTGAGTCCCCCCAGTATAATCTGAATGCGCTTAGCGATGACATTGGCATCGAATCGAAAATCCCGAATACTGAACCACTGGATGCCCTGCTGATTGAGAGGCCCGAGCAAACGGAGCTGGAATTTAGATATCCCATATCAGCGATTGGCGTGGATTATGCGAAAAACTCGCTGATGTTGCGCTTCCAAAAATATCCGCCAAAGCTGCACTACAAATACGATCCCGATTGGGATGTGAAGCGCAAGTCGCTGCAGGATAATTTCATGCACTTTGGCAAGCGCCAGGCTGAGGAAATCTCCAAGGACATCAATCGGCAGTACTTTGAGGATCCGTCCGCAGCCCGCTTTCAACGGAGTTTGGTAGGAAGTCGTGACTCGCGCGGCGATAATTTCATGCGCTTCGGACGTCGCAGTCCCCAAGACGACTTTATGCGTTTTGGTCGCTCCCAGTCGCAGGCACAGGACCACAGAAACTTTCTTCGCTTCGGCAGACCTGACAACTTTATGCGCTTCGGTCGTTCACAACAGGATCAGTCGCAAGCTGCCCGAAACTTTTTGCGATTTGGCCGACCCGACAATTTTATGCGTTTTGGTCGCTCGCCTCAACAACAAAGTCAGATCGATAGGAATTTCTTGCGCTTTGGTCGTCCCGACAACTTTATGCGCTTCGGACGTGCACCGCCTCCTCAATTGGACTCGAACTTCATGCGCTTTGGCAAGAGTGTTGACAGCAGTGTCCATACGGGGTCGAATCAAACGAAGCCGCAGCTGCAAAAGAACGAAATTAAGGCGGCTGTGAAGTTGTTGAATCAGAGTGGGACGGGTAGAGAGGAGACCAATCCCGTAGATAAGGCCATTACGATGCTTTTCAGTAAGCAACAACAGCAGAGAGAGGTTCAGGAACAGCCAGAGGATCCGACGAAGAGCAGTGAGCAGGAATCGACAGATCTCGGCAATGGCAACAATTTGGATGGCGTCGACAGTGTGGAACAGTATTATGGGTATCCGTAGGCCTGCAATTGTGCAGACTAGGGCTTCATGTAAATACAAAACAATGCTATATGATAAATGAATGAAATGAAGGAAATACGTATAAAGAAAAACTGCTCTCTTGTATGACCCACACTATGTATACAAATGTGTGGATTTTTAATGGGGCTGGATTAAAAATTCACACTCTTTAAAATCAAATAATTAAAATAATGCCTAAGGACATACGTACACACACATACTAACTATTGTATTAATTTAGTTAAATCAAAGGAAAATACCAAAGTTATATATAAAAACACCCTAAGCTATAAACTCCTTTGAATAAAGATGACTTTGAAAGAAAGTGTTGATGTTGCGATTATTATTTGACTCTCGGAAGGTAGAAACAAGGAAAGGAATTTATTTTGAATCGAAATGGTCGATTATCCGCTTATTTGCAGATTACATATAATTTGCAAAGCAATATTGAAAAAATGAAATGATTATTTAGTGCAATAATTCAAAATTGCTTTGTTAAAACCAAAATCATTATTAAAACCAGCACAAACCTAAAGAAATAATCGTTTTTAAAAATTTGTAATAGGTTTGAATAAAAAATGTTTAAAATTTTTGAGCGCCATCTACAGTTTTACATTGCAATTGTAAATTGAGCTCAAATAACTTCCACAAAGTGCGCGCCAAGTGTCTGCAGCGATGTCTGGCAACACCTGCACTATAATCAACAGCTGTATGTGGACTGTGAGTTTTGCCAGCTGTATCGCCAAACCGTACAGTGAAGCACTTCATTCTGCTCCGTCGGTCGAGTTTCTATATTAGTTTCATTTTAGCAGTGGAAAAAATTTTCGGTTTTTATATCTTCAGTGCTAATTAATATATCAGCATAAAAGAGAATATTTAAAACACGATCCAGACAGTTACCCTAGGGAGTCTAAAGTCCAACTTGTTGCATCCACTATTGGCGGCGTTGCTGCTGTTGTTGCTGAATTTGTTGTTGCTGCCACAACTATAATCGCGCAGTACTATTATTAATTATATATAATATATGTATGTACATATGTATATAAAATAAAGTACACAAAATAGAATACTCTGGACAAAATTCAATATTTTCCAACAGACGTCTGCCCGTTAAGTGACGAAAAAGTCAACAATGTCGGCGCTTCTTAAAATGCGCAGAGGTGAATATTTAATTAAAAATTAAGTTCATACGAATTACATAATATGTACATACAAACTATATGTATATATATATATATGTAAGTATATTAAATGCAATTAATGCAGTCTAAAGTAAAAGCCTGATAATGCACATTATTGGAGAAAATTAGTTTGAGTTCAGCACCTGGGCGCTGCCTCTTAAAATAAGATTAGACATTGTTCATATTGTGTTTGTTGTTGTGGATGGCGTGGCGATGTGGCGCTGACGCCCCACCAACCAGTACCAAACTTTGTCTGTCTATGGTAGGCAGCGGCAGGTGGCGAGAATGCTTATCGCTTTTTTCTTTCTTTCGTATTTCAATATCTCTTCTGATCATTTAAGTTCATAGAGGGTTTAGTTTATTAAATAATCACCATTTTTATGTATGTATATTTTCTATTATTTATATATTCATTTATTTAACAGTGCAAAAACTCTTTACGCCTACCTTTGTGCGCAGCGTTTCGGATGCGGTAAAGTATCCGAAGATCACCACACACTATACCCTGCACCCGCGTGAAAAGGACGAAAGATGGAAGGAGGTGGACATGGAGCGTTGCGTCGAGGAGGTGGACATTGTTATCGTGGGTGGTGGACCGGCGGGCATGTCGGCGGCCATAAGGGCCAAGCAATTGGCTGCAGAAAAAGATCAGGTTAGTTAGTTGGGTCTTATATAATACTAAATATTAACGAACAGTTTGTAGGAGATACGCGTCTGTGTTGTGGAAAAAGCCGCTGAAGTGGGTGGTCACATCCTCTCGGGGGCTGTCATCGATCCCGTTTCGATTAATGAGCTGATACCCGATTGGCAGGAGCAAGGAGCACCTCTGAACACGCCCGTCACCAAGGATACATTCTCGCTGCTCACTGCAACGGGCCGGCACTCGATACCCATTTTCAAAGGCTGGCCCATGGACAACCATGGCAACTATGTTGTGCGCTTGGGCCACTTGGTTAAGTGGTTGGGCGATCAAGCCGAAGCCCTAGGCGTTGAAATTTATCCGGGCTGTGCGGCATCCGAGGTGCTGTTCCACGAGGATGGCAGTGTCAAGGGCATTGCTACCAATGATGTGGGCATTGCAAAGAGTGGAGCGCCCAAGGATACATTTGCTCGTGGCATGGAGCTACACGCGAAGACCACCATTTTCGCCGAGGGCTGTCGGGGTCATCTGACCAAACAGATCATTCAGCAATTTGGCCTTACGGATGGCAGCGAGCCGCAGGCCTATGGTATTGGCTTAAAAGAGGTGTGGGAAATAGCGCCCGAAAAGCATCAGTAAGTAGATCTGAAAAAAGGAAAGAAAGAAGAAATCCAGTTTGGAATCTCGTTTAGACCTGGCTTGGTGGAGCACTCCATAGGTTGGCCGCTGGATCGGTTTACATACGGCGGTTCCTTCCTCTACCACCTGAACGAGCCAACTCCCGCGATAGCTGTCGGTTTTGTTGTGGGTTTGAACTACAAGAATCCGTGGATCAGCCCCTTCCAAGAGTTCCAGCGCTTCAAGACGCACCCAAAAGTGCGCGATATATTCGAGGGTGGCACTCGTATCGCCTATGGTGCGCGTGCCATTAACGAAGGCGGCTTCCAGAGCTTGCCCAAGAAACTGTCCTTCCCAGGCGGCTGTCTAGTCGGCTGCAGTGCCGGTTTCCTCAATGTGCCACGCATCAAGGGCTCCCACTATGCCATGAAGAGTGGCATGCTGGCTGCGGAGAGCGCTCTTGAGGCCATCAATGCAGATACGCAGTCCACCGCTGGGGTGGAGCCTACAACTTATGCCGACAAGTAAGTGTCGGACATTGTTACAATTGGTACAACTGCTTAATTGTATTTCGTCATAGAATCAAGGACTCTTTCGTATGGAAGGACTTGTATAGGGTGCGCAACGTACATCCTTCCTTCCACAATCCCTTCGGACTGTATGGTGGTATGGTGCTAAGTGGCTTCTCCATTTTTATGGGTGGGCGCGAACCCTGGACCCTCAAGCATGGCCCACAGGATCATGAATCCCTAGAGCTTGCCAGTAAAAGCGAAAAAATTGTGTATCCCAAACCCGATGGCAAAATCTCCTTCGACTTGCTATCCTCAGTGGCACTAACGGGCACTAACCATGAGGGCGACCAGCCTGCTCACTTGACGCTGAAAGACGACCGGATACCAGTTGATCACAATTTGGCCCTCTACGAGGGTCCGGAGCAGAGATTCTGCCCGGCCGGCGTTTACGAGTACGTGCCAAACGAGGAGGGCGGCAACTTGAAGCTGCAGATCAATGCCCAAAACTGCATACATTGCAAAACCTGTGATATCAAGGATCCCAAGCAGAACATCAATTGGGTTGTACCTGAAGGTGGCGGCGGCCCAGCCTACAATGGCATGTAAAGAGAGATCCAGGGATGTTACAATCGCTGCTCAACAGATACCAATATTGCATTTCTTTAGTTTGTAAAACGAAAATTTTACCCACAATATTTCGAAAGTTTTAAATTTATATTAGGCAGAATCTAGATCGGCAATAAAAAGTTGTAAAATTCGCAAAAAAAAAAACACTTTGATGACCACTTCACTTGCCAAAAAGGTTTTTATTTAAAATTGTTAATTTCTTTAAAACATCAACCTATTACGTAAACACATTCCTCACAATCATTTCCAAAATCATAATCAGTGCGAAGATAAAACATTTTTTTGGTTATTCTATACATACACATACACAATATTTGGAGAGTTCCATGGCTTTGCATCGAAATCGTTTTTACATTGCTTATATATAGTAAAGTGTTTGTTTCAATTTGCTGACAAATACTATATATGTATGTATGTATATATGTATATACATTTATATGTTTATTTGTATAGATGTTTTGGAACACACACACAAATTTATGAATATATGCCTTGTGTGCAATATCAAATACTAAATAGTATGCATGTATTAATATCTACTTTAATTCATATAGTATTATTTACTAGGTATTTCATATCACTTAGTTTGTACAAATATTTGTATTTATATGTACTTCTTAAAAACGGTGTTGTGCACGACAGCCGGTTAAAAGATAACGACGGGGGTTATCAGAAACACTCGTTCCGCTGCAATAAATGATCGTGCAGTTAACAAAGGTACGTCCATATATGTATGTATCTATATATTTGTTTGTAGGTATGTATATATGTGTATAGTTATACATACATAGTACATATATGTATATCTAGTTATACATGTAATATTTGGTTTTGTTCCATGTAAAGCATTTTCTCATTCTCTTATCTAAGGGCTATCATTACAAACTCCAATAAAATACATACATAGCTAGGTATGCCGTATTGAATTGAATATCGTGCAATTGGTTTTTCGATTTGTTTTAAGCATTAGCTTATACCAAGTCTTTGTCTGCCACATCTCCAACATTGCTGATCAAGAATCAAAAATTTGGACTAGTAGTTAGTGTCACTTCAATTCATCATATGGGGGGTGCCACATAAATCTCATTATAACAGTGTATATAGGCTATCATTATATTTCAACTACATGCATTAAATTACAACAAAAACGATTACAAACTGGCTTGAAACACTTGGTTATCGATAGACGAGTACGAGTCCTTAGCACAGTTGCTGATCTCCTGTGGTCCCTGTGACCATAGCAGGCATTGTAGCAGCATGTGGCTGTGCAATGCCTTCCTTATATTGTTCTATATGCTTTACAATCTCTACGATAAACGAATAATCGTATCGCATCGTTAACAAATACTTCTTATTGGGCTTAGGCTATGCCAATTATAATTTAGTTAGTTCAAAGTTCTTTTGTACATTGCGTGCTGCTCTAGTGGAATTTAGTTTTCTCGAGATTCGTAAATTTAGTTTGGGTTTATCGTTATATTTTATTTGTTAATATATTTTAACTACATACTTTAAATAGCACATTTAACACCTGTATTGAAATATTTCACCATCAAGTTATTATTTTATAAAACAATTGCAAAAAATCGACTCACTGAAATATTATTCAGCAAGTGTCTTTGCCAACGTGTTTAATTAATTGTGTTGTTTTATTTTTTGTTCTATTAAAAAGAGGCACTGTTTTTAAGGCAACGCTACAGAGTCAAGTTTTATACAAGGAAATTGTTTTCTCAGTAATAATTTCTCAATAACCAAATGGGGGAAAGGAACGGTGAAATATTTTGCAAACTATTCATAACTTAAACGTAAGGTTGATATTTGACAATAGCATATTCAATTTGTTTTTACAAATACATACTATGTTTAACTCAATATATAAATGCGATGATATTTTGTTGATGTTGAAGGGAAAGAATTGATTGATTGACTGGGCTACGGTTTTATGCTCAAGAGCGTAGCCAGCTGTTTTCAAGTTTAACACCATTTGCCATACACTTTTCAAATTGTTTTACAATTGTGTGTTGTATAGAAACCTTAACATTTAATGTTCACTACTGGGGTCCATCTCAAATACATTTATTGAGCATAGCTTAAACGGACCACATCGACCATGGCAAATGGAATGGGATGCTGTTCAAAAATGTCACGGCCTTCATTATATGTAGCTATGGCTGCATATTTTTTAGCTGCCAACTATAGATCTTATCTTATCTTAGTGGGAAACCTGTAATGTGTAAATGTTTATTGTTTATTTTAAAATGTTGTGCTTTCTGTGCCGAATGTGCACAGCTGTTGCAGAAATATCTGTTCTCGCTGCTGCTGCTGCGGCTTCTGCCTCAGCCATACATATAAAATACAAATATTGGTATACAAATGCACATATTTATATAAATATATATTGTTCTGCGTACATAAATATTTCTTTAATAATTTTTTCATTTCATTTCGCACTGTATAGAGTGCAGCAGGTCAAGTTTTGCTCTGCAAATATTTATGGAGCGCATTTACCCCATAGGCAAATATTGGATATTGAAATTGGTAGGAAATTGACATTTACAAAGAGGCAGAGTTTTGGGTTCGGTTCACACATGCGGCGTGCTATATAGTACATGTAGCACGTGCCATGGCCATTACACGAGTATTGCACAAATAATATGAAAGGTTAACTGAGGAGACATATACAAAATGAAAATAAAAACTAAAGTAGAAATGAATGAACGATCGAAGTGCATCGAATCGAATCGAATCGAAAGAAAAACGTGCAGTAAAACAAAAGTGGGTCTTTGTATGTTTAATGTTTTTATTTAAATTATATTTTGTTGAGTTGGTTTGTTTTACAAATTGCATATAATGTAAAAAATATAAAACTTAAGAGCGAATTGCAAAAACGTATTTATTTAAATTAAACAGAAGAACTCAGTTAAGTTACATTACATTATGACTTCGTTTTGCTTAAGAAAAGAGTAGAGTAGAGTAGAGAAAGAGTCCACCGCGTTTATGATGGGACTCGGTAAGTTAAATAATTAGAGTTTAAATTTAAGCAAACATTCCTGCAACTAATCAAATAAATCAATTAAATTACTCGTAGACTGTAAACTGAGTTTGAATTGCCTTAACGAAAAATGTTGTGAACAATAAATTTAATTGATAATTAATCATTAACACGCACGCACGCACATCGATTAAAATAAAACTACAGATAATTATTCATTAAAATAAGCGCACATTGTTATCTCCGATATCTGATCCAACCGATTTATTATGGCGCTTGAGTACATTTCTGTGGCTTATTGCAACATATATTGCATAGTTTTTCCATCTTTTTTTCGTCATCGTCTGACTTGCATATTTTACGTACATTTGTATTTTTAGTTTGTTTTTGTAATTGTTTAGCGGCTTAATGTAAAAGTGTACTTTTAGGGGGCTACTAATGTTTAAAACTTATGTGGCTCAACGCTTTGCACGCATTTCACAAACTGCCTTAACTTAGCATTTTTATATATTTACAAAATATTCTTTTTTCCTTTGTAATTTTTTTTGCTGGTTTTTATTTAAATTTAAATTATATTTTTATTTAAACGTACATGTTTGTATGTAACTAATTGTTTTTTGTTTGCAGTTTTGACTTAAAATAGTGTTGTTGTTGTTTAATTAACTTTAGTTAGACTAAATCAGCTCGTTTCAATATTTCAATTTCGAGCTGGGTGTGGGTGTTTGGGTGTGTGTGCTTGCCCATTATAATTAATTAACTAACTACAATTTGACTGCGCTTCTTGTCAAAATAGGCGGCTCATATTACTTTAAAAATTATTTACTATTACCATACTTGATTTAAGTTTAATTGTAGATATGACACTGTCACTGTTTTTTGTTACTTTTCATTAAATCTTCTCCATCGCCTCATCGTCTCTTGTGTAATAAGAAAGTTTAAAACATGAATCCTATGACAATTTCCAGTTAATTACTTCGATATTATTGCACTGGTCTGAAAATTGTTGCTATCAACAGGATGTGTTGCAGCTACATCAGCACTGTTGCTGTTATTGTTGCTGCTGCTGCTGCTACTGCTGTAATTTTGGTTGCTAACATAGCAAGAAGTTTGGTACCGAGACTCATGTTGCAACTGAGGCGCGTACTTTTGTCGCTGTTGTTGCAAGGACACAGCCACGTGCTGCCCATAGCAGTCGTAGTTGCGTTCATAGTCGCATATATCTGTGTATTGAACGCGACTGGACTCTTTGCGTGGAGGTGGAGGCATCATGGCTTGATCGTTGCTAATGTTGCTGCGATTGTTGCTGGTACATGTTGCGGACTTCTTGCAGCTGCTGCTGGTGCTGCTACTACTACTACTACTGTTACTACTGATGTTGTGATGCTGTTGTTGTTGTTGTTGTTTAAAGTTGATGGCTTGGTCACGTGCCGGCTATGTGCCCCAGCCACCAGATATTCTCGGGCGTTTGTGATTGGGCGCATCGTAGTCGCTTAGTTGTTGCTGATGTTGTTGTTGTTGCTGCTGCTGCTGTTGCTGTTGTTGCTGCTGCGCGGCAACCGCTGCCAGACGCACGTCTTGTTCGCTGCTCGTCGGCACTCCACCTGTATTTAAGATAATAAAATCTGTTAAACTATTAGTTTGAGCTGTACAGCAAAATGAAGTGTGTGGCTCGGGCAGGCATTGAGCATTCAACGCAAGGCGCAGCGGACTGAGCTGTATCTGTGTCTGTGAGTGTATGGGTAGTGTGCGTGTGTATTTGTGTGTGGTTGTGTGTGGTTGTGTGTGTGTGTTTGCGTTAGTGGCATTAATGAGCCTTAAATATGTTAGGGAGGTACGCAGCCGTTAGTTAAGTACGAAAAACTGTTAGTTTTCAACTCACAAATGCGTTGGAACGCAATTTCCTTTGCCGGTGTTAGTTAGTTTCAACGTAAGAAAATAAAATTAAGATACAGCAGGCAGACTATACGCTATACACGTCTATATTATACCATCCCTGACTGGGGAAAAGAAGTAAAAACTTTCCAGCACTTTTATATTCAACATAAGCTGTGTGTGTTGGTGTGAGTGTGGTGTGTGTGTCTGTGATTTTTAAAAATATATAAGCTGCGGGAGAAGTTGAGAAAAACAAGAAGCTACTTGAAAGAGACTTGTCGCTAGCTACGCTTATAAATAATTGTTGATTTTTGAAGAGATATTTTTTTATGTGTGTGTGTGTGTGTATGTTGTGTTTGTGTAACAACTTTTGGCAGCAGGCTCAGCCAGAAAGACTTCTGAGGTAGCAAAGAAATCTTTGAAAATGTTTTCAAAAGGAACTTTCTAACTGTAGACAATGGCAACTTCTCTTGTTCGTATGTGTGTGTGTGTGTGTATGTGTGGGTGTGTGGGTGTGTGGGGATGCTTGTGAGTGTTTGTGAATGAGATGTGAATGGTTTGCTGTTTTTATTTTCTTTGGCCAATTTACCGGCAAAATTCCATCTAGGATTATGTCCCATTAGCGCGCGGTATGCATATCCATCATATTTATCATGCCCTAAAAATTGTCCATGTGATTGTTATTGTTAATAATTAAATACAAAAATATATCATTGAAATGTGTGGTTACATCAAGAATTTTGCTGCCTATGCCTATCCTAACCGATAACTCAACGAACGCGGCGTATACGTAATGATGCGGGCGTCCAACATATTACACATACGCCATGTACTTAGTGAAAAAAAAACCAACCAAAATAATAATAAAATAACAATAATAGTTGTTAACGCACTAATGTAAGCAATTTAAAATTTTGAATAATAAAAATCAGAAAGCTGGTATTCGTGAAAACATGCCACGCAGCAAAATAAAACAACAAAATTATCAGTAAGTAGAGGTCTGGCAAATCAAATCGGATTAGTTCAAATTTAACCACAATTTTCGAAGCAAGGGTGGTGGTGCGTAAGTCAATTGAATCATTTACCTGGTGTCGGCGTTATGTGCCCCGTGGACGAGGGTCTTGAGTTCGGCATAACCAGATGCTGTTGCGAATGACTAAGGACGCTCAGATTGGTGGCCTGTTCGGCGCTGTCGTTCGTGCCACCTCCAGGGGTGCCACCTCCACCGGGACCGCCGGCGCTGCCACTCAACACATTGGCATTCCCCAAGTGCGTTATGACATTATTAGGCGGTGCACTGCCACCACCCCCCACTCCTCCACTGGCTGAGGCATTGCTATTGGTGCTGCTGCTCGAACCGCTGCCGGTCGAGCCGTTGCTGTTCTGCTGATGTCCGCTGGCCGAGAGATCGCGTGGCGGCGACTGCGGCTCGGCCTTTACCTTTATGGCGCCGGGTGAACTGGCGGGCGGTGGTGTGCTATTCGAGACAGTCAGATGCGAAAGACTGTCAAATGGAAGAAAGAAATGGTAAGTATTATATACAGGCCCCTAATCGTTTTATTAAATAAATTGTCTTGGATCGTTAAAGTCTTAGCGTATAATTGTATGCTTAATAGTACTAGAGTAACATCTTAATCTTAATACAACATTTTTGAGCAGTAAGACATAAAAATTCGCCACTGCAAGTGTGACGTCATTAACACTTAGCGGCATTTTCCATTTTCTGCAAAACAGAATAACAGCTGAGCTGTTGAGGACTAGTGTTGAGAAACACCTGTATTTCACTTGCAAACTAGATTACCTGTTATGGAATTCAGTTTTTATAAAGTAAATGTTGTCTCTCTTATTCAATTTTTATTCGAAAAAAGTGTTTAAATTCCTATCGTTATTAAAACAGACAAATGGGAGCATTAATTTGATATTGATGAGCGAATAAATTCAATGGAACTCATTAGCTCATTAGACAACTTAACTGATTCACTGGCTTCCATTATTCTTCATTCATATTCTCTTTTTTAAGGAATTCACGAGCTGCCGAGCTAATTTCTAGAATTGCACTGAAATGCTCGGCTGTAACTACAATGATCACTGAAATTTGTTTTAGAGAACTGTCATCGATAGCGGCAGTATATCATTGATAAGATAATATTTCATAGCTGACTAATTCAATTATGACTGTGCCTAAGGTGGTTTTAAGTTGGGATCAGTTCTAAGCAGTTTCACGACAGACATTCTTATAATACTATACATCTTAAAATATTTATATTGAAATTGGAAATTGTTTAGGTGCTACGTACCTAGTGTGCTGCACCAGACCCTGATGCCATGTGGGTAAGCTCATGAGGTCCGCACTGCTCATGCCAGTCGATGATGAAAAGTCTTGGGCACCGAAGGAGTAGCTCGTCAGCGCGGGTATGGGAGTTTGCAGAGTGACGACGGGTGTGTTTAGAGATGTCTGGTTTTGTCGTTGCTGCAAAGGCAGCAGACCATTGTTAGTTAGTTGAAAGCAACCGCCGCCGCCCAATGGGCAGCCCCACTTCCCCTTTTCCCTACTCTGGCCCCACAATTAGGTTACGTATGCGTCATGGCTGACGGAAGCCACAGTTAACTGAGGCACATGCGTGCAATACTCAACACTTACGTCTGCATATGCAACATCCTCTGCGGCGGACATGCTCTGTGCTATTGTGGGCGGTATGACGACACGTAAATTGGAAGAACGTCCGTTCTGGCTGCCCGGCGACTGTTGTTTGATGGGCAAGTGATGCGCTGTAAGTGTTAAGTGAGGTAAGCAATATAATACTGAATGGATGGGGCTGGTTGGTTGGTTAAAGGGGGGCTGGGGGGTCTTGCATTTGCTTTTAAATTGTGATTTGGTGCACTATGTTAACAGTTACTATAATTGAGGTGTATTAGTTTGTTGTGAGTTGAATGAATTGAGTGTGTATGCCCACCTATGCCAGGACTTGGACCTGGACTGGGTGATCCCACAAGCGGCGAATGTGAATGTGGGTAACCGTTTGACATCTCCAACATGGAACCCGATGGATAAACTGATGTTCGTAATTGACAAATGGAATAGAAGAAGATAAGAATATATATATAGAAGTATTTAATAATCTGAAGTCATAAAAGCCGACGGAACTATCAAACAGGGGTGAGCGCAAATCGAATACAACATTAGAGAGCGAGCACAGGCACTAATATAAACAAGTAAAAAAGCTAAAGTCGGGTGTCCCGACTTTGAAATACTCTGTACATATGTTTACAATAATTATAGAAAATAAAAAAAATTAAGAAAATAAAAAAAAAAATTTGATCGATTTTACCTCTCTCGGTATTCGAACTCACGTAAAGGGTGTATAATTGCACATTTACATAGCAATTGCGTTTGTGTGAGTGTATGTATGCCTATGCGCATCAATTCGTGTCTGTGTAAGCATTTTCGCAGTCAACCAAACAGCAACATCAACAACAGCCGCGGGCAGCGCTTGAGCAGCGCTGCAGCAGCGCTGCATCAGCAAATATATTTATGGCTATAACTTCTTGTTAAATCGGTCTATCATAATGAAATTTGGCATACGGACACATAATAACTAACTGGGGGTATTTCCAAAATTTTAGTTCGAAATTCCAAGAATTACGGGAGTTACGATTTGCGGGGTAGAGGGGGGAGGGAGGGGAATTCCAAAATATACATTTTCTGCGTATTCACATAAGGCATCTGGGACTAAAATTTTGTGTTCCTAGGTCTTATAGTCTCCGAGATATAGGCGATTATACGAATGGAAAATCGGGAAAACCCCCATAGGGGGGAAGTGGGGGGGAAAATCAAAAAAATAAAACAAACTCGTATAGAATACACACATAACGCATCTTCGTGCAAAATTTGGTGTCTCTATCTCTTATAGTCTCTGAGATCCAGGTGTTCATACGGACGGACAGACGGACAGACAGACAGACAGGGCTAGATCGACTCGTCTCGTCATGCTGATCAAGAATATATATACTTTGTGGGGTCTGCCACGCCTCCTTCTGCCTGTTACATTTTTCAGCTCCCGCAAACCTAATATACTCTTGTACATTTCATGTACAGAGTATAAAAACTAAATTAGAATAAACATCTTAAGCCAAAGAAAGTAATGTTATGACTAATATTTCAAAATCTCATTTCAGTTATGTGTTAAATTATAGAAAACGTGACGTGCAAAAATAGGGGTGGGTTAGGGATTATTAAAAAGAGAATTAACAAAAATGTAGTAAGTAGAACAACAGAAGACAATAACGTATGGAAACCGAAAAATGTGAATAAAATGTGCACCCGACACTCTGTACTAACTTATTAGGGACATCCCACCTGAATCCGTCTCCGAACTCGATGGACGTGGGCTGATGTTTGTGTGGGACATTTGTGGGCTGGCCTGCAGCATGTTCTCACCATAGGAGCCTGGCACGGGCACCGACACCGGCAGCGTGTAGCTCGTGTTTGGCAGCTGGCGCGGTGCACCAGCGACTCCGATGGCCATTTGGTTGCGCTGCATCATATTCTGAAACTCCTCGTCTATCTTGTTGTATTTGGCTTCGGTGCGGGGAGTGAGCGTATAGTCGGCCTCCGCTTCGGGCGAGTCCGGTGACATGACGCCATTTTTGTTCTCCTTCTACACAGTGGAAAAGGCAAAGAAATAACAAAATTCAAACTTATAGTTGCCACTTGAATTAGTGAAAGCATCGTTCCGAGTAATTGGCCATCTAAGAAAGGGGCAAAAAGGGGTGAAAACGTCACTCGACACACTCAAGTGTCACAGTCATTGTCACCCCCTGGCAGCCCGCACCTCTCCCCATCACACGCTCTGTTTCACTGTCTGCCTGTTGATGTGCTAAATTATGTAAATCTTGTCTAAGCGCTGCAACGCATTAACATTACAAAACAATTTACGGGAAAAAACAAACAACAAAGTAGCGACAACATCGCATTATAAATGCAAAATATGTCGTCGGCGGTGTCGGCATCTTCGTCATCATCTTTTAGGACCAAACTAAACGTTCTATCGCACGCTCATTTTCATGAGCTCGCCTCATTGTTTTCCTCCTTCTTCTTGTTAGTCTTTGTGCTTTTCACGCCTCACTGCAATTTGCATAATTTTATGCAACAGCTAGGAAGAAGACATACGAATGCGACAGCGTGCCGGCGCTGTTTTTCCCGCCCTCTCCTCCACTCTTCACTATAGTTCTGGGCTAGTTCTAGTTATTCTTGATGCTCACTCTTTCTACCATTAGTTCATTTCTCATTTAAATGTGATTCAGTATTGAGTTTGGTTTGCAACATAATTGAGAGGCTATTAAAATTGTTGCTGGACACTGCTGTGTCGGGTACTAAGGACTATAAGTCCACTAGCTAGCATTATCAGTGAACATTGCGGGATCATGCCAGACTCGCTGCTAATAGTTTCCCTTTTCTATCCGCCAAACTAGTAACTGGCTTTTTATTTACAAAACAGATTGGGAAAACGAGTTTAGATATTGTCGAGACTTGTACAGCTTTTCTAATCCTGATACGGTTTAAATACTTGTGGAGAGTGTCCTCTAAAGAGCTACCTAAAGAGCTCTCATATTCTGAATACTCAGTCTCTTTTAACGTTTATATATTTTTCTAGTGAAATAATGTAAATAGTACATATTGATTTATACAAAATATAGTCCGCAACGAAAGACAATCCAGACTCCATGCTTCAAACTGATTAAAACCTATGTCATATAGAAACATTAAGACATATTCTTGCATTTATGGCACACATTGCTCGTAATACACATTTCCAGGCCTTATTACTCACCTCTATTATGTTCTTGTTTGTGAGCGACTCATGTGGTTCATTGTATTCCGTGTATTTGAGGAGCACACGATCCATATCTGTGCTGGCATATTGATATAGCTTGTTGCTGGACGAGAATATGATCAAAGCGATTTCGCAGTCGCAGAGCACGGAGAGCTCGTAGGCCTTCTTCATGACGCCAAACTTGCGTTTGTTGAAGGTCACCTGGAAGTATGCAATGAACTCTTGTTGAATGCCCTTCTGCTCAAATATTTATGTAATTATTACGGCCGTGCCCAGCCACTACTAACAAGCACAAAGGGCTAGTGGGCGGGCAATTGAAATGTATCGATTATGGTGGCCAATTGCCACACACAACGCAATCGTTATGTGTGTGTCTGTGTCTGTGTCTGTATCTGTGACTGTGTGGGTCATAAACAATTTGTTGGTTATGACGCGTTTACAGCTTACGAGTCTCTCTGTTGCATTGGCTCTGTGTACTATATGTTCGTGTATGGATGGTTGTGTCTACTTTAGCGTTATTTGTCTGTTATTGCTTTTGTTCGTTTTAGCTTCAGTTTTCAATTTAATTGCATGAAATTGCTCATTTATTCGACCTTCTCATCGGCTTCAAGTTCCAATGGCTTAATTAAGAAAGTTTCCGCTTACAATTCTAATTGAAAACGTCCTTAAATAGGAAACCCTGTTGTAAAAATCACATAATTAAGGCGTATTGCGTTATTATTTTGCCTTTAATGTTGTTGTTGTTGTTAATATTGTTGTTGTTAATATTGTCGTACTCACCTGTCTATTGCGTTCATCGGTAATGCGTGATATTTGAATTTTTTTGCGACCCATGGCAACAGCTTTTATCCTACAGTTCGACTGAGTCTGTGGGTGTGTGTGTTATGTATTTTAATTGGTTCCTGAGCTTCAATTGCAGCTCAAAAATGTGCTTTAAATGATATATCCGTTGAAATTGCCACTTATACTGATGGGGAGGAGCTCGCCTCTTAGGTGTTGTTGTTTTTATTTTTATTATAGATGGTTGGCATCTTTAAATTAATGTCGGCTTCCTCTTTTTATTAATAATCTATATTGTATGTAACTATCTAAAATTTCACTTGGACGGTTTGTCAAACGGCAAAAGTTTGTTATTGTTGCGGTTATTGTTGTACTTTACATATACATTTATATGTATGTATATTATTTATTGTTTATTTTAATTTCAGGTAGCTGCAAAGAGAAGAAACGAATAGAAAGGTTAAAAATCAACAATATACAATAAGTTATAGATAATGTGATACAATTATTTGCTTCTAAACAAAACTAACTTGGCGATGTATCTTTTTATAGACACGTCAAACGTTCGCCCAACGAAAGTACCCCAAATCCTGCAAACACGCCAAAGGCAGTCCTCCGTTGGCTAACAAATTGACAGTTAACCCAGTTTGTTGCGACTTCAAAAGGTTTCAACTCAATTACCACAGCATCCGCTGCACTGAGAAACGGACTGTCCAGGCGCAGGACGCGACCATGCCTGGCATAATGGCCAACAACTTGTTGACGCTTCATTGGCCACGTGAAAAAGTTCAATGCACCGCACCGCCTATAAAATGGCAGCAACAGCCCAGCACAGCACAGCACAGGACAGCCCGCACGCCCGCCATCGACCCTGGCGTCGCATTAATCTAGAATGTCACAAGGCTTGGCAACATCTCACACAAGGACTCATAGACTCTATGCTATGACCCATTTAATGTTATTAAGGACACCCAGACATCATCACCATGTGCGGCCAGGGTGGTCGCTCCAAAGTTATAATCAGGCCTTTCCCACTGGTTGCGCGCACAAAAACGCTTACGCATGATTAGCCTACCTAAGTAGTGTGTGTGTGGGCGTGTGTGTGTGAGTGCGTGACGCAGCTATGGGCAAAAGCCTAGCTTTGATGTTTGCCTGCAACATAAATTAATAAGCGTAACCGATACAGTCCAACATCACACAGCGACCGAAACAGTAAACTGCTAACGTCCTAATAGATTCTTATAGTTGCAAAAATTTCAATTTATTACACAACTTGAATAAATATTACTAATATTCCAAAACAAGGACAAACAAGTGAAACTTCTTCCAAGACTGTTCAACTACTAGGTCTCTAGAATTATCATTTAAATTTATTAGTCCCGCATTATGCGTCCCATTTGTTGGAGTCTACTTGTTCCAAGATTAAGTAGAGTCTCAAAACTGAGTTCTACAGAGAAGATCATACGATCAGATGGCAAAAAAGTAATCCAAGCCCAATAAGTTTTGTTGTAATAGTTTGAGTGGTTGTTGCTTCTGACAGAACTAATTAGTGAAATTCGAGAATTAGCAAATTTCCATTATTATTATTAATTGTAATTCTTTCGTTTAAACAACATGCTTAAATACTTTTCATTTCATAGCAGAAAGTAGAACAAACAATCAAATCAATCACAACTGATGTCAGTTGCAAAATTTGCAAATTTAATTTAAAGAATTAAGAGAATCTGTATATTTATTAAAGTCTATTTGTACTTTTTATTTCCCTTTATTTCTCTCCTTAAAGATTGTGAGATTAGAAAGTTGCTTAGTGATTGATTTATGTTGACAGAGGAACAAGGACTTCACTGTGTTTAGGACCACTTAATATTTAAAATGGTCCTCCATTTTAATCAAATATTTATTATTAGATTTAATTATACTAAGTTTTTACTATTTGAGCAATACTTAAAGTTTTAAAAAAATTTGTCTTCATTTTCGGGTAGGAATCAACAAACAAAACAAAAAAAAAAATTGATAGAAATGGTAAAAGCGATTGAACGATTTAAAAAAATATTAATACGATTATTCGACATCAATGCTTTCAAAGTGCCGATAAATACAAGTCTGACTGTATCAAGCGATTGACTTATGTTGCCAACAAGACAAAATACCACAAACTATACTTTATGTTTGCATGCTGAAACATATAGACTAAGTAACAATTGTCAAAATGGAAAAGGGAATCAGAAGCAGCATATGAAAATGGTCTGCGTTCGTTACAAAAAAAGAAAGAATAGCAACGGCGACAACAAGAAAAACAACAATAATGGGGAAAACATTCGCGAATCGTAATGCAAACTTGGCAATAAGAATCCTGAGGCTGCTTGGGCACGTGCCTCAAAACACAAGCATCATCGTGAGGAGTGCTGTGTAATGTGAAATGGAAGTGTGAGTGACTGTATAAACATGACGATTTCTTGTTGCTTTACAAACAATAACAGCAACAATAAGATGAAGGACAAGATTTTCGGCAGCACTGCGGGAAAGAGCAAATTTCCGCTTGGCAGCGAAATGCGTTGCCGGAAATCGAGTCGGATATCTTTCATTTGCTCTCCCGGTTTTTGGACTGTCGTGTTTTCTTCTTTTTCAGGCTACTCTATTTGTTTTTGTTGTTGTCGTACTGTTGTTGTTTTTGGCGTTGCTGTTGTTTGTCCTTAGGCCAGGCCATGGCAGTAGTTGCCCTGGCAACCTCACAAATGAGTTTGCCTCACACAACTCAGCGACAACGACGATGACGACGTACGCAATATGTTTTGGATTTCAGCCCTGGTAGGCAGGCAGGCAAGCGAGCAGGCTGTCGGGGCTGTCGGGCTTTTAGGTAGGCCGCCGGCTTAGGCTCGACATAGCCTTGACGTTGCCCCTTCAAATTGAAATGGCATGTGACACACAAAAATGAATAAATTCAAGTAAAAGGAAAAGCGTCGAAAAAACGGAGGAATGAAAAACTAAATGCCATGCCGACTGATGGCACACACACGCAAAAATTCAATACCTTTGGGGTTTTCCCCTTGAAAAACCAAAATTCGGACTACATATCCTATTATGCGTGCGCTTCTTTTTCCTTTTCACTTTCATTATTGAAGACACGAGCGCCAAACATTTGTTCCTTTTCCTGGTTGGTCTAATCGATAGTGTGTGCATTGATGACGTTTGTCACATTCGATTTGATTTGATCCGATCCGAGAAGGCAACACGCACCTAAATCCCTTTAATGTGCTACAACAGCACAGTAGCAGCAACAACAATTATGGTCGAGCCCACACATTATAGGGCGTTGGGTAGGTTCGTTATACGCTATTATACATAATTCGGTGGCTTTTTGTATTCGTTGTATTTGTTGACCTCAGGGTATTGTTGTATGTGCCAAATGTCAAATGATTGGGCAACAATTCGCTTCGTAATGAAGTTTTCACAAAGACGATGTGTGTTGAAGAAATTATTTATCATTTATTTATCTCTACAAGTAGGGTGTCGCCTTTAATTGAAAAATGTACTAATATGTAATATGCACATTTGCCGACACGTTCAAAGTCTTTAATTATGGATAAATGGTAAATTAAAATCCATCGTACATCATACAGCGAGTTAAATAGCATTACACTGGCATATTACGTATACGTGATGTAGGCACACAAGCGCCTGCTTGTCAAGGTTACACGCCCGTCAGTTTCCAAGGCAGCACGGACATTCTCACACAAACACACACGCTCACACAAATGTGTATAGAAAGAGGAAAGGACAACAACTAATTGATAAACTTGTTAACTGTAACAATAAAATCAATTATTATCATTCCATTAGTGGAGGAGAGTGTCGTTTTCCAATGATGCCTGCGTCATTAAAATAATAAAAATCGATGAGCCATATTCGAATTGAAATGTTAATGCCTGCGCATACCCATTTTTTAGGCCTAACAAACAAACGATGTGTGTCTGTTGACATAAATCTCCATCAATGTGTGTTCCTAATCCCATTTAAAAACATACAATGCCATTTATTAGCTTAAGCTTAAAAGTGTATTAATTAACTTTACCTATAAAGGAACTAGGAAAATTCGGCCCTCACTTAGATTATTATTGGGTAGGTACACTCAGAAAAACAATAAAACGTTCGAAAATACTAGAATTAAGTAAGTTATCAAACTAATTAATAAGTGACTAATTGAAATATATGTGGTTTCTGTTTCAATTTTACAATTTTCGGTCTTTTGGTTTATTTTTTTGATTTCCGCCAAAGAAGTTTAGGCATAATTGGTTTTGCACATTTCGGTCAATCTTTTGTCGTATACTGTGACTAGCATGATTAATAAGGGTACCTGTGTTTATATAGTGTATTTGAACAGTCAGGAGCCAGTGGCTTACTAACATTCGATTTCAATTGTGATACTGGCATACCAACTGCATAGCCACGAATTGTGCGGATGCGGGTGTTGGAATTAAAATTCTCGTTTTCCATTGTTGTTCTGATGCCTCATACTTGAACAAATATCATGAATATTTTCACTTAAAAAAGTATTTATAATTTGTTTTCATAAACAAAGGGAACTCTTTGTTTAGATTATTACTCTTCAGCTCAAAGTTAAGTCTAACCTATTATAAGCAAAAATATATTTTTAAATATTTTGAGAATTGTTTTTTTTTTTTTTAATGTTCTCTACACCATTTGTCAGAAACGCATGTACATTTTAATTGTTCCATTTTATAGAGGTAATTTTGTAATATACAATCTTCTATATTTCAAAAACCATTTCTACAACATTTTGTTTTTAATAAGTATTATTAAGTGTTAAATGCTTTTCTGATTTTCACAGATGAAATATGCTCTTACAGATGCGCGCTATGCACACATAAAATCCCTATTAATATAATTGACACTCATTTGAGTGCAACTTGATGTGAAATTGAAAACGTAAGAAGCAACGAGAGTCGCATGATTTTAGTCTAACCGCCAAACGACAGGGGGGCAGGCGGAAAAATAGACATACGTATGACATCAAAGTACGCATACTGTGTAAGAATATGGTTAAGGGAATGCTTTCATACTGAAATGTATACACACAGATTAATTTAACAACACACACTGGCAGGGGGACACCAGGCATTTGAATGGGAATTAGTAGCATACTTCTGGGGGCTGGGCTATCTTCTACATACAACTTCACCTAAAAGCTGATATACTGAGTTGACATGTTTTATTGCTGGCTTTCATATAGTTGCTTGCTAGATATAGATTTCAAGATTTATCTAAAGTCAACAAATGCATATCAGTGGTAAGAAAATTTGAGTAAATGTTTGGCACTATTAAACTACTTGCTTTAAAGAGAGAAAACAAAACAAATGAAAATCAACACAAACAAAAATCAGCAAAAGATTTGTTAAAATAACTTTAGTGAACAAAAACTAAAAATAGGTGGGAAGAGCTACGAAAATTGTACTCAAATATTATAACTTTATTATAATTATGATATCAGACCAAAACTTTATCTGCTTGCCTAAAATGCCAAGCAATCTTTTCATATCTCAAATATTATGTATAGAAAAATAAGAGCACAGAGACTTGCCATTCCCGTCATTGCCTTAAGCTGCTCTTATCACAATCAATAATCGAATTGTGCTTAAAAAAAACGAAGGAATCCATATATCAGAAGTGTACACGTTTCCCTATTCCATAATTTATTTTTTTTATATTTTTTGTCACGCGATTAGATTGTTTTGCAAATCTCAAGTGGTCGTCAAAAGAAAAAAATGTTGAAGTACCTAAAAGTTTAAACTGAAAGATGCATTCGTCACCAAACGTCTATCGATGATATGTTGGCCTATTCATATATACACGTATGTACTATACTATATGTATGTGTGTTGGCTATAAGTTGTGCTCTACTAACAAGTGTAACCGCTAGATTGTGTAGGCTAATTGCCATGCATGAGCTAATCATTGGACTGCACTTCCTGGCACAAATGCAGAAGAGGATGCGAGTATTTGGCCTAGGGTCACAACTTAACACGGTTCGCATTTGTGATGACAGCGGCAGCAATAACACCTGTGCAATGGCAGTCACAACAATTAACCGCTTGCGGTAGTCAAAAAGCTGACTGGCTGACTAGTTGACTGACTGACTGGCTGACTGGGTCACCGGCGAAAGTACGACAAGTTAGTTGGCAAGGAATGGCTTGGCCACTTGAGCACACGCAAAGAGCCAAAAGAGTGGCACACAGCGTCAGCGGAAGGAAATTAGTAAAAGAAGAAGCTACACCCGCACACTCCTGTATTTCCACACACACAAAGACGCTGACTAAGTGTGCGTGCCTCAGCTTATGGCGTTTGTTGTTAGGGCAATTAGTTGTTTGCACACACATGCACACATATTTATGTATATATACTTGTACATGAGTATGTGGCTTACATATTTTCACATTTCCACAATTTTTCCATTTAATTGGCCAAGATGCTGTTGTGCCATCGTTAACGATTCGTGGCACATTTCTGCAACGATTCTTTAGGCAAATGGCCAAAAATTTCGGTGTTATTTCTTTCTATTTTTCATTAAATTTCCGTCATTGAGCGTGCTAATGAATAAGCTAAGCTAAGGAAATCATTATACGATAACTTTAAGTGCTGCACACTCACCTTGTTATTTAGCGTAAAATTTCCCAATAGGTTTTACATCTGTGTGTGGGTTGCTACGGTGAGCTGAAAGTAAAAAAAAAAAAAAACAACAACAATAATATTATAATACAAGTATTTGAGTAATTTAATCTGAAATGATTCATTCTTGTGGTTCTTGTGGCATTTAAAAACATTAAATGTATGCAATTAGCAACATTTTGTTATTACACTTGAAATTTATGCAAATTTTAAACCTTTCCGTATTTTGGATGAATGACCTTTTCGGCTTTGATTGTGCCCGAGTGTGTAAGATTGTATGTGTATGTGTGTGTGTGTGTGTGTTTAAGGGTATAATTTGAAACGAGTTCTGTTACATTTGCGATTTTTGCTCTTCTGCCTAAAGAAACTGAACAGCTTTTTCTCGGCAAACATTTTTAACATGTGAGCCGCCAGTCGCGTCGCACATTTCATAAATTTCATTTTTATTGCCGAGCAAATTTTTGACAGTCGCTTTAAAAACGCAAATTTATGAATACATTGCTTCTCAAATGCTCATACAAGCAATTATCGCAGCGGTTATTAGTTATTTTGTTGACTGCAACATAATTTAGTTTTGTATTTATAACTATTATCGATTTTCAAAATATTCACTATACTATATACAAGTAGATATGTGAGAATTTGTTAGCTAAGAAAACTGAGTGCATTTTTCGTTATTAAACTGTCTTCAATCCAACTACCGCATTTCACTTTCAACACACAACGAGAGACTTCCCTCTTTGTGAACACATTCGAATATTATTTGTCAACTTCGGGTTGTGTTAATGTGCCGCAATCAACACATGTTCTTATTGTTATAAATTGCAATTTAATTATCATCACGAGCGAGTTTTTAAAACGTGTTTTGAAGCGCCATTCCCAGTCTGAGTCTGTTACCAACATATCCGGCAGTGCTACTATACTTGCTCTTGTGGGCGGATTTGATAAAAAGGCTTTGTTAAAGTCTAAGACTCTTGCCTACCATAATAAATTGGGTATTGTGTCCAAACTTCTAGCTATGATTCAGTTAGCGGACTGTTTCTATAATGAAACAATTTCCAAAAGAAGTGGTGCCTAAAATTAATTGAATTGGCACAGATAGGACACTCTTTCCTTTAAATAAGTCTTGACACTCCTACGAAGTTTTTGCTGAACAGAGTCCGGATTATTCAAGCCAAGACCGCAAGATGAATGTCTGAAGTGATTGATTCTTTCACACACAATATATTGAGACAATTAAGTGGTTTCTGTATCGCAACTAATATCATTCCCCCCATGGAATGCTTGTACATTCTAAATCGTACATCGCAATAAAGCTTGATAACTATACAATAATATTACAAAATATTAGATATATAGGCAATTTACAAGTCTAGGCATTTTCTGCCACGTAAGGGATTTGCATTTGTATCTATTTTATAAATTTAAAAAGCTTATCTATTAGAGAGAACATATTGCATTACACGCATTACATTAAAGTCAGATAACTGAAATATGTGCTGTTAATGAAAACCCAGATTAATTTCGTTAATGTCAAATGAAATAGAGAAGATAAAATTAAATCATTTTTTCTAATTAATTTGCAAACGAACTTTATTTTAAATATTTAAAATTTTCCTCATTAAAGATCTCAGAATTATTGTGTTTGTGAATTTTTATTGACCAAAGCACTGATAATGAGGTAATAGAGTTGTTTTGAATTTTTGCTTGCAAATTGAAGAATTTTAAATAGCCTTTTCTTCCAATAGACACTATGGTTTTTAGTTTTACTGATTAGAAATTTCCCAAAGCTATATTTTGTAAACGTTTGTCATAATTTCTTAGTTTATTGTGATCATATTCTGCCTGCCTAATCTCTGAACTAGAGTCACACGAGTTTCGCCTTCTTTTCCACTCTTTTGTCTAATGTTCTCCTCTATCTCCAGATGCCGGCACATGCAGCAAACATGTTTCAATTACAACAGCCACAACATTTGTAGGTGCACATACGTATGTACAGATGTACATACATACTTGTATGTATATAAACGATGGCAGCACAGAACTGATAATGAGTTGGGCAAAGCCAAGGTTGTGTACCGGGCGTTCATACTGTTCCTACAGTAAGGCAGTCCGAAATGTACGAGTATTGGCTAGACTATCTTATCGGCTGACTAGACGAGAGACAGAGAGAAAGGGAGCGCGTAGAGCAAAATAAATTATAATAGCAAACACACTATCAAATTTATAAACGCCAGAAATGCAAGAACAACAACAGCAGCAACATCGCAAATATACGATTAGGTACACAACAAAGTACAAGTAGAACTTTTTTGTTTTGTACATTCAAGTTTTCTTCGTTCTGATAATGTGAAATAAAACTCTCGCTCTCATTTGAGATAGTGCGGCAACAACAACAACAGCAAGTGCTCCAGCAATCGTTGCGATAAAGGCTTTTGACTTATGAATACTTACAAAAAAAGAAGAAACAACTTTTTAAACAATTTTTTGCACATTTTTTATATTAATGTAAAGCAAACACCGCACTTCAAACGTTGCCAAAATTATTGAACGTATATGATAAGATTATGATCGCTTTTTTTTTTTGAGACTCTATTCTGGGCAAGAATGTCTGCTACACGTGTGGCAAAAATAGTTACGGACCTGGTCCAAAAATGTCGCTGAGGTGTTAATTTTGATCGGATTGATTTTTTAAATTAGACTATCGTTTATATAGCGTTGTGTTAATCGAATGAGATTACTAGAGAATATGTAGCGTGCTGTCCCAAACAGGTTAGCTAAGAGAACTTGGCCGTCGGCGAAGTGTATTGCTTTCTACAGAACTGTTTAACATACCACATGGTCTAAGGGTGCCAGAAATGAATGAAACTTTCTTTAAATACCATATTTTATTTGTATATTTATTTGGAACTTGCATGCCATACTAATGTGAGTGGTTCCCTATTTTTTATTAATCGGTGTTATGTTAAACAAACCAATACTAGAAATATTATACTTCTATCCTATCGCTTTTAACAGTCCCCACTTGATTGGTTTAGGATTAAAATTAAAATATTTTACCTAACATTCCTATGACTAATATAGGATAGGATACACAATTATGCAGTAAGTTTTAAAACATTGGTGCCATTAGGAATTACTTTTAAATTAGTTTTTCAAAACTACAACAATAATATTACCGTATAGAACTTAAAATGAATTATTTTAAAATGAATTAAAGGCTACACAGTTTTTAGGTTGCCTGCAAGGAACTACAGAATCAATAAAATTTTAGGAGTTTGGTTCAGATTCTACATTCTTCACAAAAGAAGCTTAATGTTTTTGCGATCGCTTTGAAATTATGTATATCGTTCCGATAGATCTTAAATTCGCCACTTCAACAATTCCACACAATCACAAGAAAGATTAGTTAGGTTCTTAGAAAGACAAAAACAAACTATATATACATACTACATTACTATACGCTGCAAATGACTTTGCAAGTTCCGAAAAGTTTGAAAGTACGTGGATTGTTTCAAATTGCTTTGTTTACTTGTATAGTATATGTACTGCAATATAAAAATCGGCAGCCACTGTGCTTAAAGCGATTGATAAGTGATTCGTAAAACGTTGGAGCTGGGAGTTTAATATTTGTGATACCCATGGGTGGATCGTTGTTGTGCTCTGCTCTGCTCTGCTCTGCTGTGCTGAGCTCTGTGTGGGCGTAGGTGTCAAAGTGCATTGTACGCATGCCTTGGTGACATTGATAAGAGCAGTTGTGTACTATTTTGCAAAAAATGAAATAAACACAAAAAGCAACTGCCAAAGAGCGCGAGTTTGTGGAAGGGCAGGGTGCAGAGCAATGTTTTAATCAGCAGTCAGTCAGTCAGTCAGGCAGGCAAGAAAACTACAACATGCAAGAACTGATAAGGTAAAACTGTGGATTTGAACTTCGCTGAAAGCGCGCCACTACCGATTGCCCGCTCACACACACACATAAGCACACCCATGCAGTCTGTTTCTTATCAATTGCCAAAGCCGAACAGCCGTGCGGCGGACAGACTGAGCGAATAAATACATACATATGTATATGTATATTACAAATGGATGTACATATGTATTTGTGAGTAAATATGTATGCACATACGTATGTACATATTTTAGCACCTAATGCAAAAAGAGCAGCCAGCCCATTAACGCTCTTCAAAATTTTGATAGTGTCTTTCTGTCCGACTCTATGCCTGCCTCTCCATATCAATATGAATTTAATTGTACACGCCTGACTACAACTGATATGCACAGACACTTATACATACATACATATGTACATATATATTTATGTATGTAGTATGTACATACATAGGTATACAAGTGATGACGTCAATGTTGTTAAAAGTTACTTGTTGAGCTAAGTATTTAACAGGAGCCAAGTATTTGAGCAATTGAGATGGATTGCGGGAATTCTAGAACTATGCACGAAACGCAGAACCACAGGCCGGTAAAATAATTGAATTTCGAAGAAATTAAATTCAAATGGCGACTTACATGTTTCAAATATTTCGTTTAAATAAAGCAATTTTGTCGAACTGTTGTTTTGCCTCAAAAAGAACAAAAAGTTCCAAACAAAAAATATCTATATGCACATATAATTTGTGTATACACGCCGTTCACAAGTATGTAAATTTATATTGTTGTTGCGGTTGTTTTTGTTGTTGTTGTCTTTCTCAAAAGTCACAAAAGGTTTTCTTTTTAAAATTTTTTTGTTACACACAAATTGCATTTATAATGCACGAACGTTCAAATGTTTTCAACTGGATTTCGTTTGCATTGCTGTTTAACATTTTTTCTCATTTTAAAAATTGAACTGCGATGTTATTGTCATTGAATACTATTTATTTAAATTATAATTCATAATGATTTTTATTTGGTTTATTGTTGTTTTCTCTTCTTAGCAAACAAACACAATTGCAAGCTCTGATATGTGGCGTTTGTATTTCTTTTAAAGCGCCGCGACTATTTGCATTTCTTTTGTGTAAGAAATTAAATTTATATTTGTAAATAAACAA